CTTATCTTAATAAATAACAAGACCAACAATGTGATAATGATAATGATGATGATGAATAGTAAGAACACTTGTAATGATAATAAAATTATGTTTAAATGATGATGATATAAAATTTTTTTTAATGATGATAATGATATTAATACATTTAATAATAACAACAATAATAATAATGATGATAATAATGATAGCAATAGTAATAATAATAATACAATAATAATAATAATAATAATAATAATAATAATAATAATAATAATAATAATAATAATAATAATAAATCTTTTAAAATACGATTAGCATAAAGAACAATCAATATAGTCAATGAAATTTGTTTCTGACCCAAAAGCTGAAGGTTCCTTTATTTCATCATCAACCCCAAACATCATCCCATCTACTTTTTTTTAAAGGGCCTTTTCAATAGCCTTATGTGCCTCAACTCTTGTCAAGTGCAAACACAACATATTCGGACATGATGTCTGCGGGATATACAATAAGGTATTCAAATTGCCCTAGAGTTTATTTTTTTTCAAAAAGATTTTCAATCGTGTTCCAAACTTTTTCATGTCCAAGGAAAACAATCATCTAAGGATCTTCTTGCTCTGTTAACATTAGAGTTCCGTGCTGGCATCTTATCAAGTGATATTCTTTAGATATTAATTCTAAGAGATATTTCAAAATTAGATATCAAAATGGCTTCCTTGCTAATTAAAGTGGGTTGATTATAACCAACATAATATTTTGGGCTCTCATATATCTCTACAAACTAAAATGTGAAATCACCATTTCAAAATGGCATATTCAAAATGTCAGATTAACTTTTTTTTTTATTAAACATGCTAGATTCAACCTTTATAGTGTTGAATCCATGCAGCAATTTGAAAGTGTAAAACTACAATAATATTTTGAAAAAGTAGTCACTCGTCAGCCCTTTCAAATGATGATTCATATATTACAGTGTGCAGAAGTATAACTCTCTGAATCAAATTCCATGCAGATTATCCCATCATGCTCTTTCATCATCGACCATTATTTTGATATCTACCATACATCATTGGAGAACCTTTATATCTAATTTTCATGAATCAAAAAGCAACTAAATGTGGAAGATTAGTCGCAATATTTCAATACACAACTCTATTGTCATACCCAACAAAGCTAAACATTGTCTGTATTTTTGCAGTCTTTAACTAACACAGGTAACAATGCTATGACCCTGGCTTATTGTCACCAAGCAAATAGCTACCCTGAAGAAAAGTAGGCCAAGATATTTCCATTATATTATATCTCATGTATTACTACAACCATTTGCACAGTGTTGCCTATTCGCTTTCATGAAAGCTATAATCATAGTACTATGATATACACTTCGCATCGTATACAATGATTCTAAAATAAAATTTTGTTCACAATGAGCAATTTTCATTCTCTATACTACTTACCAGAAAGTTATATTTCTGTCTATATACGACGATACGGGATTATTGCTTTAGTTTTACTACGGTAAACATGGTAAAGTAGGTGTCTAATATCAAAATCATTTCATTTTTTAAAATACTTTTAGAGGCATGATATTATGAGATCATATCGATATATTCATACTCACGAGTTTTTTTCGCTTGCGCTTGTATCTAGAGCTGTCATCGTCTAGTTCTCTCAACAACAAAACATGTGAATGAAAACTGAAACTTGCCTGATCAACAAGTTGGGAGAGCATTCATTAAAAATATTTCTTGGTCTGATAGCGTTCTTTTACACATTAACACTTCAACAGATAACTACGCGTCACGGTGCATTGACATATTCAACTACGTCATCGTAACAAAAGGTGGGATTCCCCCCACCTTCGAACCGACTCGAAATGGCTTACCTGTCTCCGCTGTCTGGCCTTTTATGGAATTTCACTTGTTTTCCCCACATTTCCCGAGCTCCCTTTGTGTGGATCTGTTTGGACACATTAAAGGCCTCATCTTCGCGTTGATGATGCTCATTTTATTGACCATCAAATTGCCACCTTAATTGAGGTGGGGATACAGATTTCCTATATTTAATCATCTGAATTCTTTTGAATGGGGCATGACGTTTGAAATACAACGCCCCCACTTTCACATATTTGATATAACGAACATAATTATAATTCGAATGAGCATAGAAAAAAATCTATATACCGCCCCCTCCCATGCATGCTGTGAATCCACTGCGGAGTTGCATGCATGGACCCAAGTCCACATCCTAATGCCCCCCCCCCCAAGTTAACTTGGTACAATGTTTATTTTCTTTATACACTGCTGCCAATATAAAAGTTAGAATGACCAGGGGCGGATCACGGGGGGGGGGGGGGGGGGGGGGGAGGGGGGGGGGCTGGACGTCATTTTTTAAAAACTTTTTTTTTTTTTTAATGTCGGGGGCAATTTTTTTTTTTCTGTGCTTTCTATCTCCCAGACCGTCATATTGGTCATATGGATACATGACTATACATTTCCCCTCTGGCAGCATCCTTATGTACCCAATTGAGGTTGCAAAGACCGTCATTATTTTGTTAACATATTTTTTAAACGTATATAAATTATGGGGTCGGCAATATAAAACAACTTTATTATTTAAACACCGAGAACTCCAGGCATTTATTGCGTTTTTTTTTTAATTGTTGAAATAAATAAAAATCCTCAAAACCAAAGAGAAAACTTTCTAATGCCAAGATCATTATGTACATGTAAAGTATGATATACTATATCAAACTCCCTTGACAAACTCTATGAACATGGAAAGTGTATAGTCCTACACATTACCCAGGCAATTATGTTTGAACTACAAGTATTTTACAAGATAGTATATTTCCCCGAAGTGTAAACATATTTAGAACGGTCTGATAGTGTTATCCATAAATTCCAAAACAACGTTAGGTATTTTTAAATTATTTTAGGCGTAACCGTTGACTTAGTATTTAAAAAATTCTAATGTTCTGAACCAAAAACCAAAAAAGAAAGAAAAAACGAAGAAGATAATTATAAAGATTAAAAAAAAAGAAAAAAAAGAAGAAGATATTATAAAGATTAAAACAAAAAGCACACAAACCTCGGATACTCATATATTAACCATTTTGTTTGGTCAGTGGCGTAACGTGAGTCCATCAATCGAGGGGGCGCTATGATGATGATTGGAGGCCGGGGGGGGGGGGCCGGGGGCGGTGCACTGATCTTACTCAGGAAATTAAATGCGCGAATTATTGTGTAAGGCTGCATGAATAAGGGTGTGGGAGGTGGTCCGTGCGTTTTCTGTCTTATCCTTTCTCCCTTCTCCTTTATCCTTCCTCTCTTTTATTACTTTTTATTTATTGTTATGTCTTACTCTTTCAATCATTCGATTTTTTTTGGGGGGGAGGGGGGGGGGGGGGGGGGGGGGGGGGGGGTGGGGGCACGCCCCTGTGCTATGTCACAACAAATTAAAAACAAATTAACAGAAACAAAATCTTGCCAAAGAATGGAACTAGGCTCGACTAGCACTTGTGCTAACTTCTCGTTCCCATTAACAACTTCACCTAAACATAGTAATATACATATTTACGTATATATCTTTTGTACATTTAATAGTATGCAGATGTATGTCTAAAAAATATCGTTTTAAAACCATTACTGTTCAATCGACATTACTCTTATGTTATGTATACATGTATCAGTATTATTCTTTGCATTGTATGATTGTTCATATGTACTGTCATTATTGTGATGTGTTGTTGTTAATAAATTCAAATTAAATTAATTGGTGAATGAACGAGATAATAAAGTAGTTTACCGAAACTTCTGAAAGTGAGTCTGTCTCCCTCTCTGGCCACGTTGACTTAGAAATAAAACATTCTTTTTATTTCTATGATAGGAAAGGGTATAACCGTATAGCGTACTGACCTCAATATTATTTTTGTTACCTTGCGTGTGATAGTCTTTGTCAGAAGCAAAATAGAATACCGGTAGCAGTATTGTAAAATTAGCTCCTTTATAATATAGGAAAGTATTCTTCTATACTTTTACAATGTTTCTTGGTAGACAACTAGAACGGCCATTCGGTATTTTAATGCAATATCTGATGTTAGCCGTGTAACTGCTCAAAAGTCCAAAGAAAACTACTTGAATTTAATTAATTATTGGAGCTAGCTTTCATGAGTCTTACTTATTTGAAAATCAAATTTAGTAATATAAATGTAATGCCACTCAGTTTTTTTATTGAAATATTGGCCTATAATTCATTAAGCAAGTAAAATAAAAAACGGAAAAAAAGGATGAAAGCGTAAAGCTTACATACGAAAATCCATAATCCTAATTATTATCATCAAAATTGGTGGAGAGTGGAGATGTTTGTAGATTGGCCTACCGACCGGTAGCTTTCAGCACCTTTTATCAGCATTTCCAAGTATAAAAGTGAATCAAGCAAACGAACAAATATTTATACTCTATATATTACACTGACAATCAAAAACAAATTATGGTTCACCTTGCTACCATCGCTGAAGTTACAGTTTCGCCAAATTAAATCAGGGGGGGGGGGGGGGGGGGGGGTTACTCAAATGTTAAGACATACGGGGGTGTGCTGCTCTAATGGGTAATTTTTCACAAAAAATCCCTAAACATGGGTCCCATTTTCAACAAAAATACCCCTAAATATGGGTCCACTTTTTCAATTTTTCCAGGGTTTTTGCCATGCAAACACCCAAAAATGTTGTAAAATGGACTTTACTTTAAAAAAAAAAATCAACCAAAATGACCCTTATAAATGGGTAGGGGTTTCGAGGCTTCAGCGGCAGCTCCCTGTTAAAACCAAATCTGAGTACCTCCCCCGGGATTAAATCAGGGATGTGAGAGTGTCTCATGCAGACATGCACCTCCCTGATTTAAAAAATATATGAGTAGTTACCATGCAAGAATGTTTGTCCACTGGAATTTCCTCAGTGGGTCTTCGTAATGAGACTATTTGAAACCTTTACCATCCTGTAAAAGAAAACGACAACTGTATATCGTAACGCGTACTAGTACTGGATTCGATTAACTGGGTATTGTTCAAACTTCACGGATCGTTGAATCTCATCATCAGTTTATAGTTAATTGTATTCTTTTTGTGACGAGCAGCTGTATGATTAATACTTTCATGTATGAACAAGGGGATGTTTCCTTGACTATAATTTGGTGTAACTCATGGGACGCGAGTTAAAATCAACCATCGGCGCCGACTGAATTGGACAGTGGAAGTGGAATTCAGAATCAGTTTTTTGACTAGATGATACCATTTGGAATTGCAGTTGCAAGTTCGTGTTTCAAGCAATTTTAGCCACGCCAGTGGCATATTGCAAGTAAGTATCACAGTCAACTCCTTCGTGTATATTCAGTATGCTCTCAATTTACTCAATTTCATTGTCCCTCCCTCTCTCTGTATGATTATAGACCTCTGCCTTGTGTAGACCGTATTTTCCGTCTCTTTCGTTCGTTAGCCTCTTATTGGGGTAGGGTCGGCTCTCTCTTTAGAGACGGAAGCCGTTTATACACATATCCTTGCTAACGCCACGGCCAGTTCTGGTCGTAGCGTTTTGCCCCCAAAATCCCCCAAAATGTCATTTTACCTCGAGCATGTTATATTGTAAATTAGGCCTAGGCTATAATAAATCAGTTCCACTTACCAACTTGACTGAAATAATCAGTTTAATAGTCCCTTTTTAGGAAATTATGGGTCAAAATCGAAATCCATTTTGAAAATCTTTTTCAACATGGATTCCGATTTTGACCCATAATTTCCTAAAAAGGGACTATTAAACTGATTATTTCAGTCAAGTTGGTAAGTGGAACTGATTTATTATAGCCTAGGCCTAATTTACAATATAACATGCTCGAGGTAAAATGACATTTTGGGGGATTTTGGGGGCAAAACGCTACGACCAGAACTGGCCGTGGCGTTAGCAAGGACATGTGTATAAACGGCTTCCGTCTCTAAAGAGAGAGCCGACCCTACCCCAATAAGAGGCTAACGAACGAAAGAGACGGAAAATTCGGTCTATGCCTTGTGCAGCTGAGTCTGAAATAAAGTTCTCAATTGAATTGTGTGTTTGTCTGACTCTCACCTCGACACCTGTACCTGCCCACTCTGTTGTCTTTCTCTTTCTCTTCTCTTTCTCTCTATCTAGCTTGGTCATGTTGGTCGAGCAGTCAAATGTGCAAAACCAAAAGACTAAAGTCTGTCACAAAAAAGTAAGACTAGTCTAGTCTAATGTTAAAAACTTAAAAAGACAATTTTGAATTTGCCTGATGAGTGATCATTCATTCTCAGTATTCTGATGGTTGTGAATCAATGATTGAATGAGGTCATCCTAGTTCTACTTCATCGTTCATAGATTTTGAATTTGACAGTCAGAATGGAAAAGAGTGCACTAAAATGACTATGACAATCGGACAAAATAAGTAAATCAATGTACAAAAACATGTACTGTATTGTGGCTGCATTGTTGTTTAATTTTTACAGCGCGTATCAATATCATTCAGTTGGGAATATTTACAATTTTACACCATCGTTATTGTGTAAGTTTCAGTATCAATTAAGTTGTGGCTTTGTCATAGGCTTGGTGATTTATAAAATATGATATTGATATAAAATTATCAAATCTTACTGGACCGGGCATGCATTTCGCTGTCTGCGTCCTGTGTGGCATCTAGACAAAACAGTAGAGGCGCTGGTCCGAGAATGAGGATCGTTCGCATAAACGAGGATATTCTTGTATACGCTGCGCGGACAAAATAAGAATCGTACGTTTTTTCTTCTTCAGCGCTCTGCAGGTTTCTGGTTCCCTCGTAATGAAATACACCCAGTTTACCGTCTACTTTCATGGGTTGTCCATCTCCCTGAGGATTTATCGCTCATACTGTAATGTGAAAGTCTCTGTACAATGTCAATGTAAAACGCATCAAGAAAATCATTGCTTAACCAAGAATTGTCAGGGAAAATTTGGACGATCCTTATTTTTATGGATGCGTCTGTCCGCGTTTACGAAGATGATCCTTGTTTGTGCGGACGATTCTTATTTTCAAACCTTGCAAACTTCTGTACCTTCAACATTTGCTTGAGGAGTCTCTGTGTAACTGTTACTCATTCAACACAAAGAAAAAATGCAGAATAATTGAGAGAGTCTTGTTATTTCCTCTTCTTTTTCCTTCTTTTGTGCAGATGCAATGGGTTATGTCTTCTCCAAGATCTGGAGTCTTTTCAACAATGAAGGTGAGAACTGAGATCTTAAAGGGCTCATTCGTAATGTACATGTACAAGGCATCGTAGAATAAGGGAGTTTACAGATAGCACATGGAGAAGTTCCACTTTGAGCATCTCAGAATAATAACTGCCAAAGTCCTAGATGTGCTTCATCATTCATGAATACCTTTTGTTTGACCTCTTGAAAAGAATACTTCCACCTGCGTATCATAGAATGTACCGTTGGTGCATAAATGAATAATGTTACATAACTTTCATGAGCGCATATCCAGTATTCATCTCTGTGGTTTTACCATTTTGGTACAAATGACCTTTATCTGCCCATGTGATCTGTAAACTCCCTTATTGTAGAATTTATTGACTCTTTGACCCCCTTTCAGAGTATGAGAGTACAAACAAACATAAAAGTATGAATAGCAATGAATGACTTGTGAATACAAGTCTTATACATGTACATTATACATAGATAATGACACAAATCTATACAAACAATAATAGGTCTATAGCGCATATGTAAGTCAGGCCTGATTAAAACCTGATTTAAATCGGGTTTCCCAATTTACATATTTTTACCTGATTTTTTTCTTCTTTTTTTACCCCCCCCCCCCCCCTCATTGCAGCATGAGCTAAATCAAGGATTATTTTTAAAGGATCTAAGATAAAATTACCGGATCCCTTTAACAAACTTCACTTGCTGCCTGTTGAAAAACATGTTGTATCCAAGATACTCATTATTGGCTTTAAAGCACAGAACGGTCTCGCTCTATCCTCTGTATAACTATAAGAAACTCCAGTTACAGTATGTACACTACATTTAAATCATCATGACAACTTCTGGTGGTACACCCTGTAGTAATAATACAAATGGAAACCGATCCTTCATAGCATCAGCTCCTTAGGAACCTGTCTTCTCTTGATATTAATAAACGGGCTTTCATGGGGAATTCAAAACCATTTGGGTTTGTTTGTTTGTTTGTTTTATTTCCGTATAAAAACACATCATGCTTTCAGTACAATAATAACAAATAGAATAATGAATAACAAGATAAAATAAACGGCTGGAAAGCCCATATTCGCTGGTCTTCCATGGGGACCAGAATACAGTAAAACAATACATTAACAACGACAAAGAAAAATGGCAAAACATAAATTCCCAAGCAAAATATAGTAAGAAATTAAATATCCAGGACAGACAGTGTAGAGAAAAGAAACAAGTATTTATAGAAACAGAATTGTGTGAAGTAAACTTACAGATAACTCAAAAGTCTCTTAAATGAAGACAATGTATCACAGTTGCGTAACGCCAATGGTAATACGTTTTACAGTACTGAACTTCTAAAGTCCTCTATATACAAAGGTTCTTTTACAGTAATTTGTCCTGGGTTTAGGAAGGACAAGATTACCAGCGTGTCCACACACAAAACAATTTATCCTGAAACTCTATAACGAAACGTCGTATAAAGAATCATCGTATAAATTTTAGAGTGTCCACACGCAAGAAACGTCGTATAAATAATCATCGTATAAATTCCAGGATGTCCACACACAGAAGAAAGTAATCCTGAAACTCTACAGCGAAATGTCGTATAGGTGCGCAGTTTGCTACTGCGGTCATGAAATGGAAGCGAAAATGAGAGGTCTGGTCTCCTTTCGCTTGAGGTCACGTTAAGCCCTGCCCAGTTAGTTACGCTAGTTACACTCCCCCTGTCCACACACAACATTTTCCGTGATTAGGCGTGATTCTTTATTGAGTTTCAGTTTGAAACGATGCCCAAACCTACGTTTCTTAGACTAGTTTCGTTATACGACGTATCGTTAGTGAGCGTCCACACACACAATTTTCATCGTAAAACTATCGCGAAACGGTATCACTATCGCGAAACAGTATAGCTAATCACGCCTAATCACGGAAAATGTTGTGTGTGGACAGGGGGTAAATTGGCTTTGAAGTGTGTATCTAGTAGCTCTGGGTGTTTACCATATGCTGTCAATCACCAGGATTAGCCTTCAGTTTCATGACCAACAGGCCTTATGTAATGCCCTGCATTTCCACCCATCCCTCCATATGGCAAAGTTATTATCTCACACTTCCCTCACTTGAACCTGAAGACTCTCTGAGAGACTAGGGGGTATTTCTTGATGGGACCACGGGTTTGCTGTGTGCATTACATGTTCTTGTACACCCATTAGGCCATGTAAAATTGATTTCATGTTGATCGTCCCCGCCCGCTTCCTTTTTGGGGGCCGCCTCCTATTTTTTGTTATTTGTTATTTTTTTTTTGTTTTTGTTTTTGAAATTTTTTGAAATTTTTTTTGATTTTTTTTTTTTTTTGAAAGAAAAAAAACATGAAAAACACTGCTAAAATGGCTCTATTTCTGATTTAAAAAAAAAAAATTGTTGGCGGCCATCTTGAAAAAAAATAGCCTCGACTGTCAGGGAAAATGTACCGAGCGGCCATTTTGAGCGGCCATTTTGAAATATCAAATATCAAATAACATGGTACACCCTCCTCCTCTTTTTCAAAAAATCCGGACGATCAACATGTAATCAATTTTACATGGCCTTAATGGTATTTCCACCAAGTCTGAAGCCAGCAAATTATGACCCCCTGCACATGGAAATTGACGACTACAGGTGTATCTCCCTTTAAGACCTATTTTTTTGTTTATTGCAGTAGTGTTGTATTTTTCTGTATTATTTTTATTTTTTTTTACAATGTATGCTATCCAAGTTTGTAATGTAAAGCGCACAGAGAATATGTACTTTAATATGTGCTATAAAAATTCAACATTATAAATTTAACAGATCTCTGCATAGCAAAGCATTCCAAGAATGCTCACTTTTCTGTGTGTTTAGAAGATAGAGAATAAGTATTTTTTTTCTTTTGAATAAAGCTTCACATTCATGTATCTGACTTCTAAATACAGAGATTGAATAGTGACCTTTGTAAATGTGCCTTTTGCCATTCATTTACATTTGTCACATACAACTACATGTACGTCCCAATCTGCACGTTTAAAATAGCTCAAGGCTATCTGTTGTTAGAAATGAGCAGCTCATTCCTAAAATTACATGAAGAATACAACCTATTATGCTTAAAAAGCCCCCCCCCCCCAAAAAAAAAAAAAAAATCTTGTGGAACACTTTAAGACCGCATCTAACAACTTTTCACACCATTATTTAATACTACATCATGCACAAACTGGAAATGGGCTTGAACTCCTTGGAAGTTTGCAGTTACCCTACCGGTATCCTTCATTCCTTATGTACATGTACATGTAGCTAATGGCTGACTAGAAACCTTTCCACAATTCCAAATCCTGTAACAATGCATGAAACAGAAATAGCTATTCTGGTAGAACTGATTTGGGTATCGTAAGAAGTAGTCCAAATTTACGTTTCATTCTGTATGTCGTGCAGATTGATTGTCATTGTATTTAGGCCCAATTGTATGAGAAGTCTTCTTATTTATTTTGTGTACGATAGAGCAGTATCGACTGACCATGTGACTCAACTTGCGTGTACACTCCCACAAGCTATTGTAAACAAATCAAACTGTACAAACTATAATTCAGGTTTTAAAGATTAAATTTGAGTTCTGGTCCCTGTTTCAGAAATTTTGTTATCAATAACAAGTTGCAGTAACTGTTCTAAAAGCTACTGAAATTGTTGCACGTGATTGGCTGTGAGCAAATTTGATACAGAAAATTTGAAATTTGATACCTGTACTTGACTGTTATTGATAACGAGTTTTATGAAACTGAGCTATGAGGCCCTGGTCATGTAATTGCAATGTGAAACAAGATTGGAAAGGTTCATTACCGGTATGAAACACATCGGTGTACTACATGTTACATGTATACTGTAAGGTTTTGGAATCATAAAAAATGATAAGCAATCGGCTCGGTCTTACTAAGAGTCACAATGAATGTGTACATGTATACAGCAGGCCTTAAATTTCAATATTTTTAGGGCAAGGCCACTTTTCTGTAGGGCACATTCCTATATTACAGCACAAATAGGAAGAATTGGAAAGGGCACAAAAAATGTCCAAGGCCAATGAGAGGGGCATTGAGGCCAATCAAAGGGGCATCCACGGCCATGGCCTTGGTGGCCTTGGATTAATTTAAGCCCTGATACAGTTGTATGAGACTACACAAGCATGTTGTATATACTCTTCCACACTATAGAGTAACATAAAAAGAATGAAAAAGCTCACAAATTATTTTTAACCTTTCCAGGAACTTAATCTTCTTTTTACCATAATCTAGAAGTGCTTCTATTTACTTTGGTGAGCATGCACACAGTGTAACTGTAAGGTATTAGCTAAAATGAAGAATATCAGCTAGAGAAGGTTGACTTGCTGAGTAGTGAGTGTTATGGGGACAAAATGAGTGAAAGTAGACAAGGCCAGTATTTGAAATGTGGTTTAATTTGGAAACCTCTTTATTTTAAACATTCAAGGTTCAAGGTTCATTTTATTTCTTTCTTTCACAACATTTTTACATATAATAATAGAACAAAAAACATCATAAGAAAAAAACAATTGAAGTGCAATTTTAAGTCAATATATAATCCAAATGAAAGATGAAGACAATTAAAATTTAATAAAATCCCATGCACTGTATATAAATTTCAATATGATTTCAGAAAGTTTGGCCAAAATTTGAACTTGGGTTCTTGATACATTTTGATTTGCATGCTGTGAATAGAATTGGTTTATGATGTACCGTACACTGAATGATGATTGGGTGTCTTTTAATCAGCCAAGCAATGGATGATATGATTGTCTGGCTCCACCTGCCCAGACCAGCAAACAATGCAAGTGATTGGTACATGTATGATTTCAAACCAGCAGTTATTTGGCTAAAAGCTTGTGCATTGTGCATTTGATTCAACAACAGTATCCACTATCTAGTAGTATATGTAATGAAGATACATGTAAGCGTACTTCTCAATCATAAGAATTTGTGTAATACTTTGTCCAGACTTGTATATTTTTCATACAGTATGTGTACAGAATATCATACTCTAAAATGAAAGAAAGAAAATAATATTCAAAACCACGTCATAAAAGTAAATTCTGATATTAGCATAGTACATTGTACATGTAGTGACTAAAGACAAATTTCTCCTGCGCCAATTGCTCTGTGATAAATACGCTTGGCATCATTTCATCAAAGTTTTTGGGTTAGGGTTGCAATTTATGGGGGTTGGTTTAGGTTTTGGGTTTATGGTATGGTCTACTTTGGTATAGTGTTTGGTCCAGTGTTAAAGTTAAGATTTAAGTGTAGATTAAATGGCTGAGTCAATTGCAGGCCTTAAATTAATCGACGGCCATCGACGGCCAGGCCGTCGATGCCCCTATGACTGGCCGCGGTGCCCTCCCAAAAAAAGATAAATTCACGGCCAAAAAGGCCGTGCCCTTTTTTTCCAACTGGCCGACGTGCCTTTTTTTCCAACTGGACGTGCCCTTTTTTTTTAAATTTGCGCACATAAAACCACCAATTGCGCCCATAATCATCTAAAACTAGACGGCAAGGCGCAAGTGTTTTCCGTGAAAATGCGCCCATAAATTATTAGAACAGTAAAAATACACGAATCACGAACAGTCTGCCGCCCACGAGCTCTCTTCTAGCTTCGTATTTAGTGCTTTAATAAGGCGCAAGTGCCGTGAAAATGCGCCCTTTGTTATTATATAGGCAATGCGCTAGCGCACGTACAATCACGCGATCGCATGATATGCATATGGTGCATGCTGTTGACGCACGCACGTACGTACGTACGTACAAATCGAAGGTCAGGATCAAGAAAACAAATCGTCAAATGGAGAAATAAACAAGCATTCAAATAGTCATTAGAGATCTGTCGAGGTTTGTTTGTAGGTCTAGTTTATTATTTTATCTCAAATAGAATTTAGAATTATCTTATTAATAAGTTAAGAACACCTACGATGTTCTCGATCGTAGTTACTCTCATTTTGCCACCAGCCGACCTCGCTTCAAAAAGCTACCCCGCCAGCTTCCCAAGACGAACGTTTCGAGTCCCGGTAAAATTACGCGCTGCGAATCTCCGAGGGTGCATCGGTTTCGCTGGCAAACTTCCAGCCCGACAGCTTCCCACCAAAAGTGGCGAGAGTGTGTGTGCGAGGAACGATTTTGATTTCGTGAATGCACGTTACGCAACTGAGCTGAGCGTGTCACTTTCAGCTGTCGAATGTCTATAAGGACATTTTTACATCTTATTTCATTAGTTAGGCCTATCTAGACCTTTCTATACAACAGTTAAAAAGATAATTTCTTCAAATTTGCTCCTACTACCGAGAGAGTGGCGGAAGGTTTGTGTGTGAGGTGCGATTTTGATTTGGGATACCCGGCCCGGCCCGGTAAACTTGCCAAGTCCTTCTGACTTTCGTGTTTGTGAAATTGACAATTTATTTATTCATTTGCTCATCAATATTTTTAGTTACTTTAAAATACTGTTTAATGTGCAAGTTTGATGTTCTTAATCAATCTTTCCTGTTCATATTGTTAAGATTAAAAAGTTATTAAATTGATCGTTCGATCTATTCACATTATGAAATTAACATTTGTAGACTCTCTTTGAACTTATGATTAGATAAGGGGGCCTATCTCTTTTTGGAAAATTGCCCCTTGCTCTGGTAAATTCCCGTGGCAAAGGGCAACTTAAAAAAAAAATTGCCCCTTGCTCCTGCATGGCTGCTAAATCTAAGGCTTGCGGGCCGCCGCCTTGTTTGTATGTACCGTAGACCTCTATACATTCTGTGAAGAAGCTGGTGCTAAAAGTCGTGGGAAATTGATCCCGCTCAAGTTTCATAAAATACACATGACATCTAACAAAAATAGAATCAATTTTTTTGGCCTCATACTCGATGCCCTTTTTGTAAAATATTTTGGCCTCGATGCCCTTTTTGTAAAAATATTTTGGCCTTGGTGCCCTTAAAAATATGAGGTACTCGAGGCCAAACTGGCCTTGCCCTAAAAATGACGAAATTTAAGGCCTGCAATTGACATATAGCACTTATTACAGGACCAAGCTTAGTATGGGTTTCAACAGTACATACATGTAGGCTACCTCATGCAAACAAGTACATTGTACATGTATGTGTATTGCTTGAGTGTATAGGAAGAAAACAATCAAATGTGTCATCATTATTGGTACCACATTACTTCCTGAATTCTCCTTAAAGTCATTCAAGTACAATGTAGACCTTTAGAGGTCGTACATGTGTGTTTTTGACACTCCAACCCACACAGGAAGCTCTGCTGGGAAACAACTTTCTTTACCTGTTCCAACCACAGTCTCAAATTCAGACCTTACAATACAGTATTCCTTTGTTGCCCATATGGCCTGCATGCACATACCAACTACAATAAATTGTTCATCAAATTGGCAACAATAATATATTTTCTTTTATGCTACATTGTTCAAATAAAAAGCAATGTCTCAGAAAATATAATTGGGTAGGAATTTTGTTCAAAAGTTGGAAAAAATTGCCAAGTTTGATGGAAAAAATTTGATTTTTCAACCTCTCAATAATTTGCCAATATTTCCCTTTTTTCCCTTTTTGCCCTTTTTTAAAAAGTTCCTATCATCAAACACATTGTATTCATGCAATAAATATGGACATGTAACTTTTTGTGTGCAAATTTTTCCCCTTTTCAGTTTTCATGCATCTGGTATATTTTTTTAAGGCTCTGAATCAAAAGTTACCAGCCAAACTACACAATGTGGAATGCTTACATTACAAGTCTTGAAATAGTTAGAAAGGCCATTACAAGTAATATTTGTGGGGCTTTTTAAGTATATTGAGTTGTATTCTTTATTTCATTTTAGGGATGAGCTGCTAGCTCATTTCTCAAGTAACAAAAGATAGCCTTGGGCTATTTTAAACGTGCAGATCGGGATGTAGTTTTATGGCTGCCTAAATTGGGTCAACCTTTGTTCAATGCAATGCATTGTAAAAGTAGATCCTGAAAGTGTTTGGAGCAAATAGAAGTCTTTTATGATATATTCTATATGAATAACAGAACAGTTTGTATTACACAATGTGTAACAAAGCAATTATTTTAACCATTCACTGCATTTTCTTGAGGTACATGTACCCCAATCTGGAAAATTGAAAGCCTATAAACAGATAAAGTATAAACACTACTGTACTACTGGTTAAAGTGTAAATGTATACCTGTAGGTATTTACAGTGCATACATGTACATGTATTATTAATTTACAAAAATAAAATGGATTGAAAATGTTTGAATTTTATGCCCTATTGTACACTGTAAATCATAATTCCATAAAGATGGGATAAAAATGTTCAAAGTTTTTGCCCTTTTATCACATCCAAAAATGCAATTAGAATTGAATATTGGATGTCTACTAATTATTGATTTGTTCTCTGCAATGAATGGAGGAACATGATAGAGCATAACATATTCTGAGATTGAATGCTTTTTATGTTAGAAAACAAAATGGGTTGGTTGAAGAAGTGCACAGAGAAATGTTAAGGTAATGTACATGTACAGTACATGTACATGAGTAAGTCATAATGTGATATTGGACAACACTCCAATACTCCATGAATTCTCCCTATGGAAGGGTTATCTGTCAGTCAATTGTATATTTGTTCATTTGTTGATACTAACAAATACAATTTTTTCTTTCTTGATTTATTTTTGTTTTCAGAACACAAGGTGATCATAGTAGGCCTGGATAATGCAGGCAAAACAACTATACTCTATCAAATGTAAGTAGTTATTGCATTTCAGTGTTTTCTTTATTGATTTTGTTTGTTTTTAATTATATAAGGATTCATTGAGTATAATATGATCTGCAGTTCGCTAATGCAATTGTCGAGTCAAGAAATTGAGTAGCAAGCATGATGATGATGTATCCGTGTGTTTACAAGGGGATATTAACATGATTGTTGAGTCAGAAGTTGTTAGGGAAAGAAGAAGAAGAAAACATTTAAGAATAGATTAATAGGGAGGGAAAGAGGAGAAGAAAGATGGAGAGGAACTAAAATTGTTATCACAGTGTTTCTGAATACACTGCCTACATGTACATGTATTTTGAAGCGTGTTTGGTAGAACATTGAGTGTTTTATTAAAATTATTCAAATATTCAAATTATTATTCTGGCCTGTCTTTCAATCCTGAAAGTCTAGATGTTTTTGAGAAATTACCCCACTTTTTTGTATGAGTACATGCAAATGCAATAGATACTTCTCATTCAGGCAAGGTAATAAAGCACCCACCTGTCTATAGAGACCCCCTCCCTCTTAAAGATGAAGTTGAGTTCTGGTCATGCGATTGCATTATGAAAGAAACGGTGTGGAATCGACCAGAAAAGGTTTATCATCTAGCGTATAAGAATTTGTGTGTATTGCAAGGTTCTGGAATCATCAAAATGATAAGAAATTTGGCCAAGTCTTGGTAAAGTTACAAACACTGTACACAGAAAGATGTATATGGGACTACACGAACACGTGGCGTAAAAATCCCACCCCCGAGTTTTACGATGTTACATGGCATATTTAGATTATGAAGGCATTTGAGGAGCCATGCTTTTCGGGGAACATGTCTTATCTGATGTTCTTCCACACTTGCATAATAAGAATGATAACGCTCACAAATTATTTTCCACCTCTTCCCAGAACTCAACCTTCTCTTTAAACAGAATTTCTCAATCATGAAATAAAGGAAAAGAAAAAAGATGTTTGTATTAAACCTGTTTATCTTGTATGAAGGCCACCTGCGTAAAGTGCCTACATGATTGTCCATGTACAGGTGTGTGAATTCTGAATTTCATCCTCTCTTATTGAAGCAGTCTATAAGACAGGTGTGACTGTTATATAATCATAATTACATGTACTGTACATGTACATGTATGTTAATGTCTTCTCCTTGATTCTCTTTCTCAGTTTGATGAACGAGGTAGTGCATACGTCACCCACCATCGGTAGCAATGTGGAGGAAGTCACATGGAAAAACATACACTTTTTAATGTGGGACATAGGAGGGCAGGATTCACTACGCACAGCATGGAGCACGTACTATGCAGGCACACAGGTAAGACACAAATTATGATTTGCTTGCATTCTTGAAAGGATACTATATTTGTTTTTACCTGACTGCTAAGAAAGTATTTCATATAATGTACCTTGAATATACCTTTAAGGCCACACCTCGCCATCATGAGGCCCGTCTTCACTATCTCGAGATTGCCAAATATCCAGCTATTTGAACTATCCCGATCGCAAACTATCCAGCTATTTACGTCTTCATTAGAACGAAGTAGCAAATTAGCTGGATAGTTGGTCGGGATAATATCCCAAGATATCTCGGTCTAGTTTGCAAAATATCCCACTATTTCCGAACTAGCGGGATAGTTTGCGACCGTCTTCATTAGACCGAAGTCCGGAGTCAAATATCCCGATCCCATCATGCACAACGATTTCCGGTTCGCACATGCGATCTATACCGCTCAGCGGGCTAGTACAACCACTGACCTCGAGTAAGCACGGAAAACCGCAAACTAGACTGAGATATCTTGGGATATTATCCCGACCAACTATCCAGCTAATTTGCTACTTCGTTCTAATGAAGATGCAAATTAGCTGGATAGTTTGTGATCGGGATAGTTCAAATAGCTGGATATTTGGCAATCTCGAGATAGTGCAGACACGCCTATGGGGATGAAGTTCCAGTAGATAGTGTGGTGTGGCAGGGTTAAGGGGGTCCCATGGAACCCATTTAAAAACCCAGGTTGGATAGTTGGCTTTTGAAGCTGAGGAGTGTGGGAGCATCAATGGCAGTTTGTGGCAGCTTGTTCCATTTGCTAACATACCGTAATGACATATACATGTATGTACTTGTAACTAAGCAGCCAAGGGACCAACTGCTTTACATCGTCTCAGAAGGACTTGGTAATGAGGATTAAAGGGCACTAGCGCATCAAATCAGTTTTGAACTCGGGATCTCCTAGTTACGTGACCCCCTCTACCACTGAATCATCGGGCCTGCCTCTTTCGACCAGGTTTAAGTGGGCAAATTAATTGATTTGTCGAGCATGGAGTATAAATCTTCTAATCTAGTAAAAATTGCCATCATCGTGTAACCCAATAAACGAACAAAAACTATGTTGTCAAGTTCTCACTTTAACTTCATGATGGTATTATTTCATTTGATATTTTTTTGGAGAATGATTCTGGTTAATGTGAGGATAAATCAAAGTTAGGCTGGGATGTATAATTTGCACCTGTACATGTAGGTAGCCTACTGTGCATTCTCCTATTACATTGTAGATACTCTGTCATGAATAATGAAGCACAAGTCCTTTTAAAAAAAAATCCTGCTCATGAGGTTATAAGTTGATGTTAAATCTACTCCAGTGTGATGACTACATATATTTGGGTAATTCCTGAGTAAAGACTTAAATAGTTGAGTGAGATTGTGAAGTGATTTCCAAGCATAATATTGCATCCTTTAATGTCATACCTAGAATCACTTAACAATCTCACTCCACTATTTAAGTCTTTACTCAGAGCCACGAATATGTGTAGGTTCCTTACATGTACATGTACTATTGTATGTAAGTGGGTCCTTGATTTATGGAATTACCCATGGTATTTCCCTTTAGCGCTTCATGTACCGGTACATGTATTCATAACAATAGCACAGACATCAAATGCTCCACGTGTGCATTCCGGTTGTGATTCATCCGGAATGTGTAAACACTAAAACAGTGTTCATATTAAGGTGACTTTCGGTTCTTTTGTGTTCGGGTAAAGTAGTGAATGAGATGGAATTGATGACGTGTTTGTTTTCCTTTTATACATGTGGGGGAATCCCCCATGGTTATACATAATATGGGATTTTCTTTTAGTGTTACTCCATATGTACAGCACAGATTTACAGTATATGCATACCACTGTAGCAGGGAATAATAGTGCCAAGGCTTACACTTGCATGAACTTTTATATTTTATATTTTACACATGTATATAACCCCACTACAGTTGTAGGTTTTGTTTCACTGTATTCTTGAATGATGTAGATGTTCACTCTGTTTAGGCATGAGATATTTATTATTGCTGTCGTTCCGATGCAGGATCCTGCAATGCGTGCTCCAGAACGATCGGCTCAATGACTAGTGACAGGAGTACAAATATTATACAACACTGCGCCAGAACGCGACGGCGTGATAATCGTCCGACTGCAGTAGGATGAATTGATTTATAATTGAGTGAAAGAAAGAAATTTGAAATTTGAAGTACCGGTAGTAAAATACCATGGAAACAAAAAAGAAATTCTTCTTAACATATTCACTGACACATTGCATATTTGCAGACCTGTATAAATGTCATACAGAAAATATGCGTACCTGTACATGTACAGTATGTACCAGTAGGTCCATTATTGTGCATGTATTCACTGTAGGTGAAATACTAAGTTGGTCTCTCCTTAAGTACACACGTACAGTACAGTGTATGAGTACATGTTGTATGAAATATATTACATGTTATTTGAATAGGTAGGCCTTCTCTGTGTATCAATGTTATCCTAGGAATCAGAGTGACTCACTCTAATGTCATTGCTTTTGCATATTTGTTGAGATATAAGATACATATCATTTCAAGGTAAAATATACATGTAGGTCAATTTGTATGGTTGTGTGAAATTATCACTCGTGAACAAGTGTACAATAGTTTGTTTGAGCATCAGTTAAAGGGGAAGTCCACTTTGGCATAAAAAGAAAGAAAGTAAAAACCCATAATAAGTAGAGCAACAAATCCATGGCAGCTCTACAATGTACATGTATAGGAAAATCTAGGTCACCTTGTTAAACTGCTGTGGTTTTTATATAATGACCTACATTTATTGTACTGGTAATTAATACCCTTCACATTTCCGTATCTGATAACACAGTGAATATGTGCAAGGCTTTGGTTGGGCGCAGTTGCCATATATACGTAATTACGTATAAACAATTATTTTAAAGACACAGAGCGGTTTGCTACAGTACTTCTGAACAAGCCTTGAGGGATAAGAAAGTTATGCAGTTTTAAAATTGTACTCATCAAACACTGTGCATCTCTTCCATATGTTGTGTAAATGTGTTGCTATTCTTTTATTCATGAGGCATCTGCCCTTGTAGATTATGTTACTGGACACATTCTTAATATCTACACACACCTCTACATAATAGATCAGAGCAACTGAGAATATTCAAATTCTATATGTAAAACAACTAGAGGGATGCCCTCAAAGTTCATATACATACATGTACTTTACTGTGTATGTGGATGTGCATTATTAAAGATGTCAATTTTTATTTGATTGATTACAATTTTAATTCAAAAGTTCACAACTTTTTGTTTTCTGTCATATCCTGTCATACAATGTACTGTACATTGAGATGTACCTTCCTAAACTTCCCTGATATGTAATTTTGTGTAATTCGTCTGCCGTTTAAAAATTAAACTAACGTCTAGATGGACAACAACAAGAACAACAGACAAAAAATAAATAAATTGTGATTTAAATTTTTAAGGTAGCCTTACAACTGTATGTACTATTGCAAAGACATGAAATAATATTTCTTTTCCATACTTCACCATTATTATTAAATTGCCCTTTGCAAATAAGTTAGTGATTATTGTACCATCCTGTATTCCTGTATAATTGTCTTGACTTGGTTTCCTTGTTTCAGTTTATCATTCTAGTAATTGATAGCACCGACAGAGAAAGGTTGCACATAAGCAAAGCAGAACTCTACCAGATGTTAGCTAATGAGGTAAGATAATAGCAGTCTTTGAAAGTTAAAGGTAAAGACCAGTTTTGGAAACGCCCCCTCTAAAAAATGAAATGGAAGCTCTTATTACCAATCATGTGAAAGAATATGTTTTTACTAATACATGATGATACAAATTTTGCCAGGAAACCGCCTACTAATTGATATATTTGGTAAATTATTATATCTATTTGGACGGGATAGATGTCGCGTAGTCCCATACATCTCTGTACAGTGCTTGTAACTTTACCAAGACTGGGCCAAATTTCTTATCATTTTGATGATTCCAGAACCTTGCAGTACACACTAATACTTATATGCTAGATGATCAACCTTTTTTGATCGATTCCACAACGTTTCTTTCACAATGCAATCGCAAGACCAGAACTGATCTTTACCTTTAATACCTAGGCCTACAATATGTAAAGTGGATTAAGTATAACAGATTTCTACGAAATTTTGAAAGAAACCTTTGGATTTAAAAAGAGTACTTCAAAGAAGTGCTCTGTAAAAAAAACACTGCAGCTGTCAGGCTATTATAGTCAACTCATTACCTTAGTAAGCCTTTTTTGTTGTGGTTGCAGCATATGGGGCTTCATCATAAAGCCCTTAGCACTGCATAATGAATGAATCAATAGAGAATAGAAGTTCCACGTGTATACATGGGGAGTGCCCTCCCTGCTTGTGCTCGATTTGCATGCATGCACGCTCCTAGCTGTGCTGTGATTTGGTATGTGACGTCCACCGTTCATCCACTGGTGACAGCGCTCCCACTACATACCTGAGTGAATATCACTCGTAATGTACATACTGGTATGCAGGTGATTGCAAAATGAACTGGAAAATCAATGCTTTCAAATTTTGATTTATCATTAATCAACCCAAGATTATGGTTTTGTTCTCTCCTATTTCAAGGGGGAAAATGATTATAATTGCACCTGTATTAATTTAATATTCAGCATGTTTATGGCTGTGGTACATTGATTTAATGTCATATCTCCCAAACATATGGTCACCATTTTGATTAAATTTCAGCTCTTCATTTCATCTTCTTTGATCAAAATTTGAGTTAGTGTTTGTATCACATTTTAATGAAAAGTAGAGTTAAGTACAGTACATACATATACTACTTAATGTACATGTACATACACATGGTTATGTTGTTATCGAAAGTAGAGTTATACAGTGCAGTCACATTTTAATTAAAATGTCAATTTCATACTTAATATCTATTGACATCAAAATTGGAACTGTACATTGTACAGCCTTCAAAATGACATAGAACCAATAACATGCAAAAATGATTAGAAAAACAATACTATATAATGTCAATTTTGTGTGCATGTTATTGGTTCTCTGTCATTTTGTTTGCTATACAATGTACAGGTCCAATTTAGATGTCAATAGATAAAGTACAAAATTGACATATAGCCTTGTTTTTGTAATTATTTTTGCATGTCCATGTTATGCACTTGTCAAAAAAGGTTGGCATGATATTTACAATGCTGTTTCATTGTGACAGGTTGTTAATTGAAAAGCTTAAAAGATGAATCACTGTATCATAGACTATTTAGGCCGCGCGAGTCACACCGTGCTTACATGTAAGTGTACATTATGCATAGCCACGGCAATGATTAAGATGTCATTTTGTTCCCTAATAGCTAACCACTACTGCATGTAGATGGGTGGAGGGTTTTATAATGCTCTAATGGTGTCTAGTGCTTTACATGTAGATCAAAGGGTGACCTGAAATTTAATCCAAAGTGCTACCATACCATGACTACCATACCGGTACTCAAAATATTCACTAGAAAGAGAGAAATATCTCACAGCGTTATGTTTTTGTTATCTTTCTGTCTATGCTTCATATTGATTTCCTTTTCACCCCCCCCCCCCCAAGTGTTAGAGATCCTTAATTATGATAGTAAAATAGAACTTGGAATTATACTTGTTGAATATGTCCCTAAATTTGTCAACTCATGATAAGAAATGATATTAAATCTGGATTTATATATAACTTAATAGTTAATATAAAAGAAATACTATCTCTAAGCACTTTACAGATAGGATCCCACCGTGCTTAAGTGTTCGTTATGCATAGACACAGCAATGATAAAGATATTGTTCTGTTCCCTAATAGCTAACCACTTCTAGATGAGTGGAGGGTTTTTATAATGCTCTGATGGTGTCTAGTGCTTTACATGTAGATCAAAGGGTGACCTGAAATTTAATCCTAAGTGCTACCATACCATGACTATCGGTACTCAAATACTCAAAATATTCAGTAGAGAGAGAAATATCTCACAGCGTTATGTTTTGATTGCTATCTTTCTGTCTATCCTTCACATTGATTTCCTTTTTCGCCCCCCCCACCAAAAAAGTGGTAGAGAACTAGAGATCCTTAATTATGATAGCAAAAAAGAACTTGGAATTTAAATTTATGAATATGTCCTTAAATTCTTCCATTCATATTATAATGATATTAAATCTGGATTTGTATAGCACTTAATATTAAAGAAATACCATCTCTAAGCACTTCACAAATTACAAATAGGATCACACTGTGCACAAAGGTAGTACATAATGCATAGCCACGGCAACGATTAAGATGTCATTTTGTTCCCTGATAGCTAACCAAGTACATGTAGATGGGTGGAGGGTTTTATAATGCTCTAATGGTGACTAGTGCATACATGTAGATCAAAGGGTGACCTGAAATTTAATTGTAAGTGCTACTCAAAATATTCACTAGAGAGTAGAGAGAGAAATATCTCACAGCATTATGTTTTGATTAATTAATATCTTTCTGTCTATGATTCACATTTTCTGACCCCCTCCACTCCCCCCCCCCCCAAAGGGAAAATGTTAGAGATCTATCCTTGATAATTCTGATTACAAAGAAAGAAGTCATTGGAATTAAACTTGTTGAATATGTCCTTGAATTTTTCCACTCATGGTATGAAATGATTATAATAAATCTGGATTTATATCGCATCTCTATACTATACCATCTATAAGTACTTTATAGATACAATATAAAGGATAATGTACCAGGTACATGTATTTTGATGTTCTATCTGTGATTTCCATTGAAATGCGGTGTGTCATATTATCTGAAAGGAACATCAAATCAAAGGCCAACCGGAGATAGTTTTGTATAAAGCCTTGAGCACACATAGGTGTGTGTTTGGTAATTACTCGTAATACACATCTTCATTGCACCATGGTTATGTTTGCAATCAGGATTTCGCTGTAGTTCAGGGTTAGGGCAAGGGTTATAAATAGTGTTTGATACAGGGTTCTGAAGTTGGGATTCCAGTAATTGTTTGAAATTGACTGCAGAGCAATTGCCACAGGGGCATGCGCTGTACAACCAAATTAAGAATCTATTCCCGTGTCCAAACACAAAAAAATCATTGTATAGCTATCCCGTTTCGAGATAGACATACAATGAAATTTTGTGTGTGTACGCTTACTAACGATACGTCATAAAACAAAACGCGGGTCTGGGCATCGTCTCGAATCACAAAGAATCACAGAATGTTTTGTGTGTGGATGTATGGTCGAACTAGAACGGTATGCCGTATTAACTGGGCGGGGCTTAACGTGACCGCGCCCAAAAGGAGACCTGACCTGTCATTTCCGCTTCCATGTCATGACCACGGTGCGGTGCAGTAGTAAACTGCGCACTAATACAACGTTTCGCTGTAAAGTTTTGGAATTACTTTTTCTTGTGTGGACGCCATGTTCACTATACAATGATTCATGTGTGTGGATGCCTTGTTTGTTATACAATGATTCTTTATACAACGTGTCTTTATAGAGTTTCAGGATCATTTTTTCTTGTGTGTGTTGACACACTGCATGAAATTAACATTGTACTTTTGTTGCTTTTGATAGGACCTGAGGCATGCTGCGGTTCTCCTCTACGCAAACAAACAAGACCTCAAGGGCTCCATGTCATCGGCGGAAATCTCACAACAGCTCAACCTAACATCAGTCAAAGATCATGCCTGGCATATACAGGCCTGCTGTGCTCTTACAGGAGAGGGGTGAGTAAAACCTGCCTATAGAGGACACCTTTATTTAGGCCACCTGTCTATAGTGACCATGTCTTTAAAAAAAATGACCACTTGTCTGTAGTGGTCACATTTAGCGTACGGTATCAAAGATCATGAGTGGCATATACAGACCTGCTGTGCTCTTCCGGGAGAGGGGTGAGTAAAACATGCCTACAGTGGACCCCTTTTATCAGAATGCCGCTGGTTTATTATAGACATCTGACCATGGGGCCAGTTTGTATGCAGTTCACTACATTTAAACAACAGTTCAGGGACAATGAGAATGCATACCGTAAATCTCTGTGTATAAGGCGCACCTGTGTATAAGGCTGATTTGTGCTTGTGAACTTGTCACAAATAATAGTAACAATGTCGTTTTTAGAAGAATGTGTAAGATCATTAATGTAAATTAAAAACAAAAGAGTACATATGGTACCAGTGGTGCACCTTGTGGTACACCATTTGTTATAGAAAAAAATATTTGAGGAATTATTATTATAAACTACATATTGAGATCTATTAGAAAGATTACTTTCAAACCAAGATGACAGACAAATTTGAGTGTTGTTGTAGTTTCCGAGTGGTGAGTCAACACACTGATTACTGAGCTGGGTGACATTGCCAGGCATAGCGCCATAAATCGAAACTAAAAAAAAAAAAAAAAAAAAAAACTTTTTTTTTCTGTACCTGTGTATAAGGCGCACCCCCGACTTTCACATTTTTTCGGCGGCAAAAAAGTGCGCCTTATACACGGAGATTTACGGTATATCGAGGGTTCAGTGACACAAAGACGTAACTCCATATTTTGCCAAAATGAGTATTTGATATCAAAATGTTCAGAAAAATGTGGGCTTTCCAGGAAAGCCCAAAGACTTAACTCAATCCAACACTCCATTGAAGTCAATGGCTAGTGAAACATAGACTTAACACCCTAAGGCCCAAGTGGACCTCTGTCTTTAAACCACTTTTTCTCAAAAGGGCCAAAATGGAGTTACCGGTACGTCTTTGTGTCACTGATCCCTCGATATATGCATTCTCATTGTCCCTGAACTGTTGTTTAAATGTAGTGAACTGCATACAAACTGGCCCCATGGTCAGATGGTCGATATGTAAATGTACAGGTATTCTGTGCTCTTACTGGAGACTACTGCCGTATTTTATAAGGGTCTTTTTTAGGCAGAATGAGAACACTTTTTTTAAACAAATACCGTTAGTTGCATAAACATGTGTTTGATTGGAGGACGTATGACCCATTCAGACCAACCATCTCTCTGTTTAAGACTGGGCTCTTTTCTTAGATCATCTGAGATATGTCTCAACATTCAGAAACTGTAGATGTACGTTAAATCTTGAATGATAAATGATGCAACTGTATTCTTTCTTTCCCGCCTCCCTGTAGACTATATCAAGGCTTAGAATGGATCGCCAATCAGATCAGAAGATGACGAAGGTTTCTATCCCGTCTGTCACTCTGTCTCTTCAATGTCCTCCATTCTCGTAAGTATGCTGAGAATGTGAACAAGGCCTTAGAGATACAAATGTACATTATACATGTACTTCTAAGGTCCTCTTCACACCACATGACATTATAAATGTCTGAGAAAACGTTGTCCTAGGGGGTGTTTCACAAAGATCGACTTTAAGTTGGACTTAACTATGACAGGCCATTCATGCCACTGGTTGCTCTCACTATTGGTCTCTCAGTTGTGATCTTTAGATAATATTTTTTCGTTCAATAATGACCTATCAAAAAATGTGCATTCTGTAGATTTGTGATCACGATTTATACGTCCCTTCAGAGGCCAATGCCAGTAAATGGTAAGAGCAAACAGTGGCAGTAACGGTCTGCCATAGTGAAGTCCAACTTAAAGTCAATGTTAGTCTTTGTGAAACACCCCCAGTAGATACTACTTGTTCTGTACATTGTACGTTGATTGTGTACTTGCAGATTTGTATGTTAATATACTTGGCTACCGTAACTACACTATTTGGCCATAGAGGGCAGCACAGGCCACGGGTATTTGGCAAAGGCACTTCTGGTTCTCATACAAAACCAATAGGTTGAAAACAGGAAATTCTGATGAAAATTGTAGTTTCGGATCCAATAAAATATAAGCAACAGATTGTGATGGTGCTTAGACAGATCTAACCAAATCATTGGGGGAATTAGCTCATGAAACCTGAACAATCGTTTAGTAAGATAAGGAATTAGTTGATACTGCTGTATATTATCTTTCCCAGTATCATATCTGCGTATGTGCTGACCTGCCCAGTGTGGGATGAAGGTCGCCATCTCCTGTCGAACATTTTTTTTGCAGTAGGGTCACGTGAAAATGATATTAGAAAATGTTCACTCCCATAAGGCGTAAAAAAAGAAAATGATGTTGTATTGACCTTTGCGACCAACACAAAAATCTTGAAATCTACGGTCGGCTTTATAGGAAAGTTTTTTAGAAAATAAATGTTTAATGAATAAAAAATATGTATTAAAGCATTCAAAACTGAGAAATATCAGCCCAAAGAGGGAGGGGGAAAAAATTCAAATTGACCGACCCATGTTTTGGCACCTAAAGGGCAATACGAAATCTTTTTTTCCCCCAGACTTTACCGGTAGTTCCTTTTGTTCGTAAATTCAGTCTAGAATAACTGATGTTAATCCCTTTTTTAATAATTTCTACACCTTCCTTTTTATCTTATCTCTACAGAGTCTCTTTTTGATATCCTAGAAGTAGCTAGCAGAAGAGCCTTTCGTAGTTCTACTCAAACTCTTGTCAGTGGTAACAGGCCAGCAAGTATCCAGCTCTCCGGCAAACTTGAAAAGTCTCCATAAGCCCCCGATTCTGATGGATGTATTGCCAAGTACAGTAATGTAAGAACAGGGTTGTGTACATGTACATAAAAGCCAAGAATGGTCAACCAACACTTTGCGCACGAAGTGATCTTAAGAGCAACAGATCATCACTTATTACATAGGAAAGCACATGAGCTACTCCTCTAACGACAGAATGTGTTATACTGAATCCTGTTCACACTGTTTTAATATTGAGTGTCTACATACTGACTGTCTTTGAACACATTGCCCTACCATAGTGAACACACCACAAAAGGGGCTAAGCACTACTCAAGGAGTACTTCATAGCATTATGGGAACTCACCTCACAGTTGCTCGCCACTGTTTGTTGTAACACACACGGAGACCCAATGACCCATCTCTGGAATAGTGTTTGAAATCTGTGAGTGCAAAAAGGACTCGTATGCCATCTTCTGAACATGGAGTATGTAACACTGTAATGACTTTTAGGTGTATCTGCAGAGAATGCTGTTGTACTTGCAAAATGACCATTTAACCTTCCAATGATATTATGTGAATGCGAAAAGGACTTGTATGCCATTTTCTGAGTGAGGAGTTCTGTAACGGATCATGTGTGTCAATTGCTGCACAAAATATTGAAATGGTAGCAGTGATCATTTAACCTTCATATGATCATGATTGAGTATGCGATTGCAAAAAAAAAGGAGTTATGAATGGTCATGTATTAAAGCATGGAGTGGAATGTTGTAATGAACTACACAATGTACATGCCACTTTGAATGCAAAATGTGAAATGTTTAAATACTTAGAATTGATCATTTATTTAACCTCACAGTTATCATCATTGATTACATGTACGTGTATATGAATGCAAGAATAATACTATGAACACAGAGTGGGAATTTGTACTGAATTTCGTTGCACATAAAGATTGAAATGTTCCTGAGCAGTGATCATTTAACCTCCACACTACCATTACCGTGATATATGACATGAGTTTTGCAGAAAGGGCACATTAATGGTTTAATGAGCATGGAGTTGAAACCCTGTATTGAATTCTGTGTGCCATTTTTACACAAAATTAGTAAAATGTTATGTAAAAATGATCATATAACCTCCACATTACCATGTCATATTTTGTGAACTTAAGAAGGACCTTCTCATCACTGCAATGAATTCTCTTGTGTCATTTTTGCACACAAAGATTGAAATTCTGTTGAGAAGTGATCATTTAACCTCCGATTCATCATACTGGAGTTTGCGAGTGCTAAAAAGGACCCATGTTTGCATACAAGGTGAAAGGTCAATTGAAAGGTCATTGATCTGAGATACTACATGTACATTTGTATGACATCACTTTGGTACTTTACATTTTTATATGAAAAAAATACATGTAGCGACGCAATGGGATTTTAACAGAAAGACATTTTAATGTTTTAATTTAGTGAAAAGTGTTTTTTTTTAAACAGGGGGCAGGTGTGGAATGTGATGGTTTGAAATATATTATTTTTCTTCAAATTTTACTTAACGCTCAAAGGTTGTACATGTCTGTATTGCATTGATTTTTGTTCAGTGCCATATATAGTCAACGGTAACATACAATATGTTATTTACATGATGAATACTTTGTATTGAGCATCGCAAAACATATTCAAAGATTAAAAAAGTCAAGCAGTGCGCGTGCTCACATGGATCACTTATTTGTATCTACATGTATTTGACACCATGCAGTATGATATGCAAATATTTTGTCTGCATTTTAAATTAAGAGATTTTAAGCAAATTGCAAAGTTTGTGATTTTTTGTTGTGTTTTTAAATTATTATTGAAAGCAGGATAATCCATTTTGCATTCTATGCATGTACATTTCATCTGTTTGGAGCCAGAAGGGTGTTAAGCCTATGTAAAACTATCTAATTTACGCCTTTTTGCGCTCAATGGACGATTTCATTCGTAGATACTTATTCTTTTATTTTTCCAATTTCTATCTATTTAAATGTATGTATTATTACTCTAGTGTCTTTTGTGTATATTATTGTATCATAAACTATAGTTGAATCGCGCCAGGTATATAAAATGAGCAGAGACATACTGTTGATTTCGAAATTTTTCACGGACAAATTCAGAGTATGACAAGGGTGCCTTGAGTATGTGCAGCGCATCTAGAGGCTGTTCAGTTCACACTGGCATGTTTCAAAGTTAAGTCTGTACAGGAACATTCTTTTTGATTTGATGTGAACACTCTTTATGTTAAGTGGCGTCTTGAAACCATGTGGATATACAGTATTTTTTTTCTTGCTTAAAAAAAAGAGAAGTCAATCCAATCCAAAAGTTATTTGGTATCAAGCATTTTCTTCCAGATAAACGGCGGCATTAAAAAAAAATATTCACATAAAATGTAGGTGACATTTCTGTATCTTATAATTCTGAGTTCGGTGAAGACGCACAGGACTCTTGTTTTGCACAGTTGCTATTCTATTTACACAGTCTATTAAAAATTGACAAACTTTACCGTGTCATATCTGTCATAATGGGCTGAGTACATTCTGATTAGGACAAGTTGAGAGAAACTGATCAATAAAAGTTTGACGGAAATATCACAAAGCACAAGAAAACGTTGTAATCGACTAAATACAAATTGGCAACTTTAAGATTAATCTACTGTAATTACAAACATGTATGCACTGTATCCTCACAAATATTACAAATTGTATAGAGCATGTAATTCAGAATTATGTACAGACTGATGGTTAATCAAATTATAGATTATACATTTCTATTTCTGTTCAATCATTTCAAGCTCGGTAGCAGGTTGAGTCAAGGAATTGTTCATATTCATGAATGTGTTGATTGAATGACATATTTCTTTTCAAATGCATACTTTCATCGGCTGTGAATAGAACACTCGCAAACTAATTCATTTTGGCATTGTCATTTTTACATCCATATTCATGCCAGGGACAATCGGTTTGTTTTCTTAATCTACAAAATGTATTGTCAGCATTCATAAAGGCATAAACCCACATGAAGATATGAATTGGTAAACTGCTTTGTGTTTTTTTCTTTATTACGTAACACAGAGTTGAGTGAATGTGCATAGGGCCTTTGTTGCGCAAAGTTGCCTTTCATAAACACGTTATAAAGAAAAGAATACTGCAGTTTACCGTTTCATATCCGAGGGAGTCATAATAGTTACACAGACATGTAGACAGTCGGTCATGGGTTATAGTTTTCTGAAATCTGGCCTGTAGTCGTTAATTTCAAATGTTTCCAATTGATGCAATCTTTAAAAAAGGAAATAATTTGCCTTCATTTATGATGTGAAGATAAATGATTATTTTAGAGGTTTAAATTTGTAAGTCATTGTTTTGAAATGTTTCCTCTCTCCTTCACAAAACCAATATCAGTTCTGCCTTGTTTACATATAACAAGATAAGGAAAGATACAATAATTGAAAACATTTTTCTTTGCACTTTTTGTAATGTCATAACACACTGCGTGCAGATAATGTGTACGCTGTATATGAAAAAAGAGTTGTTAAAATTCATGCAGACATACGACAAGTGTTATTTTGATGCAGTCACTTGAATTTACAAACACAATGATGCAGACATACGTGTAGCCTCTTGTATGCCACAAGTAGGTTTGTATTGTAGTTTTATTGCTTCCTTCAAAGTATTTAATGATTTTCCTGTTTAATCGAGTGTCTAAATATCATCTCTTGAAAGTTTCTTTTAATTGTCAGTCAGGAAACAGGTGTTTGAACTTTGTAAAGGAAGTGATATTGAGAAGAAATGAAGTGTTGGGTTTATTAACAAAGTCAAAGTAGAAAGTGTCTATCGTAAAGAAACTTGATTAATGTCCTTGAATATATTCCTTTGCCTATTTTTAAACCAGTTTCATCACTGCACAATCGACACCATGGTGAATATATTTTGTTTTGTGAATGCAATTCTTCAGCATCATTTCACAGAACAAGTGTACCAAAGAATTTGATTTGGACAATGTTTTGTGCTCACAAATGTCACCGTGCTTTGAATAGGAATTGATAGTACAACTTCTTTTATGATTTTGTTTTAATGTATCTATTGTTGAAAAAGAAACAGGCCTACATGTATCTGTAATATGCATTTGGACAGCAGAATGCCATTTACTATAACCTTTGACCTACATGTAAACTGTAACCCCACTTTAACTCTTGACCTACATTTGCCACAATGTTTTGGTAAGCCCCCCCCCCCCCCCCCCCCCCCCCGGATTTACACAGGTATTTTTAAGGATGCTTACAATTCTAAAACTGCTGCATTTTCTTTTCCTTGCAATCGAGATGAAAACAAATCGTCTTGTTGCCATCTGAATTATCTTTTTTTTTCTTCATACCTTTTTACATCTTTCTGAATGGATTTCACAATTGATACCCCCACCCTCTGCTTTTATGAATTTGTTTTCTTGTATCCTAAAGCTTAGAGGTGTTTGGCCTTACAAATAACGTCTCATCCTTTCATATAAGTGTCCTCTGTTTTTCAATTAATTATACCAGACTACTTATATTACATATGAATGGAAAGTTTGTTTTAATTTCTGCTTTAGATTTCATGAAAACTTAATCCCCCCCTCCCCCAATTTACTATTTTATTGCATTGTATTATTTTTGGAACAATCGAGACGTCCGTGCATGATAAACTTGTCATCGATATGCTCTTCATAATGAACATTTTGTCATGGGAAATAAACAGTATGATGTACAGTATAATAAATCCCCCCTTGTTCTTAACTTTTGAGATGTGTACAGATTTGTTAACGCTTTGTCGTTGAGATGTGTTAGAAAATCATTTGAGGAAAATACTTTTCTGAAAAAGCAAAAGGGCACCAAAGGATTATTTTCTTCAAAGGAAGATGCATTTTTTAAAAAGCTCTATTTGCATCAATAATGAGGTCAGATAGATTTTTATTATGATTTTTGTGTGTGGATACAGTGCAAGAGATGTAAGAAAAGAGACAATGAAAAAAAAAAGTGAGACAAAAATGAGAAATGTGGAAGACAGAGAGGAGAGAGACAAAGATGCATGTCAGAAATGTTTTCTTTCCTTCTAGAATAGGTACATATTTTCAAAGGTTATTAATATGCACTAAATGTTTATGAACTAAATGGCAAACAAAAACCTGTGTCCACCCAACCATCTACCCACACACAAATAAAAAAGGACACTTAATTGTTTGGTTCAGCTTTTTCTGACTCTTTTGCTGTCTGAGACATAATATATGTGCAAGGCAAGCAAAGAAATCAATTTATTCTACAACAAAACGAAACAAAACAGCTACAATGTATAAACATTAAGATACGTTGTCAGAATCATACTCGTAAAAATGTTACCAAAATGCCAGCCGTCTCCTTTTGCAATATGTGGCAATCTATACATGTCTGTGCTTGAAATGACTAGTTCCTTTGGCTTTTTATCCGTTATCATATTTCTTAGATTAAATATACACGTATTTTGAATTGATAAAACATACTAGCATTCATCTTCAAATACAAAAAGGCAAAATATATATATTATGCAACATACCAGATAATTCTATGTACAGTATCAACGAATGGTAATTTGATGACTGTCAAGTTAGTAATGTGGAAGTGCATCACGAAAGAAGAATTATCAAAACTGAAGCTAGATCAAGTCATAAGTGGTCCTTACATTATAAAAAGCGATTATCCGTAGATTGATTGTACAAGAATTGTAATATCACCGATTATAATTTTGCGGTAAATTATCATAGCCAATGAACGATTTCTCTTCCGTTTACCGGTAGATAATTGACTTCCAGAGGATGAATTAGAAAAAAAAGCCTCCCTTCACCTTCATATACATGTAAGTCTGCAAAAGATAATTCAACATATTGGGCAAGCTTTTGATCATGATAAATGACTATTGGATATGATGACAATGATTAAATACAGCTAATTAAAGTTTGTAGATGTTTACAAGTTGGTTTAAAAATGTACATTATATACAGAGACAGTTACTTTCTGTTTCTGCTTTTGTACATACTGTCCAAAATATGCTGACATCGACTTTCCATTTCTGTGAAATACTGAGACCTAAACTTGGTAACCTGCTTCTTCAACAGTAAAGAACTGATATCCCCCTCTTCTACTTTATGATGTCAAATAACACAGGAGATAAACTCAAACCAGCTTTTATAGAAAACGCTACCATGAAAAGAGAGCATATTTTAGATAAATGCAAACTTATTTGCATGATACATGTATGTATATTTGGATGTTTGTAAGTTAAAAAGCAAACAAACAGCCAATGAAGGTAATCCTATTGAATATATAACCTGAAGAACTGCGACGCCTTATAATGGACGCTGGTACGAAATAACTTCACCAATGTCATTATGTAAAGACAATTTATTCTTCAGTTTCATATACCCTGCTTCATGATAATTAATTCACAACAATTTTGAGTAATTTCAAATCTTGACTATGAGAACCAGATGGGTGTTAAGTCTGTGAAAAAATGGTAAAAGTACATGAATAACTGTCTTTCTGGCTCTCAAAAATACAAATAGAAAAAAAAACTAACAAAACACTTATCCTTGCAACAAATACACAACAAATACACCTGCAAAAGTGAAGAGTATCAGGTGTGAATACTAGAATAGATGGCTCGACACTAAACAGGGATGCCCAAAATCTAGGTCCAAATCCCCCAAATTTTAAAGTTTGCACATCGGGATTTTCCAACTTTGATTCTATATACCAAAAGCATCTAGCAACACACATATGGACAGAAATTAATAACCTATATGTAAGTTTACGTGTACTGGTATGTAAAAACTTGAACAATACAATACATTAACTTTACACTGACATACATACGTCAACAAACAATGCGATAGTCATAGAAAGTACCCGGTAATGCACATCATTTATATACATTCTATTTAAGTTGTGCTTTATCCGGACTAGATGCTTGTACTAATACATTACTCAGATCAGTTTTGACGAAAACAAACTTTGATTTTTTAATAGATAGTTGTAGTTTCATACATGTTTTTAAAATATTGTTTAAACAGTAAACTAAATACTTAACATGTGTATTCTTAATGGTAAGTGCTATTATACAAAGATCTGGACAAGGAAAATGGAATGGACAACGTCTCCAAAATATTTTCTCCTAGTTCAGACAAAGTGTTTTATAATTGAAATTCAGGCACATATAGTATGGCAATGCCTTTTATAATGTACTTGTGCAATCAGGGGGGCGTTTCACAAAGCATTTTTTTCAATGACAAATAACAAAAATCAGTGAAAAATCTGCTGATAACCAATCAAAAATCAGGATTTCAGTAGCATATAACAAAAACTGTCATTTGTCACTTATGACAAGTTTTGTGAAACGCCCCCAGGTCATGAGTTCTAAGATTTCTTTAAATACTTGCAAGAAAAGAAAGAAAAATAAATAAATAATAAAGACTTTCTCTAACCAATTTGGATGTATGCACAGCTGGATTAATACATCACCCTTTATATTGCACAAGCTAGCTAAAGATACGAAGGTTACCTCTATTCTCTTACATGTAAAAGCTCTATCTACATTGTATACAGTAATTAGTATATAGGGGTAGCAGAAAAGTCGGTGTCCAATATAATTCCCGAAAAGCGGTTTGCCTGGAGTACAGTATATATACAAATAACACTTAATCTTGAGTTCTGGGACCCGTTTCACAAAGCCCTTTTTTAATGACAAATGAGAAGAAAAAAAAATCAGTGAACAATCTGCTGATAACCAATCAGAAGCAAGAATTTCAGTAGCTTATAACAAAAACTGTCACTTGTCACTGATGAAAAGTTTTGTGAAATGTGGCCCTGGAATTCAAATTAACAAGAAACTGCCTTTCAAGTCATTCTAGACTAGAGTGTACATATCAGGCAGACAGATTGGTTTATGGACCAAAATAATAAAAGCAATTTAACAGAACCTTGAAAGAAATCCCATCCACTGAGAAAAATTCTCATTTATACCTGCAGGTACATGTAGGACATCACACATAAAGTATGTGTATGGGACTACTCATTTGATTTCTTCATCAATCTCTGTTTAGTACTCCGCTATAATACACTGTCTACCAGAAACATTAGGAAGACATGGTTTTAGTCTTGACGATGCATATTAATTTTCCCTGATTATGCAGGATTTTCTTCTCCGTCGTTACCAGAATTGACTTTTATCATAAAGCAAACATTCAAAATACAAATATATAATTTCACAAATCAAGTTTGATTTACAATCCTGGTAACGTAATGATGCCTTATCTGGAGCACAGTTTTTTCAGCTGCAGACAAAATCATATGATAACACCTATCCGTGGACAGCAGTCTCAAAATGATACACAAACCAATGGTAGCGTCGTTCCTGACAACATCTAGAGGGCACTTCTCATCTAGCGGAGTGTTGGCGAGGCAAAGAAATTAGTGCCCTTCTTGCTGCTGCGATCGCTCTTACTGCCAAACCTTGGGTGAAAGAGACAAAAGGACATAGTTGAGTATTTTATCATTCATGTGCTGCATGATTCTTGTGTTATCTGTTGAAAACCAGAAACGTGTATTTCCCACACCATCTAAACATAGAGTTAAAGCCTCTCTTAAGTGTTGGGACTCTTGGGAGCCCAAAATTTTGCTTAAATTGTATCATAATGTGAAAGAGGATGTCATTAAAGACACATTCTGCAAAGAATCACTCTCAAAATAATGTGTTTGAAGACAAATATTGATCAAAGAATACATAATTTGGGTTTTCCGTTGTACGCAGAAAACCCTAAATTCTGTATTCTTTCATCAATATTCGACTTCAAAATATTTGTTTTGATAATCCTTGCAGAAATGTGTCTTAAATTACATCCTTTTTCACATCATGATACAGTTACAGTGAAATTTTGCTATCAAATTGTTGGGGCTCCCAACACTTTAGAGGGGCTTTATGGCCCTTCTGTTCATCAGGAGACAATATTTTATACAAACCTACCTATGACGGCAAAGAACAAGCTCTACCCTTTTATTTGTTAAACACAAGCAGTGGTGCTTTATGAGGAAAACTATTAAAACGAAAATAGCACAGCACACTACACTTAACAGATTGTGGTAAACAGAGGCTGAGGGAGCCAAAGAACAAGAATTAAACATCATGAAAACAGTTTCCTTGATAAAGAGTTGTTTCATAATTGCCAGTGAAATGTCAGAGAAAAATTAGAATGAAAGAGCAGAAATATACTGTATGAGGAATACGAGAAGGGCAAAGTGCATACCGGGTACTTTTCCAGCAGTAGGAAAATATACACTGCACATACAAATTATTTAAAAAAAAAAATCAAAAAAATCAGCATGTATATGCTGTAGATCACAGCAGACAAGGATGCAAAGAATAGTACATATTCTGCTACATATTCAGCTCAGATTAAAAACAGCTAAGGTGTCATAACATTACATGTAAAGGTCAATGATAACAGTACTTTCATGAGATGATACAAATGACATCAAAGAAAAGAAAGAATTAGATCAAGCAGATAGGATGCCATGATCGTAAAGAAAACAGTTCAGTAGAAATACTGAAAACACAAGGTCACCATGCAAGATAAAACAAAATTGAAAGAGGTTAGGAAAACAACTTCAACTCAACAGGAACATGCAAATGTAGTTGTCTGAGGGTTTTCCGGTAAATTTTAAAGGGGGCAGTAGAGAAGAGCTGGTTGTCCAAACTTTAAAGGTAGCTCCCACAGTTGGGTGTGGGGGGGGGGGGTGGTCTGGGTTGGTCATACTGATACAGAATAAGTTGATTGTCCCAAAGAGTAGTTTTCTTTGGAAGGTGGTAATAGTCTGGGCGTGCATGAAGTTGTCCTGATATAGAATATGTAATTGTCCTAGAGAGTACTTGTCCAGGGGGTAGTTGCCAGGGTTGGTGGTAATGGTGTGAGGGTAGTCATCCTGGTTCTGCACAGGATAATCCACAAGAGCAAATGTCATGCATATCAGATAAGACAACTACATGTATCTGACATTATTCCAAGTTTTCTAAAACTAAGTAACTACAATAAATAATAAACACTTTCAGGTCACTGCAAGTTCTTTGGCACAGGCACCACAACACGTCAAGACATACAATGGACCCTTGGGGGTGTACCTCATTGAACTTCGAGATGATCTACTCCCAAAGCTGTGTCAGTCATGAAAGATAAACACAATGACACCAACATGAAATATATGATAAGAGGAAAATGACAATGGAATGAATGATTAAAAGTTATTATCTTCATAATATCTTCATTTTTAAACTCTAAAATGGAAGGAGACATGATGTCTCAGTGGCAGAGCAGTGGTCTTGTAACCAGGAGATCCTGGGTTCAAAACCAAGTCGATGACCTAGTACACTTTGTTAAGGCATTAATCCTCATTACCAAGCTGCTGGTCCCCTGGTTGCTTACTTACAAGCATAGTAGCAAACACATGCTTTTTTAGCGGTTAGGTAAAAACAAACCATCAAACCAAACAATCCTGTCATTGCACACTACTTGCCCCAGTGAGGATTCCCCCCAAGTATTACTCGATACTTTATCAGTAGAAAAGGGTAGAATTTTGTTGTTTTAAAAGAGTTCTTCAGATTTTGCAGAGCTGCTCTACTTTTTTTCTTTTCCCTCATTGACTTATCTTCACTTGCCAACCTATCACACACATTCAAAAAGGGAACAAAAGGTAGGAATAAATCTGATATATTTATTGACTACCCAGTGAGTGCTCTGCCAAAAGAATTGGGCAAGCATAAATATTAATCAGATATTAGGCATCTTGTTAGTCCCACCTGACACCTGTAGGAATAAATGGTTAGTAGTTATTTATCCAACCTGCAACCAATAAACATATTCAATGAGATGAATGATGACGGCATGTAAATGATATATCAAATACATGTACATTCATAGTACAGCTGTGAATAACATAGGTAACCTTTATTAGAAAGATACAGTAGATCTGATTATGAATTTGGGGAATGTATACTTGTTCATTTTTCCCATGCCACATACATGTAATTGATTAGATTACATAATTGATAGCTCAGAACTTATACATAAAACAAAACGAGCAAAGATCACAACAATTGAACAATTACAAGGTTTTTACTAAACATACATTACTACATACTTTGAGTGAAATGATTGAATGAAGATGTTAATATTGGATAGATACATGAAAACTGTTCACATAAGACATACATTGTACAGAAGAATTTCAAGGAAGGACATATAGTTAGGATGACACATAAACATTCAGGACTGGGGAGTTCACATATCATGAATGCTAGTTCTTTTCCAGTTGGAATCAACAGCTATTCATCAAACCGCATGTGAACTCCCCCTGCTGTTGACAAACCTTGAAGTCCCTTCAACCGTCTTTTTTGCAGTGCTCGTTTTAGTGGAGCTCATGTAAGAAGACGAAGAGGATTTCTTCACACTGATTGTAAGGAGACAGAGGAGGAGGAGCGAGGAAGGAAAGGAGGAGGAATACAAAAGTTATACACAGAACATAGGATATACAAATAAACATTGCAAGGGGGAGGGGGGGGGGGGCAAAAGTAGAAAACTACAAACAAAGTATGATACAGTACAGTCAAACAAGTGTCTCAGTTCCTTTCACACAAATCTGCAATTTTGTGGCAAATATCCTATACATTATTATATCCTCTCTATTGCACACATATTTTACATTTGTTTTATCAAGGTTTATGACATGAAAGAGAGCAACAGGAGTCTAATTACAAAGGGCAATGAAACTACAGCTCTATAAGAAAGGGGGAACGTAGAAAAAAGAAGAAAGATTATATCGTTGGGTATATTTTTATAAATTAGCTATAATATAATATATATTACATATAATAAAGCAAAAATATATGGCTTTTCTGAAATTCTGAACTGAAAAGATCCTTCACAGTACTGTGAAACTGTATTTGTATCCTTATAGATCGGTCGCCTTGTTTGTAACATGTCCTATGCAGTGTGCCAGGGCTAAATTGTGGGATTTGTTTTCTGTTCATTAATTAATTTATTATATATATATTCAAGATACCAAACCACACATCACAAAACCATTCCCCCACCCCCCCCCCCCTCTCTCTCTCACTCTCTTGCCAGTTACCAATGCCACTCCTCACGCCAGAACTCTACATAATAATTTTTTTTTCATAATTCCTGCCCCAGCCTTATCTCTTTTTATCATGATTGTTCATTTTCAATCCTCTCTTTCTGTTTATCTTTTCTTTCTTTACATAATATTTGTTTAGTGTTGTGGTGTCCCTACATGTAGTTCATTAATTTGAGCTAATTTATCTCCCCAAGTCTCTCACTCTCTCTCACACTCCATCCTTATCTTCTCTTCCTAATCCAATTTTTCTCCCTCCCTCCCTTCCGTCCTCTCTCTCTTTCATTTCATTCTTCATTTCTCACTTTACCCAAGGACAAATCTTTTTACTTTTGTACAAAAATAAATCAGAAAGCCTATTCCAAGTTACCAGATCCTTGTTCATATTTACTCTTGCTTAAATCAAAAGAGGTAAATCCCTTTTAAATCTAAATGGACAGATCTCTTTTAAATCTAAATAGACAAGATCTCTTTTTAATCTAAATAGACAGATCTATGTTACTTTGAGAGCGATTCAACCATGCACTGTGAAGGATCTTATCAGTAGTGATTCAAACCAACCTTGATGAGATGCTAGAAGACTTCTTTTCTGTAGTTTTCTTCATGCTATGTTCGGATGATCAATAATTAAAAAAAAGGGAGAAGATTAGCTCTATATCTGCATGTGGCTCTATGATGCATGCCCCTGGGACAAGTGCTCTGTGATTATCTTACACTAACCAAGTTCCTAACTTCATTTACGACCTGATCACTACACCTAAGGTAAACCTCACACCAAATCACCCTAATCATAACTGCAACACTAATCCACACCTGCCAACATTTGAAAATAAGAAATCTGTACCCTCCTAACAGGCGATCGCACGGCCTTACCATGGCCATGTATGCAACAGCAGTGTAACTGGCGATACCTGGGAAATCTGTACAAAAAAGCAAATACAAATCTGCTGCTCTACCGTGCAGCCATTCAAAACAGTTGACAGGTATGCTAACCCTTTATCTTTGACGAAATTAGTCCTGCTTACTGCTAGCAGATTTCAGCTGTGTGGTCTTCATGAACGTCAAGGCAAGTATACATAACAGATACATGTACATGCTGTTAAATAAATTGTTCACTTTAAACATGTTCATGTGAATCTCTTGATTTTTAACAGTAAAACACACATGATGTTACATACAAATAATCATAAAAAACAAACACAAATATTCTTCCATGCAACTTTCTAAAACTTTAAACAGATAAAAAAATAAAAACTGGAAATAGATATATTTACCTTGGAGTGAGCGATGACTTGCCGAGGAACGTCTTAGCCTTTCCCAGGCTGCTGTTAGAGGGCGTCTTAGCGGGTGTTTTTCCCGGGGTACGTACAGGTCCCAACATACTCATGTGGGCTATAATGAATAGAAAATAAAACGAAATACGTGTACATATTGAGGTGATTCGTATTACCAAGGTACCAGTAGGTTCCACCAAGTGAACCCGTAAAAGACATTCAGACATGTTAGGATCCCACACGTGCTATACAATATAAAGTCTTTTCAGGACTACACACCCCCAAGAAAGATTACAGAGTCAGAGTCCTTTTCAGGACTCCTCAACCCCCCCTCTCTCTCTCTCACACATGGTGCACCCACAAGCCTACTGTATATCTACATCACCATGCAAGCCGACACTTACAAGCAGCAATATAAAGTCTGTAAAAAAATTGAAATCAGACCATCAGAATATGATTTATGAAGTGCAGTTCACAATGCAGTATCTACTAACATAGATAAAAGTTTGCACAAGTGAGTAAAAGCATTTTTCACACCTCGGTTTTTTGGGTCTCCTTTTATTGGAGACGTCTTACAGCAACACTGGACAGGCAAGAGTTGGCATTTGGGAGCACATGTGCACCAACGTAGAGACTAGAACCTTGTTTCATAAAAATTGCTATCAATAACAACTGCCACAGATCTATGACAAATCTGCTCACAGCCAATCAAATGCAAGGATTTCAGTAGCTTATAACAGTTATTGTAAATTGTTATTGATAACAAGTCTTGTGAAACAGGGCCCTGGACTCTGTCTTATAAACAAGTTGTCATTGTTTCAAATCTAAAATATGTTCTAGGGAGTTTGTACACCTATCATTGATTGGAGGACCTGCGATCAATCCGGTTCACTTGCGAATTTAAAGGAGACAGGGCCATGTCTATGTAAACATGAAAAGTTCTTCTCGCTAATTATTGGTGGTCTAATCTTACATGGCTGGCCAGGAGTTCCAGGAGTCCTGTGGCGGTTGGCGTAGATAGTGGAGTTCTCTTGTTCAGCCTCAAAGTTGATAAAGGCTTTCCAGAAGTCAGACGGGAGTGCCATCAGCCTCTCCACAACCTTCACAGGAAGAGAAATAAAAAGATAAGAAATGATTTAGGTTAACATTTTTACAAATTTGCTGTATGACATCAATAACAACTTTCCCTGACATTGATGCCCAGCCGTATACAACTAAGTAAAACAAAAACATTTTTTTTGAAAGAGAAAAAAAAACGAAGAAACTTTCAGAATTCCTTGGTTGAACCCATCATTATATCCATTATATTGAACGTATCCTCAAAAGGAAAAAAAAAAAAAAAAAAAAAAAAAACAGTCATAAAATTCTTCATCTTTGTTTGACATAAAAGTTAATGGTGTACGGTAAGAAGACCTGTTCAGAAAACTGTATCTTGAATAAAAGAGATCTCTTAATGCATCTGCATAGTACAAATTAACAATGACAATGAATTTAGTTGTTAGAAAGTGGTGTGATGCATCTTTATTTCACACTCTATAGTTACAACGAAGTAGAAATTTGACAAGTGTAGAAGATAAATTTAAAGCAATCCTTCCAGGAATGATGGTTGTATAATCAGAGGGTGGGGAGGGATAAGAAATTAGGGGTGTGGTCACTTAACCTTGGCCGTGTCTTGGTATTACTGAACATCTGCATAGGTTCTGATCAGAAGAAACGTGCCATAGAACTGTTCAACCATATATACCCTTGCAAGTTTAGACACTAGCATCTTACACTTTAAGGGGAAGTGGGAAAGGGGTGGGGAGGGGTATGGAAAGAGGGCTGTGGTCACTTACCCTTGGTTGTGTCTTGGTATCATTCAGCATCTGCATAGGATCTGGTTCTGAGCAGCCATATCCAATGATGGTTGGTCCAAACACCTTGGCTAAGTTAGACACCGGCATCTTACATTCGGGGCTCTCTGATACTCTAGAAGACAAAAGTTAATAAGTTTGTAAAATAAAGAAAATCATGTTATGACAAAGTTGCTTACATGATGCTGTGTCACAATTACATTTACAACCATTACTCTACTTATTATCAATTTTTAAAAAAGTCAATTAGAACATCATTTGCTGGTTGGCCTTGTGGACTTTGTAACAGAAGTCCCTTGTACAGCATCAACAACAGTGAATTACAAAGAGGTAATCCACTACTTATACTGATGTCATAAATGTATGTACCGGTAAACGTTAATTTCCCACTAATTTAACATTGATAATTTGTTTTCACCCTTTTCTTGGGAATGGTATTTTTCTCATTCTTTTATGCAAGAAACTCTTCTAGATGGTCCATCTACTTTCATAGCATGTCAAAATGTTAAAGGGAGTGTAGCATGGCAAATACCATCAACGTCTTCTTTAGGACAACTGCAGCGACTTGATTAACGGTAGTCAGCGACTTAATCTCTACACGGTCAGCGTTCAATTTGGTTTTGCGTATGTTCCATGCAAGTGATTGCTGCGGTCGCGTCGTCCATAGTTGTATTATACCTGATTAGCCACGAGTCAGGCCACATGTAGTCTCTTCAGGCTACACTCCTTTTAAACAGTACCTTTGAAAATCAGAAAGAGTTACTCACCTTTGGAGATGTGTGATGAGATACGCCATGGTGTCTCTGTTAGCGTGAGGAAGCTCACTCACAGCCTGGTACATAGCTGTCGTACTGTCATCAATATCATACAGTTCTACAACACAGAAGAAATAGAGGAAATTACATGAATAAAAAAGTTAGAACGAGTTAGGAGAGCTTGGGTATTTGTTTCTAGTTCATCGTGACTGTACTATGGACCAGTAATGGCCTGGTCGTTGAGTCGCTGCTCGGCAAGCAGTAGATGGCAGGTTCAAATCCCGCTGGTTTCAAGATTTTTCCTCACTTGTTTTCAATTACAGATCGATCAATCTTATTTACTGGGTGTAGGCCTCAAATATATTTAAACAATTGAAATTTCTCCCAGGAAGCATTACATTTATAAAATATTTATAAAAGAATGAAGAAACATACAGTCTTGTTCAGATTTAAGTGGTTTAAGGCTGTGCACAACAGTGTAATGAGGTACCCGAGTACACTCCCAGGCTCACAAGCGAATAGTCGAATATTCGGACGCCATGTTTTTTTTTAATTTTTGGATTAAATTTTTTTTTTTTTTAATTTTTTTTTTTTTTTTTGCCACTACCATACCACTCGGCAGTTTCCCAGGTCTCTCGCCAAAAACGCATGCAATTTTATTTTGAGTTGCAGTTGAAGGCGCCGATTTAATAAGAATAATAACAGTAAACAATGCAATTTTAAAAACCAAAGATGGCAGAATAATCCATTTTCCTCCAAGTCCAAACAGAAATCTGGACATTTGGTCCCAGTTTCTGAAAGGTGAGTTTGACAGTGCTTGAGTTGGGAAACATTTTTACCGACGGTACCATGCCAGCGGTCGCTGCTCTCCCTGGCACGGGTAAGCGTGGGCCTGGACATTTTTTTTTTTTTTTTGCGGCCGAATATTCGGGTACGAGTCAACCGTGCGGGTACTCGAGCATTCGACTACCCGTCGCAGCCTTAACGTGGTTACGTTTTTTTTTGTGATGGCACAGGTGTTACACGCATCACATTTCTGTATCTTATGACAAAGGACCTTTGTCAAGTGCAGTTCCCATTCATTTACACGGTTAAAAAAAAGCTGCGGTTTACCTCTCTGTATCTGAACGAGTGTCTAAGAAAGGGAGCAATGCAGCTGAGTTTGAGAAAGTATATAAACTATTTGTTACATAATTTGTTACAATACTAACCTGCGGCTTTCATGAAAGCCAGGTGGAGCTCAAACGTGACCAGAGGTTCGGGTAGGTTGCGGAAGAAATCCTTCAGCGCACCACAGACACAGTGGATGTCTCGTACCTTCTCCTAAATTATGCCAAACATAGAGAGCATTATTAGCGAATGATTGGTTGATATATATATTGAAAACATCTGCCCAAGAGCTAGAGAAGACATATCAAGCTTTCTCCAAATATTGGTAGCAAACAACGTTTAGTCAATATGCATACGGTTCATGATTTTGAAAAAAGCTTATTGATACATGTATCTAAGAATTAGTGATAAAGAAGAATAACAAGAATAATGTAGATATGAATTTATATAGTAATTTGCGAACTCATTATTTATTTGAAATAATATTGTACATTTGAAATTCTACATTTTCCTTATTACTTTTTTTCCATTTAATGAGCAATGTTGACTTCATAGAATTCATTTTGATCCTTATTCTTCAAAGTGGATCTAGTGTGTTGGAAAAAGTTATTAATGGAAATGATCGTTAATGTGTTGATGATAATAATGATTAGGATAAAACGGCTATGAGGAAGATGATAACGACAAAGATGAAGATGACAATGATTATAATGATGATGGTGATGACGACAAAGATGATGATGATAGTGATGGTGGTGGTGAATAGTGAAATTACTATGAGGAAGATGAGAACGAGAAAAATGAGGATGATTATAACGATGATGATAATGACGACAGAGATGATGATGATGGTAGTGGTGTTGAATGGTGATAGTGATGATGAGGCACAATTGAACTTACAAGATGAGGGTCATTCTTGAGTATGAGTCTTTCTCTGAGCTCCTTGACCTCTCGCTCTGAGCCTGAGATGCGATAGATACCTTCTTCTGTCAGCCCTCTCATTTCTATTTCATTAATGCAATGCATCTGGGAGCAAAAAGAAAAGTACATTGAGATGATTAAATATAATTACATCAATACTGTTCAGTTACCTGGGCTCCGTCTTATAAGGAGTTGACATTAATCGCAACTAATTTGCGATTGATTTTGATTGCAACTACATGTATGTATGTAAGATACAGGAGACTTGCCATTGATTCAGATCAATCGTAACTCTTTTTTAAAGACGGGGCCCAGGACTGCACTTCTAACAATCTTTTGTAAGATATTAATCTACGTTTGATATTCTTCCCCCAGACGAACTAGATGAGCATGCGGTTTGTCAGGGTAGTTCAGCAAATGCTGGCAGTAATAATAACCGTTCAATGCTTAAAACACTAGTGTAAAAGTGCTATCTGAAACTATCATGATATCAATGACTATTATTTAGCAATAAAATGGACACAAAAATGTAATTTCAGATGGATATGCTTACCCTATATGCATATTCATGCTTTTGTTCACCCTTTTGGTTTCAGTACAGATCTTTTGTTTCTAAAAGTGGATTTTTTATCTTTGTTATTCGTTTCATGCCATTGTAACACATTTAAAAAATCAATAAAACATACAAAGAAAAATAGACAGATATTGTGAAATTTGAAGAGAACAATTATAAGATGAAAGCGAAAGGAAAAAACACAAGAAAGAAATTGTGTCGTACCACTAACGATGGGACGTAGGGTGGATTTTCTGGAGTGAATTCATCTAGAGCTGATGCTGTTCTGGTCTTGTTTGGCGTTCCAGCAGTGGGCACGCATGGCAAGGAAGCACTATCCTTGCAGTCTGGATGACAGACTAATCTGCAATCTGAAAGAAAGAAAGGGGAAGGATGCTGATGATCTCCTTTTCAAAACCTTGGAATTTTATTTCATTTCACAAACATGATAAAGGAAACAACTAAACAAAAAATGAGGAGGAATAAAGGCCCAGGGCCCGTTGCATAAAACTTACCATTGATGGTAGCTTTGCCATCAATGGCAACTACCATGGTAACAGGGCTCAACAGCCAATCAAACTCAAGGTTTACAAGGTAGTTACCATAGATGGCAAAGTTACCATCAATTAGTAAGTTTTGTGCACAGGGGCCCATATTCATGTTCACTCACTTGTGTTTTTGAAATATGAATTCTGAAATAACCATTTTCTTAACCAACTTCACAAGATATTACTAAAAATATCACATAGACACACGTACCGTTAATATATATTTTATACAGAATTTTAAACTAGAAAATATTAGGAGTAAATTTCAGGTAGTAATTACAGTAATTAAGCCAGAAAAAACTAATTTTTCCAGAGTTGACACTGGGAAAAATATGTTTGGTTCTTCACCTGACATGCATTTTCAGTTTGGTATATAAAAATAAAATGTTAAATCCATACTACATATACTAATTCTCTATCAGTTTCTAAATATGGAATCACTGATGAAATGGAATGCCATATATTTTCTGAAATATATGTCTAAAAGGGTGTTCTCAATTTGACAAACTTACCTTTACATTTCAGGGCATATTTTCCAAACTTGATTCTCTTTCCACACTGAAAACAAAGAAATACAAATTGTTTTACAATACAGCAATTGATAATTACAATAATGCTCTAAAAAGATGGGTATATCTTCCTTGTAAACTTCCTTGTAAATCTATTACTTTGTTGATGTTGAAAAGGTACTAACTTAGCAAGAAGCTTTTTTTTTAATCCCTTTTAATCCACTCAAATCAAATTAATCAACCAAAGACTGTCTACAGAATTGATGTTTTAAATTTCTGAGCCTTCTACATGTAGTAAAAATCATACTGACCATCTGATACTGACAGATATTGTAAACCATGTTTATACATGTAAAATTATGGAGGAGTGTGCAAAATTTGTGTGGTGATTAGTTGCTCTACAAAAAAGGGTGAGGGGGAGGGGGCATCAAGCCCTCTCCATATCGTTAACATCGCTATAAAAGTGCAGCCTTTCCTAAGGTCATAGCCCTTCTTTCCTCAGAGATATGTCTTACCGGGTCACATGACTCTGGTTTGATGACTGTCTTGGTGCAGAAGGTGTGGATCCTGGCTCGCTTGTTTCCTGGGGTTCTCAGCTGGATCGGGGACATCCACAGGAACTGCTCTTCTGTGAGGTAAGAACAAGCAAGCATGGTTGATGGTTTCTTTTTTAAACTGATTACTAAGAAAACATTGTATGCCTGTAAGTAAGCCAATTGAGGACCAATGACAAGGGACCTGGTAATGAGCATTAATGCCTTAACAAAGAGCACTAGTGCATTTACATGGTTTCGAAGCAAGGACCTTCCGGTTATGAGAACTCTGCTCTACCACTGAGCCATCGTGTCTCCTCTAATGGAGGGCATTAACTCTGTGAAATGATTTGAAAAACTGCCCTTTGGCTTCGACATCAAAATAAAATTGTGCTCATGACAGGAATAAATTCATACAGCATCAAAAGTTACATCAAGCTTTTTAAAACTATACTTAAGTGACATCAAAGCAACACTTCTATCAGGAAAATTTGTAATAGCTGAGCAAAGTGAGTTCATATGCATAACACAGTCTCATATCATGCAAATGATTATCAAAGAATGTGATTTCTTGCAAGTTTCAGATAAGTTAATTTCATTACCACGCACCATATAAAGCTAAAAGTATACATGCAGTTGCATAATCACTCCTGTATGTTTCAATACATTTTTTACAGTTCCCTGAAATTCTGAAAAGTTAAAAATTGTCATACAATGTCCTTCTACACACGTTAGTGAGATCTCAAAGTTGGCCAATCAAAAATTGCATTAATCAGTGTAGGTAGTCATTTCATCAATGACAGAATGACTTTCATCTTATTTACCTTTGATAGGAAGGGCTGGCTGACTCATGCTTCTCCTATATCTACCATTTTTCTCTACATTTGTCGTAGCTATGATGGGTCCATGATCATGGGGTACCGTCACCGTTGTTACAATTGATGTATCCTGTAGGTAGAATGAAATCAAAAATTGTAATAAATAGCAATATGGGAGGGCTTAGAATCCTTGGATATGACAGGTGTCTTGTATTTCTCAATATGAAGGAGAGTTAGTTGTGCAAACACACTCCAAAAAACGTCACCCTTGACCAAAGTTCAAAGTAGAGCCCTGAAAAATGACATAATGAACAATACTTCATATCTACAGCTAGCATCAAACAATGCCTTCAATAATTAAAAAAATAAGAATACTACCTTTCTCTACTAAAGCTTGTGTGTCTTTGCAACTGGTATTGGTTATATCTACAGCTAGAATCAAACAATGCCTTCCATAATGACCAAAAATAACAATATTATCTTTCTCTACTAAAGTTTGTGTTTCTTTGGAAATTATAACATTGGTCATATATTGTTCGCAAAATGATTTGCTGAAATGCATTTGCACAGCAAGACAAACTACTGCAGATAAATTGATCTACAGGATTCGAACCCAGTACCCTAGATCATAAGAACTCATCTATACCTACTGTTCTATAACAGCTCATCAACCGGTCACACTAACATTATCTCCAAATATTGATAATAACATGAAACGTACATACTGTAGAGAAAGGCTATGATTCAGGACCACTACTTACGTGGCTCAATCTTTTGTTTTTCCTTGGCGGTGTCTCATCTTCCTCCTCCAAAGGTGGTGCACTTGGCTTCTGGGAAAACAAACGAGGAACAAAGGAGTAAGTTATAGAATAATCAAAGCGTTATAGATCAATCTGCAAACTACTATATTGTCTGTTAAGAGCCGAAAAGGCTTAATCCTGTGTTAAAGATAAGCTCCAGTACTGGTAAAAAAAAAAAATTAATCTTCACAGAATCAAACGAAACTTACACTGAATGTTCAAAATAACAAATAAATGACATGTGCCAAACAATTTTGGAAGAAAATGTATACTGGCTGAGTAATGAGCATAGAAAGACAAGGAAATCAAGGTAGTACTAGCCCCGACACCATGTGTGTTGTCCCATATATAGCTTTCTATGTGAGTGCTTGTTACTTTACCAAGACTCGGTCAAATTTATTATGATTTTGATGACTCCAGAACCTTGCTGTGCACACCAATACTTACATGCTACATGATCAACTGTTTCTGATCCTTTCCACACCTTTTCTTTCACAATGTAATCGCATTACCAGTACTAAAGTTTATCTTTAAATGCAATGAATCAACACCCTTCTGGCTCCATACAGACACCATATTGACGTATACACTTTGTTCCCTACAAGGTTTACAAAACAGGGAAAAAAGTAGCTATAGGAAGTATCAGAAACAGATATATGATTCAATGTTTCTTCAGATAACTTAATCTTATACAGCCAGAACTGACGTTTCTAGACATAGATGCCTCAGGATAAGACAAGGTAAGAGAGTCTGCAGATCATAGAGATTTGGTCCTCCTATTTCCTAGCAAGTTACTTGATTACAGTGAAGTGTAAATCTTTAGTCATTATCCATTCTTTCTTGTTTTATCTCCCAATTTCAGACTAGGGAATTGATGCCATCTTTGGGAAACTTTGAATGCTGCATGAACAAATGGTTTCCTCACCCTCTTTTTGCGATGCCATTTCTTGCCGTCCCTCAACACGGACACGTCTAGCTCCTCCTCCGTGTGATCAAGGTCAAGGTCAGAGTTCGACAGGAGGTCAGCAGACTTCTCGTTGATGCAGGAGAGGCGTTTGTTGGGAGAGCCTTGTCCTGGCTGTGGTGTGCCAGCGTTGTGGCTGAGGAACAGGATAGATTCTCGCTCCTTCTCGGTCAGCGTGTTCATCTTGTTGTTGTCGTTGGTGAGGAGTTCACGGATCAGGGCGATCTGACGCTCCTGTTAGTGAAGTGCACAATAAGAAGAATCAGTATTGATTAAACTTTTCCACCAGTGGTATGGTAAAACCAGACAAAGCGTACTGTCTATGACTTTCATTTACATGGTAATAATAGGTTTGTTTACCCCTGGTCTTACATCTAGTCTTACACTAGTGAATGAGTCTTGTAAGCTGAAGAGCTGAAGAGCTGAAGCCTTCCGCTTCTAAAGTGGCATGAGGAGCAAGGAGATTATGAATTGACAAGACATTGCAGGGACATCATTAACTCAAAATGGTTCAGAGGTTAATGTCCATTAAAAATATCTAGATTTCATCAATGATACTAGTAGGAGTTACATGTACCCAGCATGATCCAATATACTATATCTAAAAAAATGACCTCTGATCCTAAAACACAATTTTGGGAACAACTCCTGTGAAGCATCGAATATGCAATAAAAAAGTACACAAGGCTGAAAAATAACGTGTTCTTCTTACCAATTCCTCTTGTGATGATTCAGCCTTCCTTCTTCTTGACATCTCAGATTCCAGTTGATTTCTGGAGATGAAAAAAATGAAATCGAGTAAAAGATGTGCTCACTATTTCCAATTTCTTAAAATTGAAAAGTTAGTGGAATTGCTTTGAATATAAACAGATTTGTTGTCGAATAAATGGATCGAATTTTGAAAATGAGGACTTGCAGCATTCAAGAGGGGTTGTTTGGGAGAACCAAAGCATGCCAGCGTGGTATTAGCAATGAGGGTGTGATGCACTGCCAAAGAGACCGGATGAGAATAATTATTTATTTTCACCACACAACTCCTGCGACAATTGGTCCACGGTAATTACCTCTATTAATCAAATTCCTAACTTTAACCCCGGACCCAACAATATACCTACCGGTAACTCTAAACCTAACCAAAAACCCAATCTCTAACCCTATACTTGTCACAAAATAAAGCCCAAAGCAACTGCCGATATAGCAAGCATCTGGGGGGTGTTTCACAAAACTTGTCATCAGTGACAAATGACAGATTTTATTATAAGCTACTGGTTATCAGCAGATTTGTCACTGATTTATGTCATTTGTCATTGTAAAAAGGCTTTGTGAAACACCCCCCCCCCCCCCAGGTCATCAATCATTCAGTGTACCTTGCATGTTTGAGCTTTGTCTGGAGTGCATCTCTCTCGGCACCAAGCTTCATGCCTTGCTCCTTGCCTCCCATCCTATCCTGCTCTACGGCCAGCCATCTCTGTCGACACTGCTCCTGGTGCTTCGCAAAGACCATAAACTCTGCAGATAGTGATTCAAAACACACAAAATATAATCAAAATGAAGTCTTTACACCTTTAAAACAATAGACGGGACTGAGAGTGATTTGATAATATCATTTACCTATATTTACGCACTGTATTTATGTTACATGTATACATGGTACCTTTATCCCAACGTCTTTTTTCTTGACTTGATGTAATAACACTATATTATAATGGTAATTTAAACTTTCCAGCACCTTGCATAATGGAAACGGCACGTATTCAGTACCGGTAAATGCTGACTATTTAAAAAAAAAAAAATTATGATTATCATTATCTCCTAAATTGTTGACAGAGCCATTATGCATGTAAAAAAGAGAGACAAATGTAAAATACTGAAATGTATTTTTTGTCAATTGATTGTAATACCACTTAATAAAATCTCAGATCAAAGAACAGAAACTTACATACATGTACAGGCAGCTCCAACTTCACAAATATTTATTTTCTCCATTTAATGTTACAATGCTTCTCTCCTAGAATAAGGTAAAACAAACAAGTAAAAATGGAGCCCCCCCCCTTTTAAATGAATATTGAAATTATCGATTTAAGCTACAAACTCTTCAAGAGAAATTATTCTAGTTAAAAAAAATTGGAAACTCCACTCCACTGAGAGATGATGACTTACCTTCTTCACACCCTTTTGACAGAATGGATGAATAATGGACGATTTCATCAAAGGTCGCCACTAGAGACTTGGGTTTCCTCACCAAGGACGTCATGATGAGGCACTAGCTTCTATCTCCTCTCTCTCTCAAGAAACGGCAGGAAACCTGAAATATTTAAGAAATTGTATGGTGTGAATTGGGTGGTTCATCACCAATCACAGAACTGGCAGTGCAAATCCGAGTCGGTCACAGATTCTTATTATTTTTCACAATAATGTTTCATTCCTTTTCACTCAAAAATGGAGAGTGCAAGTAGCGCAATATGCTTGCAGTCTGTTGTTAATTGTTATCACACATGTCACACTATTTTTCAAATAGCAGCAGTAGAGGCACATGACCAAATAGATTACTTTTATAATGTAATCAAATTCAAGTGTAAAGTGCATCGTTACAGTACACTGTACACTACAAATTATTTTGGTCTAAAAATTGTATTTCAATCGTCAGAATGAAAATTGCACAGGCATTGTTTATGTGAATGTTAGGTAGGGCAAGCGTTGAAGCCATGTTTGTCATACCTAGCAACAATTAATGTAGACTCCTCCAGATCTATAGAGTAGAATTCACATTAATGACAATGTCTAAAAAGTCACAAGCATTGGCGATACGAATAATAGATTCTGTGATGATTTTCTTGATGCATTTTAGTTTTTACAATGACTTTGTAGCCTACAGAGACTTTCACGTTATGAGCGATAAATCCTTGGGAAGACGGACAACCCATAGGAGACGGTGAACTATAATTTTCTTATGCGAAATCGGTGGAATCAGAGATGCCAAGTTGAAGTTCAAAGATCGGCAATGCGTGACATTTTTATGATTTGGCGCGCGAGTGCGCGTGCGAGGGTATAAGGTATAGCGTTTTTTCAAAATATAGCGCGTGCGTCGTGCGTAAGAGCATTTTCAGACCCTCGAAATGCGTGATGTCACGCCTAATGCGTGATACTTGGTAGCTCTGCGGAATCCATTTTTTGCATCGCCAGTGGTGAGTGGGCGGTTCGGAATTCGGTAACGCGAAACCCGCCCGCAGATGAAAAAACCCTCTAAATCCAACATTTAAAGAAAAACTAGATCTATTGTCTAATACCCCACTTCTGAGAGAATTTGTTTAAAAGAATTCAGAATCTTGCGTGTAATCAACACCAATGTGACTGTCAGCTGCTAGCTGTCCGGATACGCGGATCGCCTATCATTATCACTCGGGTCGGCCGTTGGGCTTTGCTATCGGGCATGGTTCAGCCTCAGCTCCCGGCCCAGGCGGGGCGGGGAGCAGGACTAGGGCCTACTTCGAGTGGGTAATTCTGCAGAAGCTTGAAGTCCGACTCAAATAGCTTTTAGTTTTACATGGAAACAATTCTTATAATTCACAACCTTTCTCTCATCAAGTCACAGGAAACACATATGTAGGATTCATCATAAAACTAAACGTATGTTTTATATACTTTACCTAAAAGATGGAGTTATACAGTTGCTTTCTATGTAGTTTTCGTCAGAATCATCAACGGCCCATTCATTCGTTTCACGCGCTACCAAAATATCAATAATCGCATTGGATCAGCTGCAGCCAATCACAGCAAAGAATACCTATCACATGGTACATGACCTTTCGATCCTCCGAATCTTTCCGATGCCTTCCGATCCGAAAAACGGTGCAGTGTGCGTGACCCCTGGAAGAATTTCACATCGCCATGTTTAGCAGGGTGGCAAAGACGAGTTTTTCGGCCGTAAGGGCTGCAAAATCACAATTTTCACACTCATTATCACAACAGACGAGTAAAACATGGGTACCAGCAGCAACATGTAGCAGTAAGTTGATCAAAAATAGTCGTATTCATTGTCTATTTTATCATTAAAAAATGCCGGGTGATTTTCGGTTACATGCATGTGTGTGGGTTTGTGTGCGTGTCTGTGTAGTGCCGTGAAATGCATTGAAAATGCCGGTGCGGTGGCGCGGCTCAGCAATTTTTTTGATTCGTGCAGTGATGATGGGTGATGTGAACGTTTACCACCTTTTTTGTGCCAAAATGTTTATAAAAAATGATAAAATATATGTCTAGAATGTACTCAGTTTTGTGATTAAATTAACGGTTATTCCACAATTACTGCCCAGATCAGTCCAAACTTCCAGAACATCCTACAAATGACACACAAAAAAACTTAAATTTTAAAAATCATCAAAAATACCTTCTTGAAGCTGAAGTTAGGCCCTAGAAAATGCAAAATAACTAGTCTAAAGGCAAGGCCCAACATTGAAACTAATTTCTTGAAGTAGTCTAATATGAGTTTTTTTCTTCTTCTGTGCTCTGCGAGTTTCTGCCTGGTTCCTGTTCTGCGCCCTGGAAATGCAAAAAACGTATTTCGCGTAAAAAATATCCCCAGTTCATCGTCTACTTTGGTTGTCCATCTTCTTGAGGATTAATTGCTCATAATGTGTAAGTCTCTGTGCAAAGTCGATGTGAAAAACATCAAGAAAATCATCGCGGAAATCCGATTTTCGCATTGCCAACGCACAAAAAATCTGTGAAAATGTGGACGATTCTTCATCTTATTTTTGCGAACACGTCTCTCATGCTTTTCAAACTTGCTTGCATGAAAATAACACTCTTTAAATTGTTTTGCATTGAACTCAAATATTTTCGGGCTGTTTTGGGCATTTCAGGGGCTAATTTGCCCGAGCCCCCATGTTTTTTTCCCCTGATGTACAGCTTCTCTGTAATCTGAATATGACTTGACTGAGTTGCTTGATAATGTTCTGTATTCTACATTTACTTTAATTTTGCAGAACGATCATATGCTGCTGAGGCAAAGACGTCAGCAGCCCCAGTTTCGGGTCAGATCGTAGCTGTCATCGGAGCTGTCGTCGACGTCCAGTTCGAGGATGACCTCCCACCCATTCTCAATGCCTTGGAGGTTCAGGGAAGGACCTCCAGGCTGGTGTTGGAAGTTGCACAGCATCTTGGTAAGAACTGATTGAATATTGCTGTTCACATCAGAGATGACAATGGGTTAATGTTGCCCTCACAATGTGAAGAGAGTCCCACGAAAAAATACAAGAGTCCCCTTAAAATGTTGTATTTTCCATACAAGGATGCTTAATGCTTGTTTGACATGATGCAATGTGTAATTTGGACTTCAAAAATAGCCTACCCCCTCCCAAAAAAAAAATGAATTTAAACTTGTTATTTTCCCCTAGACGACATGCATTTCTGCGAATATAAGATTGATGAAATAAAATTTGCATAGATCTCCTTGCAGTCCAAACAGCATTCATTCATATGACATGAGGAAAAATGTTAAAAAAAGTCTTTTTCTAAGGATGTTTGTGGAAAAAAAAAAATTGTATGCTTCATTAGAAATTAGACCACAGTTTGTGAGGTAAATGTTAAAAGTGAAAATTTCAAAATTATACCGACTAACAAAGCAAGTCAAAAGAATGCAAAATCCTCTATGAATAATTATCCTCTTTATTATTTTTTTTTTTATACAATAATTTGTCATTCCATAAAGAAAACGCTTGTTTGAATTTCATCCCCATCTTCAATACAGAATACATTGATTTTCCATGTAACCTAAGGAGGCTCTAATGTTCAAGAATGAAATAAATGGAGAGTGTAAAAAAAATGAGTAAATTGCATGTGATATCTTAAAATGTAAAACTTGATCTTTTGTGCAGGTGAGAACACAGTTAGGACAATTGCCATGGACGGTACAGAAGGTCTGATCCGAGGCCAGAAGTGCGTTGACACTGGCTCCCCCATCAGCATCCCCGTCGGCCCCGAGACGCTGGGACGCATCATCAATGTCATTGGTGAACCCATTGACGAGAGAGGACCAATTGGAACAGACAAGTGCGTAGTCATCGAGCAGACATACTTCCCCAAGTTCACATCCCATATAGTAGTTCAATGACACATAATAAAGCGATAGTTACTCTCCAGTCAATATCATTCACTTACTGAATTTTAACTTTAAACCCTGACCTTGCAATATTCCTATCCCTAAACCTAACCAAAACCCTTACTCAATATCTTTGACAAAGTCGAGCCCAGAGTCATCATCACAAGAGCACGAGTCACAGCATCATTATTTACTTTGAAGATATAGAATAATGTTAGATAATGATTAAAACTGCCATGTTTTGGGGGTGTGTTTGCATGAGATATTCTTAGTTTCCGGTATGGCCTACAGGTTATGTCTGTATTGTTTGCAGTAATTTCACTGAACCAACAATTTTTTAACCCTTCTTTTCGACCCTTGTAATTAACAGGAGATCAGCAATCCATGCAGAAGCTCCAGCATTTGTAGAGATGAGTGTAAATCAGGAGATCCTTGTTACTGGAATCAAGGTTGTAGATCTACTGGCCCCATACGCCAAGGGAGGAAAGATTGGTAAGATTCTCATGGTTCAGAGTCTAGAACATACAATAATGATAATAATAATAGCTCACTTTCATAATGCGCTAATACCAGCCTGGCTAATACTTTGTTTCTAGGCGCAGCACAAATTTAGTCCGTTCCACTGGATGGCTTCATATTGTGTTGAAGAATGAAGAGACTCGCTATTTATTGGTGAGGCAACTTATTAGAGAGGACACTGCTGTTAAGAGAACATAATTTATAAATAGAAGTTTAGGAAAGTGAAATTGAGTTCGCTGCTGTGTGAATGCATTTCTGAGCTAAACTACAGAGCACAAGAACTTGGATCGAGCTGTAAGAGGAGTCGAAATAAACTAATATTTTCCTACCCGTTATTTCTAGGTCTGTTTGGCGGTGCTGGTGTAGGAAAGACTGTACTGATCATGGAGCTGATTAACAACGTAGCCAAGGCCCACGGAGGTTACTCTGTGTTCGCTGGTGTAGGAGAGAGGACCCGTGAGGGTAACGATCTCTACCATGAGATGATTGAAGGAGGTGTCATCTCCCTCAAGGACGACACATCAAAGGTAACCATAAACTAATAAAAGTGTAGTGCTCTTCATTGTCCATATTTTGTAAGGTCCAAATTAGTACTATTAGGGGTCGTTGATGCACCCAGCTACTCCCCCCCCCCCCCTATTCCTTGCATATTATTTATGTGCTACTAGGTTTTTGTTATTGTTTAATTTTTTTGGGTCTATCTTGGGCAGTTCACCTCTTTATAACTATCTTCCAGAGATCTAAGTGGTTTTAGCAGGTTCAGTTTAATTACAAAGTTATGCATTAAGCACCTCCATTTTTTCTCGATTTATTTTCCCAAAGTGCACAAAGTTGGGACTTTTCTTTTTAAAAGATCTGTGGATTTTTGGGATCACCTGACCATGTGCTAACAACAAACCGGTCAATTTTATTTACTGATTTAATTTGCTCTGCTGACACACAGGTAGCGTTGGTGTACGGACAGATGAACGAGCCCCCTGGCGCCCGTGCCCGTGTCGCCTTGACCGGACTGACCGTTGCCGAATACTTCCGTGACCAAGAGGGACAGGATGTGCTGCTCTTCATTGACAACATCTTCCGCTTCACACAGGCTGGATCAGAGGTGAGGTTGCACGACTATCCTCCCAAGACAGGGGATTTCCCCCAAGATATGGGGACTAATTGAGCTTTTGTATATTTGTAGTGTTGAGTCATGTGCATCCATGCTATACCAAATGGACTTGCCTTACAGATTTTGTTAAAATCATCTTATCTGTGTTCACACGGAAGTATTCAATTTATGAATGAGGGATCTACATGTTATTTTTGGTTATGTGGGTAACTAGGTTACAATTTTACTATTACTCATATTGATATAATACAATTAATATTTCACATTAAATTATTCAGTACTTAATCGTGGATATTATGCTCCTTACATGGGTTTTTAAGGGGATGTTTGTTAGAAATTCTTTGGAATTTAGACACCTGTCCTGTTATTAAAAAAAAAAGACGTTGATTTCTACAAGCCTCATGGAAGTCCACCATATATTTTGAACATGTCACCTTATATCACGTGCAGGTATCTGCTCTGCTGGGACGTATCCCATCTGCTGTAGGATACCAGCCAACCCTGGCCACTGACATGGGTACTATGCAGGAGCGTATCACCACCACCAAGAAGGGATCCATCACCTCAGTACAGGTCAGTAAGCAGTCAGATTCTACTACAGTCAAACCTGCTTTAGTGACCACCTGTCTACAAAGACCACCTGTCTATAAAGGCCACATTTTTTGTTTCCCTTGAAAATGGTTTCATTTTGAATCATGTACTAAAGGAACCTGTCTGCAAAGGCCACTTTTTGTGTTTCCCTTGGTCAGTTGCTATACACAGGTTTGACTGTACATAGGGTTCTACAATCTATCTGTCTATTGGGAACCAGAAGGGTGTCAACTTTGTGTCTGAGTATATGACTTAATGCTCTTCCGGCTCCAAACAGATGGTATATGCTCTAGCTACAATTTTCCTGTAGTAACCAAATACTCAACTTTAACCCTGGACCAAACACAGTACCGTACTATAAACCTAACCTAAAACCAACTTGGAACTCTAATCCTATATCTTTAATATAAAGCCTGGAACAATGTTGCCATAGCGAACAAAGTGTTACATAGCTTTGAGTCTGTAATATTTTTGTATTGATTGGCGTGAAGGAGGGGAACCATAGTTGTAACTCTTTGTTTGATAAAAAGCCAGAAGGGAAAGAATTCAAAGATGTCATCCAAATCGAAGGAACATTTGATGTATATGTTCATCCTCACACAGCATCAGGTTTTAAGATGCGTCTTTCTACATGCTTTTTTAAAATACTTCATGGATGACTCACATCTGTATCTCTTTGGCATTGCCTAGTATCAACTAACCAGGGTCTTTGTCTAACTACCAATCCTTTGAAATCAACTACCCATGCTTCTGTTTGATTATCAATCCTTATGTGTCTTCAGACACAACCCAACACTCCCATATTACTTTACTTACCCATCGCCCTTATCGCTTTCACCAGGCCATCTACGTGCCCGCTGATGATTTGACTGACCCTGCCCCTGCCACCACCTTCGCCCATTTGGACGCCACCACTGTGCTGTCCCGTGGTATCGCTGAGCTGGGTATCTACCCCGCTGTGGATCCTCTGGATTCCTCCTCCCGTATCATGGACCCCAACGTCGTCGGAGAGCGTCACTACGGCATCGCTCGTGGAGTGCAGAAAATCCTCCAGGTGAGCTAACCAACCCACTTGAACTGGGGGGCATTTCACAAAACTTGGAGTTAAAGTATGCTGTGTGTGGTGTATGTCATTAGCAAACAACGTGAAGAAATGAATGAACTCGAACCCTTACAAGCTAGACATCCATTATTATATCATTGACTGTAGTATTATAATGAGTCTTGAAGTAAGATTGAATAAGATCGGATGATGAAAATTTGAATGTTGTTCCTTTGACTTGAAAAGATAATATCTGTTTTATAAATAGTTCAAATGGAGCCAGGCCACATGATATGAAAAAATCCAACACCCCTATTAATTGAGAAACTTGTAATTGTTTGTGAATTTCCATTTCACCAGCAGTTCTTTTCTTGCAATTTAGAACAAGACCCTTACACAGTATACTTCATTGTGTTTGAGTGTGTCCATCTTTGAATGTCAATGTTAACTTTGTGCTTTTTTTTTTCTGCTTCTCCAGGACAACAAGACCCTGCAGGACATCATCGCCATCTTGGGTATGGACGAGTTGTCTGAGGACGACAAACTGACCGTGTCCCGAGCCAGGAAGATCCAGAGGTTCTTGTCCCAACCCTTCCAGGTCGCCGAGGTCTTCACTGGCAGTCCAGGAAAGCTCGTCTCGATGGCAGAGACCATCGACGGATTCGAGTCCATTATCAAGGGTAAGAGCTAGTACCGGTAAATAATAGGGGGGTTGAGTGGGTGATGCGACTCTGCTGACCATGGCTCGCTTAAATTTGATGAAGGCTGTTTTTGCTATAGATGTAGAATAAAGGATGCAGACTTTCAGGAGTTGAGAATTGTGATGGAGTTAGGTATCGTAATATGGGCAGGGTTGAAATTACGAGTTGGACCAGTGTAAGAAATTTACTGCAGAGCACGTGTCTGTCAAGCATATTGCTGCGATGTACATGCAGTCACGCCAATGTGAATGACCGTCGACATGTTTAGAAGTATAGATGCCCGGTCACATGTCTGCTTGTAACTAGTCATGTGATCAGGATCTGCGTCATTTTATAAAACAAAAGTAACTTAGCAAATTTTGCAGATTGCCAAAATAGTGTCTCTTTTCCACTTCATTGTCTGCTGAGAGCCAAACGGATTTTAGCTCTGTGTTAAGGGCAATAAATAAGTTAATATCTTTCTGGCTTCCGATAGAAAATGTAATGTATCACTTTGTAAGAAGCATGTTAATAATTTTGTTTTTATTTCTTGTTCTTTCTCTCCCCAGGCGAGTGCGACCATCTACCAGAGATTGCTTTCTACATGGTAGGCAACATCCAAGATGTCAAGGATAAGGCCGATAGGCTCGCAGAAGAACTATCATAAATTATCCCCCCTCCCCCAAACAATGAAATTTAGAGCTGGCATGACTACGGGTCCAAGACACCCCTCTTCTTGCTTGTTGTTGTTCAGGGCTAGTCGCCTGGGCCCAAAGAATTTATGTTCAGAGTTATAACTTATATCAAGATTGTTTTCTAAATTGTAATTGTGAAAAATTGAGAGCGAGGGTATTCCAACCTAGCGTAGTTTTGTCACATGAATCTGTCATTTTCCTTCTTTTTTTGCTTGTTATCCATAATAGATTGTAAATGCACAAACAGCTTGGCAAAGTTTGTAAATTTGATCATAACCATTTATCACAATTTAAGGCAGTACCTTCAGCACATTGGTGTGTCACTGATGTCTGACTTCATCTATCTTGTCTGATCTAATCTTATTAGAAATTGGCCAATGTCCAAATATTTCCAATGTAGATATTGACATATCTTCACTTGATTTCTGTGTAGAGCCGTTCACTTATGACAGATGATTGGCATTTATTTTGAATGGATGTTATAGAGCTTTACTGAACCCAGTTGCGATTGTGATTTCCTTGTGCGAACAGAATCGCAACTGACCTTGAAAAAGAAAAACAAGTGTATTAAAAATTATTGGAAGGTTCAAGAACCAAAGCGAAGGCCTGAACTAGTATTTTTGTTCAAGTTTGTAATTGTATCCTAGGAAACAAGGCAAGGAAGAATAAAAGGAACTACAAATAGTAAAGGAGAGATGATATAGACAAATGGAAAAAGAGCAGTATAGAAAGGAAAGGGGGGAATATACAAGAGTTCCAAGAGAGAAAGGGAGAAGAGAGGAAGTTGACGAGTGAAAAGGAGAAGAGAGATAAAGAGAAAGGAATAGGAGAGAAAGGAAGTGAGGCAGGACTAGAGGGTGTGAGCAAGAAAGAAAGAAAAAAGAGAAATGAAAAAGAGTACAGAGGAAAAGCAGAGGGCTTAACAGAGACGTTACTTGCAGGGAAGCAGAGAGAAAAGATAATATTGATAGAAGATTAGTATGGCTGGAAAGATAGGGGATGGGTGCAAGAGCTCGGAAAATGGAATGCGAGAGATATCAAGAGAAAAATGTGGAGGGAAATTTGGAAAGAAAGGAAATTAGCAATAAGAAGGAGGCCATGAGATACAAGAGGCAAATGATCTTTCAAAACGAACAAGACAACGGACAAATCAATCAGCAATAAGTAAAATTTAAAGGAACTATTGCCTCATTTATTCATGTAAATACTCTCCTCTCCACCAGAACCAATGTACATGTACATGTATGATGTTACACCTTTGCATATTACAAATGGTAGGAAAAAGATAAGACAATATTGTTCACTGACTTCATTCGCATTTGGTGGGTGTTTATATTGAGACAATTTAATTCAATAAATAAAATTGATCGGTGGGTATTCATTCACAAGGCAACAATAATTGCATATACATTCATCAGTATAAATTTTGGACGGTTTTACTTTAATACATACATGTATAATGGAAGTAATCTTATTTACAATATATACAGTAAAATATGCATGTTCTATATACAGCAGTGACTACATCGTCATCTAAATATTTACATTTTTTGCAAAGAGCTAGAGGAGCATTTACTTCTACATAGTTAAATTCCCTTCTGGCTCGCGACATGATTGATCGATACAGCGTGCATATGTTTAAATACTGAACAAGCTAGCATATATTATCAGCAGTTTTGAGTATCTTCTCAAAATATACTCGACAACTTTCGGAGGGGAAAAAGATCAAACACTATAACATAAGTAACATGTAATATGCACATGTGCAATTACAATATCTAGGAAGACGATAAAACAAGGTTTCTTCCAGCTTTTATAGAGAATGTATTGCAGTGTCAACTAATTCATTATTTTACTAAGCTATTATTAAGGTTTCATCTACTCCCCCAACGATTTGATGAGATCTATGTGGGCACCATCATACTCTGTTACTTATACATATACCGTAAACTATAATTTTTTTATCAGACTTCCCAGTTCTTGACCCATCGTATTTGTATGGGAACCGGAAGTGCCTTTGCCAAATACGCTCGTGGCCGGTGCTGCCCTCTATGGCCAAATACTGTAGTTGCGGTAGCTAGAATTAGGGAATAGTCAACCTCCAGACTAGGCACAATACAACATGTCACAATTTCAATTGCCCTATTCTGTCTAGTGCATCAAGTTATTCCACTGATTTATGAAGCGCTGAATGCCAACCTTTTCATCTGTAAATTAAACTGGGCAAATGGTATTAAACGTGGCTGGGTTGGCTTCAATTTTACAGAAATAATTCTTCAACTATTGATTTAAAGAAGAGGGCATTTTGTGGAAAAGATCTTCAACAACCAAGCACATCGATCTCTTGACACAGAAGTTTTAATAATACAGTGCCCATTGTGTTCGAGAAAAGACTTAGATTCTGTTCTTCATTTGTTCTGCCATCTCCATGCATTGTACATGTATGTGGGAGTGTATGGAATTGAAACCATACCTCTTGCATAAATGAAAATGAATACCTTCCAATAATACCCAGGCGGTGTATCGATATCACTGCATACCTGACCAGTCACAAAGGTCACATTGGGTACACTAAAAGCTCCTATGACGCAGAGTTTGCACAGAAATAGAAAGGGAGAGAGAAAGAGTATGAGGAAGTGAGAGAATGTAAAAGAGAGATAATCCAAAAGAGAAGAAGAAAGCAGAGAAAGAGAAAGACAGAGAGAGAGAGAGAAAGAAAGACAGAGAGAAAGAAAGACAGAGAAAGATATTGACCAAGGGAATAGCTACAGTCAAACAGCAAGAATGAGGTGGGGAGAGAAGAAGGGGAAAAGAAAGAAAAGTAAGTGGAAATTTAAAGGTAGATAATGAGATGAAATATAAATAGGGCAGTACATGTGACCAATTTTTAAAGAAGAACAAAACATGGCCAGTGACACCTTTACATCAAGTAACAAACTATTTACTTGGGCTGGCGTAATGCACAATTGGGCCTTTGTGCCCAGGGTAGCCACATCAAGTATTAATACCACACCATCTGTGCATGGCAAATATTACCCCAGTCCCCAGCATTGCCAGGTATCCATTTTTAATACACCTGGGACAAAAAGTTGGCACAACATCTTGTGCGAGGATGTACATTGTAAGAACTCTGCAAGATCATAATCCAGACTTCTCATACGAGAGTCAAGAGCCTTCACCACAGTGCACCTAATAGTGCGTGGAGCACTTTTACAAAAAATTTAAATATTATCACTGTATCCAGATGACCAACTGATGGCTTCCTCACAACATTTGATCAGCCTTCCTTTTGAATAGTTGTTTGCTCTGTATCCATTAACAATTTACATGTAACTCCATGCAGGGCCAGAAAGTAGTTGAAGCAAGAAAAGTAGTTTGTTCATGCTGTGAGGTCATAACAAACGTTTCATCTTTTGAATTTGAGACACCTCATCATTTGTTCTTTTTAACCCTTACTGTACTGGGGGGGGGCCTGGGAGGCCCCCCCCTCGACATTTTCAAAGGTCGCGCCGCAACCGCTTGGAATTTTGAATTGTCGTTTCATGACTTTTTTCCCTCAAGTCTTGCGCACATTTTGATACCATTTTCGTCAAAATCGGATATACCTGTCAGGTGTTACATAACAATTAGTATGCGCATGTCATCAAAAAAGTGCTATAATTGCATATATTCATGTACAAGCAGAAATGTGAAGATATGAATTGATATGAAATTGCTTTTATATGTTTCTCAGAGTAACTTGATGTATTCCAGAACAAAAGAATACATTAGAAATAAAACAATAGATATAATAAGAAAAAAAAACAATAAAATACATAAGAAAAGAAATATTTGAAAATCGCATCAAATTTGCATAAATTATCATTATTAATTACATCAAATAACTATTTTGTGTTAGAAAAGAAGTTTCATATCGATAATGAGTTTCAACATTCAAAAAGTGCAGTCTGACAATTTTTGTAATAATTCTAGTCCCTAAATATAGTTCCAGATTTGATATTCATGAATGCGTAATTTGCGTATTCATAATTTATGCAAATTAACCTATGCATTTTCAAATATCATAAAAATAATGAAACCTCATGAATTTGAGATGAAGGAAACATTTATTCAATACATTTCCAAGATTCTTCACAAGTCTACGGACAAATATGTAGAGTTTTCTGTTAAATGCATAAAATTAGCATTTCGCATAATTAATTAGGCTATAACGACAAAAATTTGCATATTAGGAAAAAACTAATTATACCATCTTGTTCCTTACGTAAATATCTACAAATATGCAAATTTTCGCGTTCATCGGACATTCGACGGCCGAGATCATAGGGGGGGGCCTCCCAGGCCCCCCCCCAGTCAGAGGGTGCTCAAAATAGCCCAGTACAGTAAGGGTTAATGTAATACTGGTTTAACAATTAAGTAGCAAAGCAATGGCCATGGAAGTGTTTGCTCTGTATCCTATTAACAATGTACATGTACATGTAACTCCATACTTATACAGGGGCAGAAAAGAGTTGAAGTAAGAACATTTATTTGTTCATGTCGTGAAGTCATGTAAAACCCTTTATTTCTTTATACTTCAGACACCTAATCATTTGTCCTTTCTTTTTTACCTGATGAAATATCAGACCAACATGAAGTAATACTGGTGTAACAAAAGGGGCAACGTAATGGTTGTGGAATTCTTCTGAAGTTGGTGGAGGATGCGCCCATTATATTCAATATAACTCTCAGTTATCGAAGTGCATGAAGACCATTCTTGTTGACAGATCTATAACATCCATTATCAGGTTCACGTATATATCCGAATGGTGTCCAATTTCCCAGGAAAACTCAAGATAATGTGTCTTTAGTAGAATATACTACAAAGATTTGGGGAGGCTGGGGGGGGGGGGGGGGGGGGGGGGGGGGGGGGGGGGGGGGGGGGGGGGAAGGGAGGAAGGGAGGAGGGCAAAAAGAACCAAAAGAGACACAGCTTTATATTCCAGAAGTTCCCCAACATTAGCAGGAATCAGGATGCCATCAAAATACCAGGGTTGGCGGACGGAGGTCTGCTGTCGTCGTTTATCCACCTGAGAGGGCGACAGAGCACATATTATAAAGATCAGTATTTTCACCAGAATGCAAGCAATACAATACCAGGTTATCCACCATAGGCATACATAGAGATTGTGCAGGGCTGGAGCGAGTGCAAGGCTATACACAGACATTAGTGAGGAGAATGCACATGCTAAAAGGGTAGAGCTATATGCGAATTCAGGAAGCAAGTGAAAAAGGTTAAGTTGCGTAAGAGTAATCAGTGCCAATGTAGTCATGAACTAGGGCCCTGTTTGATAATTGTTATAAGCTACTAAAATCCTTGCATTTGATTGGCTATTAGCAGATTTGTCATGGATTTGTGGCAGTTTTTATTGTATAACCAATATTGAAACTTAGCTTTAATATCTTTTCTTTTATCGTATTTTATCTGTATAAACATCTAAATGTTATCCCACCTACGTATCAAGGTTGCAATAAACCTGTAAATTGTTAATTATCAAATTTCTATTTCATGTTAAACGAACGTCAATTTTATATCATCAATGAAACTGTAAATCGTATTTAAATATACACAATATTTGTTAAGTGTTCTATATATTTTAATGTGTTAAATATCAATGCAATGTTATGCCATATACTTTTTACTCTTTAAATTGAACAATTTAATCTTTTAGCTGCATGTCCGATGATTTTTATCTCAATAAACCAATACAATACAATACAATACAATAACAAGTTTTATGAAACAGCTATAGGGCTCAGATTTAAAAGAAAAGCAATCCCATAAAGCATGTTGCATGAAAAAAATTGCATGAAAAAAATTGCCATTGATATATCATGGGAGTAGGCATACTTGTACATGTAGAATAGAAGTACTTGGATGACATCAATACAGAGTAGTCAATAGAAGAGTATATAAGTACGGCAGGTTGGTGCAGGGAATTAATTGAGAGGGCATGTGCAAACAGCCAACTTGAAAACACATATTGCAGGAAAAAAAAAATCCTAATTACGAAGCGTGCAAAGGCACACAATTTGCAGTGCAGGAGTAAGGCAAGATGACGATGGTGCAACTAAAAACCACAGATACAAAGGACACAAAGTAAAACAATCCACAAAGACAATGATAGCTGACTGATAACAGGTGCAGGTGAACTCAATCATGGAAACCAAGATGTGTAGATATAATACATTTCCAGTTATGAAGCAAGTGAGGGTATAGCCACAAAAGGCAGAGCATTGGCAGACAGAGGTTGTCAATGGCATGGGAAGTCAGAGACAGAACACATGGAATGCGAAATACAAGTACCGTATTAAAGCCATTAGGGCCCTGTTGCATAGCACTTACCATCGATGGTAACTCGATCTGCCATTAATATCAACTACCATGGCAACATAACAGCCAATCAAATCAAGCTATAGGTTTCCATGGAAGTTACCATTGACAGTAAAGCTACCATTAATGCTGAGTTTTTTGCAATGGGCCATAGTGTAGTCTATAACAATAAAAGCACATAGTGAAACATCATAGAAATTGATGAAGAAGTTGGGATGGAGAGAAAGAATGCAGAACATGAGCAGAAAGGGTTATTTTTTAAATTTGTTACTAGAATGAGAAGTCAGAGACAGCACAAAAGGGATGTGAAATACATTTTTATAATAAAGAAGTGATCATGAAAGTGTATTAGCACGAAGTACACAGAGACAAGTCTAAATACATTAAATGCAGGTGCTTTGTTATCTGAATGTCCCAGACTAGATAAATTTTTAAAGCAAAACTAGAGCTCTGGTGAACCAATATTTCTCTTTCAATTACATACTAGTATACAAATTCTATGAGTACTGTACACATAGGGATGGAAGATACAGATCAAAACCAGCATACAAATAAGTTCTCAAAGATAACTATATTCTTTTAAAACAGTATTCATGAAATGATAGAAGTTTAGTGTTATTGTAGCAACATACATGTAATCAACAAAGCATGTATTGCTCCACACTAACAATCTTTCTTTAATTTTTTAATTTTTTTAAAATGTAGATAAGGAGAGAGAAATATAAATAGGGTAATAAATGTAACCAATATTTTTCAAAAGCAGTCTAGACAGATGGAGTCCCTAGATAATTTTGAAATGTTGGGCCCCTTTTAGTGTCAACCCTAGCCATAATCAGTGCCAGTACCACACTGATCGTTTCTGTGCCCCTTCAGAAAAGACTTGTATAATTCAAATGCGAGGAAAAAAATTATGGAGTTTCTCTTTGAGCACACAGAATATCAAAATTTCATTGTAAACTGTGTATTCTAGTCCCCTTTGGCAAAAGTAATAGATAATGTGGAAGGCAAATAAGTTTAGGCAAAATTCTATTCAAGCATGCAGATTGATATTATTTGTTCACAATGTTTTCTATTCCCATTTAGCAAATGCACAGATAATTTAAGAGGCAAATAAGTTCCTGCAAATTTCTATCCCAGTGCGTAGAATTACAAAATTTCATTGTACACTGTGTATTCTAGTCCCCTTTAGCATATGCAAAGATATTTTCTACGGCAACTAAGTTTAAGCAAGTTTCTCTGTGAGAGCACTAGCTGACAATTTTTAGATGATAATTCTATTGCTTTGAACTCTGCAATTTTATTTTTCAACTATTTGTTTTACTGCGATGAGCTTTTGAAAAATGTTAAAAAGTACCTTCAGAAACCATTGGGTAAAAACCAAGGATTGCTGTAATCTTTCATATATGTGGTAGTTGGGTTAGGAAACATGTCGATTGCACTGAGAGGGTACATGCAGGGAAAGTACAGGGTGAGAGTTAGGATGTGTTAAGGGGTGCGAGAGATGGGTGTTGCTAGAAAGGGTGATGGAACAGTTATTCAATAGAAACAAATATAGATTGAATTTTTGTACTGCAACATCATTCCTTCTTCATGAACTAAAGCTTACTTGATCATACATTTTAATTTCTGTTCTCATTTAACAAACATACATCTACTTGCTAGTGCTACTATGTAAATGTACTACTGCTACTAAACTTAAACTTCTGCTGTTAGAACAATTACTACATTTCAATCGACTGATACATTTCTATTTTTATCACAACATGGACATGTATACTACAGTCAAACCTGCTTTAGTGACCACCTGCCTACAAAAACCACATTTTTTTCCCCCTAGCTTGACTAATGGTTTCTCATTGAAATATTTACTAAAGGAACCTGTCTATAAAGACCAATTTTTGTGTTTCCCTTGGAAGGCCGCTATAGACAGGTTTGACTGTACCGTAACTACTTCTACACTCATTTCCAATACTGCTGCTACTACTACGTACTATTACCAATTGAGGTAAATAGATATCACTTCTACAACTAATTCTACTTTAAATACTATTAATACCTATACAACCACCACCACGACTATGACAATGGCGATAATGATGACCACTACCACTACTATCAATACCTAATACATGTACCACCGCCACCGCCACCACCACCACCACTATTACTATGACCACTACCACTACTATTATCACTACCAATATTACCCCTCTAAAATATAAATTTGTGCAAATGTGCTGTTGGTAGACACTGATTATCCATGCTACTTTACACAACACATCAGTGAAGGGGGGGGGGGGGGGTGTGCACACTGTTAAATCTCACCTGGGTGGGGGAGGGGTAGGAAGGGGCAAGAAGTTTCCATCGGTGAAGGCTTCATAATCATCGTCTGGTTCTACGATCTGACCCTCTGTATGGCAGAAAGATAAGACAATATTACTTGGTGAATTTATATGGCCTGTATACAGGATGTAGCGTTATTGAAACATATGACCTATTTGTGTTAGTTTAAAAAGATTTATTATTGAACGTCATTTCAACATAAACATCTATAAAATCATTCCAAAGTATTATGTGTAACAAAACAATAATGGAAGCACATACTGTGAGACATTATTTCCTTCATCAAAATTAAATTTAATGATAGTTTTAAAGTTAAACACCTTAAAGACTCAATTATGGTAACATTTTCAAAGTTTGCTTGATTGCTGAAAAATTAAAATGCATGTTCCTATCAACATTTTGGTTTGGGGAGTCAAAAGCTGAAGCCAAGTTATCTGTTACTGCTTGAACCCTTTCAAACAAAATATTCAACCTGTTTACACTATTTTCAGTAAAGCCAAAAATGAAACATTGCAAATAAACATGTACATTAGAAAAAGTACGGAACTAACCATTCACTGAGAAAAGCTCTATGCCTCGCCCTGGTGGTGGGGAGACGGTGTATGCTGACATGACATCAAGTTTTCTGTCCCTGGTAGGATTAATCTGACCTATACCGGGCTGAAAGGCAGGAAGGGGTAAAAGAGTTTGTAAATATCCGCCTTTCGGATGGTTACGTTAAAGGTCGGTCCTCAGAAATATTCATATCTGATTGAAACACGTCTGTAAAAACCCAATCACACACACATACGATGAAAATCATAGAAAATAAGCATTTTGATAATGTTACAATACATGTACCAGACACTTTCATGCTCATGAAATGTTTGCAATTAAATTTTGCAATTGATGAAATAGGTCTTCATCACATGATCTGGCAACAATTGCTATGTGGTCAATTTACTACCATAATGAAATTCTTGACTTCAACACTAGATCAAACACTATACCTAACAAGAACCAGTACCAGAACCTGAAACCTAATCATAAACCTACTCTTAACTCTTTATATGCCACTCAAATAATCTCCCTGTGCCCATCGTATTCATCAAAGGAAAGATATACATGAGATAGATATAACAAAGGTTTCAATGTTATCAAACTGTTTCCAGTGCAAGATATATCTATACCAGTGATAAAAGGTTTGTCATGAAGCACATCAAGACCGAACTGAATTGATGACTTTGCAAAGACACTGTGTTGCATGAAGGAATCTTTCCCTCAATTGGTGCCTATCATTTTGTGCAGAAATGCATGAGCACATGTACAAAGAGGCAAATAAAGCAATGAAAGTGTTATTTAATGAAATAAAGTTTGGAGTACATGGTGCTGGAGCACTGCCCAAACTCAGGTCATTGCCATACTCCAGAGTAACATGTATTTTTCAGCAAACTTTTTAAGCCTATCTGCACTAGTTTCGCCAGGAAGGATTAGACCTCCCTGCATGGCCACTGACAGGTAGTTATGTCATCAAATCAGCTCTCAATTAACATAAGAAAAAAAGGGATCGTGGGGGACCAACGGTTCCGCTTAGGCATTGTTTGCTATATAGAGGGCGCAAGTAGCTACAAGTAATACAGACAAGCTTTAAAGCTTACAGTGAGAAGTGAGAATACTACATACCAGAGGAGGATGTGGTCCCTTGCTGTGCTTGGTGTTGGGTGTTGGCTGGGGCGCCTGGGGTTGGATGGCTGCATTTCTTGACACTTGGCTGCCTGGGGCATCATTCTGGGTAGGGAGAACATGGATTATAGGGAGATTTCATCAATGAAATGTATGTACCTACGGTATTTAATCATTGTGATGAAAAACCTCTGACTTGTTATGTTTTCTGGGGCATCATTCTAAATAGTAAAAATGACATCAACTCATGGAATAAATCCATGGTTTGAAGCTCTAGAGGCACAGTACATGCATGTCATGATGTCCAATGGGCGAGCATTAATACAGCTACTTACTAATGCACGTGCTTATAGAGTGGAAACTCAATTACGGCGTAGTTTAGACCATGGTGTAAATTAATTTCCCTCACAAATTGGACTATATAGATTTGGGAGATAGTCTTCTATGATGGAAATGATATATTCTATTCTATTCTAACAGTATTTAAATCGGACAAGATTAGTGTGTTGATACTTACAGCATACGTGACTGTTGCATGGTGGAGAGTGGCAGCTTGCTTCTGTAGCGTTTGTCGGAGATAGCTCTCATCCTTCAAGGCATACATGCTGAAATCAAACAATGTTTTAGAAACAGAATTTTAAAAAATGCTGAAATTCGACAATATCTCTAAGAAAAAAGAAAATTAAAAAACTATAGGGCCTACCATTTTCTCTCTCTGTCTCTGTAATTAATTTACTTTCATATGAGCTGCAGTAAAATTGCTCTCTCTCATGGTAGCTTTGCACTCTTTGGTATTAAATATACATCACCTCTCTCTTCTATCTCTGCCTACCCTCCCTCTCTCTCTTTTTCCCCACTCCCCTTCTCACTCATTTTCTCTCTTTCTTGTCCTCTTTTCTTATCTCTGTCTCTCTATAATTTTTCTTTTCAAAAAGTGTCCTTCCAACTTTATATTTCAGTTGTAACAAACCCCCTCTATAACACATTATCTTCTGATAACAAGTTAGTGCTAGCTTAGCAATCTCTTTTATTTGTCTCTATCTCTCGTTCCCCTCCCATTTTCTTTTGTCTCAATTTATTTATCCCTTTTTCCATTGCTCTTTCTCTCTCTCTTAACTCATCTTCTCTGCAGCAAGCTAAACATCTTCTCACATAATTTGATTCACTTGGCAAGCTCTTTTTTTAGCCTTGCTCCCTCTTTCTTTTGTCTCACCCTTTATCTGTCTATCTATCCCTTTTCCCTTGCTCTCTCTCTCTCTCCCTCTCTCTCTTAACTCATCTCCTCTGCAGCAAGCTAAACTCCCATAACTTGCTGCTCTTGGCTAGCTCTTTATTCGGCCTGGCTATCTCTCTCCTCTTTTATTTCCCATTCTCTTTCTGCCTAGCTCTTTCTATCTCTTAATTTCCAACCAGCTCTTTCATGTAAACTCACCTTCTCTGCAAGACACTAAACTTCTTCTCCCATAATTTAGTGCTCTTAGCCAGCTCTTTCTTCAATCTTGCAATTTCTCCTCTCAGATGTTTCTCCAGTCGATTCAATTTAGATATTTCTTCTCCTGACTCTGCTGCCTTTGCAAAGGTTGCTTGTTCCTACAAATAGAATTAAAGCATGATTATCTAATTAAAAGTGACTGTTTTAATTGAGTTGTAAAGGTGATATTCATTTTCAACAGCTGAAGTTTGTGGCACGTAGCAGTGTACTACAAAAATGACAAAATCTTGAACCTCAAATGACTTTCAAAAATACTATTGTATAACTGCTCTATAAATGAATGAATAATTGAATAGGAACAATCTTTACCCTAAATGGAACAGAGTAGAAAAAATTCTTGTGGATGATTTTTTGGCATCATGAGCTTTAACAACTTTATATCTGAATCTTACACATATATGGTGACAAATGCAAATTAGCATCAAATTTATAATCAAGCGTCAAATAACTTTCTACAATTTAAGATTTATTATGAATTACATCCGTTATCAATAATATCAGAGATGTGTGGCTCTCATTGATATGAAGATATGAAAAACTAAAAATATTGGGGTTGGTATATAAAACTTGAAAGACATGCTTGAAAATACAAATACACAAATATAGAAAATAGCTGGATACGTGTAGCTCTTTTCAGAGTCATTAACAAAATAGATCCCTGTTCCATGAAACTTGCTATCAATAACAAATGCTAAATTTCTATGGCATATTTGTTCTCAGTCAATCAAATGCCACAATTTCAGTAGCTTATAACATTATTGTAACTTGTTAATTGTTACGGATAAGTTTGATGAAACACTAGGGTCCAGGGGGGCGTTTCACAAAACTTGTCATCAGTGACAAATGACAGTTTTGTTATAAGCTACGGTAATCCTTGCTTCTGATTAATTATCGGCAGATTTGTCACTGATTTTAGTAATTTGTCATTGAAAAAAGCTTTATGAAACGGGTCCCTGTTCCTTATCATCCAAGAGGTCCCTCAATTAGAAAGTAAAGAAGAAATGCCAATATTTACATTCTTTTGGAGTTCCCTCTCTTGCTTCTCTTTCTCCGCCTCAAGTTTCATCCTCGCTTCCTCCGCCTTTTGGGCGTCTGCTGCGTGTTGCTTGGCGAGGTTCAACATCTGAAGGCAAGAAGAAAACAAGAAATAGCTGGAGCATTTCATACCAAATATAGCATATTATAATGGACATACATAAATTACAGAATTTTATACACACACAATTAAAAAACTATTTTATGCGCATAGTGGGCATTTTATACACAGATTAGTTACTTTCATACACAGAATTGGGAATTATCATACACAAAAACAGGTAGTTTAGCCATAAACTATGGCATTTCATTCACTGTATAGGATATTTCATATATAACTAGGGCATGCATTAAACAAAAATTAAAAACCTTATGGCATTTCTTACACAAATCAGCCATTTCATACACAATAGAGAGCAATTTAAATACAAAATGGGCACTTTATACACAAAATAGGATGTTTTATACATATGTGAGCATTTCATACACCAAAATAGGCTACTTCTTAACAGCACTCTTTTTTTAATACAGATTGCACTGCTACCACATGGTTTTAACTTATAATCCCCGACTTGCTCATGTTTGTACAGGGCCATTGTATTCAACTACAAAGACTGTGCCCTACTGCCTTATGTATAGTTGAATAAATAAAGATAACAGGCCAGGCAGAGATATCACATGGACCTTGAAACACACATTCAACTGCATGGTCAAAAGATAGTTTAACCAATCGTCTCCTGTAACCAGAGTTACCAGACGGTTCCTATATATGAAGCCTTTATAGGAAAGAGAGAATTCAGGAGCCAATGGGTGGTATTTTCATAAGATAAGCCGGGACTATAAGTCCAGACTAAACAAGAATTTTAGTTCACACTTCTATGGAATGCTAGGTTTCATCTTCCTCCTTCAATATTCATGACAAAGATAATCTACCAAAGACTTTGTTGAAACTCAGTTCATACTCATATTATCTTCTTCTTCCCATTTCATTCCAAATTAATTTTTGGACACGTTTCATTGAAGGATTAAAATAATCTGTACAGGGTAAATGAGTTGGCAACAGGCATTCCATAAAAGTGTAGACTAACTTAGTACACGCTAACTTAGTACGCGCTACCGGAATACCACCCAATGGGTTTAATTTCTATATTTCATTACTATGTTTCATGAAAGTGTGCCTGGTTACAAATACTACATGTATTTGCGCATTGCCTTGGAAACACCAGAAGGATTATTACTCTTAACGTTTTTCATAATCACTTGATAAAGACTTTAGGTATGTCAAAAAATTGTAACCTAATAAAAACTTTTGGGTTTGAAGCATGAAACTTCTCTTCTTCATCACTTCTTTCATGTGTAATGAATACATTGTACAGGTTTTGTGGCATGTAAATGTGTGGCTTAGTAACAGACATTTTGTTGCTAGTGTAATTCAAAATTATATTGAATCAAAATTAAGTGGGCAAGCAAACAACAATTGTTAACAGATTTAAAAATGGCATTAAAGGTTAAAGGTTGCAGGCCAAAAAAATGAAAAGGTTAAATTCCAACGGCATTTGAAAGACAATACTAACTTAGAACTTTCCTCAAAACGAATGGTCTTCAGTGAAAATGGCTTTTAGCAGGAAAATAGTACCATTAGCTGTCGAATCAACTTAAGTGATTGCACTCACCTAAGTAATACTAAGTAATAGTCTGATTTTCAAACTTTTTTACTGAATGGTCGTACGTTTTGTGCTGCACAAAGATTCAATCAGTTTGATTTTGGCCATTACAAGTAGTGGGTTATTACTGTAGACAAATGCTCATGTACCTCTTACAGCTCTTTTATGTACGTTTTTACCAAAGAATATGTCAGTCAGTCACTCAATACTGTCTGACAGTGAAGTCTAGAATGTAAACGGGTTTCCTAGCATAAGATAGCTACAAATATATTAGTCGCAGAAATTCCACAGCAAAGGGACTTACCTCATCTCTTGACTTCTTCATTTTTTCCTGCATATCTTTTTCCTGGTTCAGTCTCTGCTTTTCAGCCTGAAAATTAAAAATAAAATAAAATAGAAAAAAAAAAATAACATTAAAATATATCATTCAGCTGACATGATACAAATCCAATCCAGGTATTTATAAAGCGCCAATATTATAGTTGCCTAATCAAAGGCGCTGATGACACTGAAAAAAAAATACTAAAAATGTCTGTTCATGATTCTAACTGGGAAAGACAAAAAAAGCAGTGACTAATTGAAAGCAATCTGAAATAGGTATGTCTTTAGTTGAGTTCTGAAAGTGAATAACTGGTGACAAGAGCGAAGGATTTGGGGAACACCATTCCACAATATCTTGATGCACAGGATGATCGATCGATCCCCTAGAAAAGATGTTATTTTTGTTTATCCTCTTCCTCATCTACTCAAAGTTATTCCCTAGACAAGTAAGTAAAGCAGATATAAATGCACTTGTACGGAAAAAGAACACACGCTTGAATTGAGCTCGTCAGCTCCGTGCACAGGGTCTTAACGTTACCCTTTAATTTCTTCATACTACCTCACTATTAACCCTTAGAATGATGGGTAAAGTTTTCCCTTTCTTGTTCTTGTCTATGTACACAATATTGTACCAACATTATTTTTGAGGGATATTGGCCCCCCCCCCCCCCCAGAAGTTTATTTAATATGAAGGTAATTCTTTTGAAGAAAAAAGGCTGGGGCAAGTGAGAATCAAACATGCTAAAATATTTGTTGTAGCATCCTGTACAAGCATGGCTTAGTGTAGGTTTTCCTGGATTCCATGGCACCAGCTATTTATGTATTTAAAAAAATATGTATTCATACAACTGTAGTTGCTTCTTAAGATCCATATTGTTTGGAAAGTTGATAATTGTGCAGTTCAAGATTATCTACTATTTTTCTTGAAATGTTCTAGGTCTTTCACTTCTTGGTTTGGTATATAAAACTTCAAAGACATATATGATAATACAAATATATATGAATCTAGGAAACAGATGGATACATGTAGCTCTTTTCAGAGCTACAAATAAAATGGCCCTGTTTTGACTACAAGGTCTGTAAAATCAATAAAAAACAATATATAATACAATTGCAATAATGGCTGAGATGCATACTAACCTGTCTCTTCAAGGACGAGATCTCTTGCATTGCTGTAGCTTTCGATTCTTCCAACTCCTTCAGAAGCTGTGGAAACAAAAACATGGAGAAGAAAGTTTTAGCTCTTTTATTCGTGGATAATGAACTAATGGCAAGAGGGGGTGAAAAAAGCTACATGTAAGCATCAGCTGTCTATATGCCACACAAACAATCTCCCTGTGCCGCACTAGCTGTATTCATCATGCTATTGATAATACCAAAGGCTAAAAGATTATCTAACTGATTCAAATGCAAGATTAATTTACACCTGTTATTATTATTATTTTATTTGGCAAATCAAGCATTCAAACATGAATTGAGATAAAATCAATAAAAAAAACACATAAATATTGCAATAGCAGGTGCTTCCGGTCGAGCTGCCCGGGTATGGAAAAAGTTAACCAAATAACTGTGATCTGCACACCTTCCTCCCCACACCCGACCAGATGCACCAGATATTGATTGAAATAAAGCTTTAAAAAGAAAAGAAAGATGAGGAGATGGAAATGGAGAAAAAGGGAGAAAAAAGGGAGAAAAAAGAAAGAAAAAGAAAAAAGGGTTGCCATGGAGCTAATCAAGACCAGAAATGAGAAATGTTGCAAAGCTGTTGAGTTCCACACAGCAATCCTTCTGTCAAGCAGTTCCTATCATTGGTAAGTGTGGCGAACGAGCAACCGTGTAGCGAGACAAAGGAAGCAATCAAAGTGTTAAAGACCTCTAAACATGCTCTCTGGTCTCTGTGTTTTATTTTATTTCATCGCATTTTCGCTCTACGGCACCATACGTGAACGACGGTTAAAGGGATCGTTTAACAATGTTAAACCTGAGATGCATGGCCCTACATGTTACCAGTGTCTTTGATATGATGTAATATTGAAGCCCTAAAAAAGTTGAGCTTCCAAATGATCATGAAGTGCCTCAAAAAAAGTAAATATCTTTGAGTGACTGGTTTTACCATACAGTACTCATTTTCCCCAATAGACTGTAGTGTTATGAAAAACCATTAAGAAAACGCAAAATTTGATTTTGATTTCCATTCATAAATATCTTGATAATCAGACAAGCAATCAGCTTGTAAAATTCATGGGGTTCCTGACTGAACTAAAGGTTTATAATTATCATTACAGCATGAGCTAAATCCAGGACTTTGTTTCAGAATCTGAGACAAAGTTACCGGATCCCTTTAACAATAGAATTGATAACATGATATCTTACCTGTTTTATGTGTATTCGTTCTTTCTCCACATCTTTGTTTAGTCTCTCCATATCTCTGTCTGCAAAGAAAGAAAGAAAACGAAAAATAAAGTGATGGCTCTGTGGTAAATACGTAGTCTTGTAAAAAAGAGGTTCTGGGTTCAAAACTGACATGATGTACTTATGCCCTTTTGTAAGGTACTACATGTATTCTTTAATTACCAGGCCCCTCAGATAGGACCATTGGCTGTAGATTCACAGGTTACTATCTAAAACGATATAATTACTTGCTTTCTAGGCAGCTAGGTAATATAAAAAGACATCATCATCATTTTTGTGGATGAAATTGAGACATAACTGTGCAGATGTTCCGTTAATTGCTACATGTAACAGGGCATCTATTCATTATCAAATCCAGTCTAATCAAGGAATTTGACAAATGCCAATTTGCATAATGCTCAAAAGACAAACATATGGTGTATATGCAGACCACGATTCATCTGGGAAAGACTGACTAATGCGGTGGTCACAACCCGCCGTACTTGCAAGTGAGTGCTGTCCAAGTGCAAAAACGTGGGCAAAATTTGGGTATCCGTAAGTGGTGAGTACCACCTCCGGTACGGATTTGGGAGCATGCAGACACACCGTAGCACTTTTAGTGCACAAGGAACTTTAGCTGCGTTCGGGCTGCGGTCGGGCTACCGATTCACCCCCAGTGCGTGTGACATGCGTTGCTGGTACTCCCTCCCTGCCTTTGCCACTCCCTCCCTACGTTTTCAGAAAAAACGTGGAGGCCGTGGCCTCCCCAAAAACACGCACAGTGGGTTGTGACCAACGTTAATGTGGCTAGTTTAATGCAGGAATAGGAATGCAGATTACCACCTCGCCCCCTCCCTTTTTCACACCAAAAGACATTTAGACAACAAGGTACCACATGGGTAATTTTCAACAATACTTCATCAGGAAAGATGGTCAACTGAGGTGCAATCAGATCGTTTTCTGACTTCCAACATGACTTTAAAAATCATACGCGTGGGTTCGTGTCCAGTGATGAGCAGACAAAAATATAAAAATAATTGTTACAGCATTGTGTGTCAGCGCGCCCCTTGCCTCTGTTCTCGATACAGACTCAGGATCAGGGGGAAAACGCTCTGTTCCTTGGACAGAACATTAACTGTAGGCCCTGTGTGTAGGAGGATCACACCCTGTGCACTTCAATATGCTACACTTCTCCCAACTAAAAGCAGGGTGTAAACCAGGGGGGTGTTTCACAAAGATCCTATGCCCTAACAATTATGGAAAGCCATTAGCACCTTTGAAAATATTTTGTAAAAGTCATAAAATGTTGATTCAAATCATTCATATTTTCTATTTTCAAGGAGATTTTCTTAATGTGGAATTTATAAAAAGTCTAAAATACTTGAATTTTCGGTTTTGAATATATTTATTTTAAGGCTACAAATGGCTCTCCATAATTTTTTAAGTCCAACTTAGAGTTAAGTTTGACTTAGGATCTTTGTGAAACACCCCCTGGTGTCTAGTGTGCCTGCATTACACAACAGGTAATCTTCCTGCAGATCTTTGTCATAGGCTCCAAAGCCCTTTTAAGATTAAACAGAAGAAGAAGAACACTCAGTTTAAGTAACTTATGAACTTACTCAATTCTTCTATGAGTTCATCTTTGCCGTCTAGAGCTGATTCTAAACCATCCACTTTCCTCTTCATGGCCACCATCTCATCCTTGAGCGCCTCCACCTCATAAACGGCAGTGGGTGTCGACGCCTCACTCCTTGGGGCCTAGAGAAAAAAGAGAAATCTCAAATGTTACATGCATGTAAGTCACTCTATAATCTATTCATTAACTTATTAAGACTATCAAACATATTTTTAATTGAAATTAAAAAGCGATGGTCATCGATTCGGCATTGTTTGCTATATAGAGGGCGCAAGTAGCAATAAGTAGTGCAGTAGGGCTTTAAATGAATAAAGTTTAAACAAATGGAAAGAAACAAAAATGTTGTAAAGTTGGCCAATTACGATTATAGGCTAAAGTTGCTTAACAACATGCAACAAAATTAAATCACATTTCTGATGTCTTAAGATCTGTCAAAAGTGTAGAAGGTCTGGACACATATGCCAATGTAGATATGGTCTGTATGTTATAAACTGTAGGAATGATTCAATTTGATCATTAAATAACAATAGAGATAGGAATATTACAAGTTTGCGATTGTGATAAATCCCAAGCAGTTGCAACTGTCAATAAGACAGGTTTTACTCACGTTTGCCTGTTGTTCTAGTTGCATCTTGAGCATCTCGATGATGCCTTCCTGAGATGCTACCTGATTCTGTAGTGCCTTGTGCTCATCTTGTAGGGCGGCGGTGTTACTATTCTGTTTCTTCAGCTCAGCGTTCATCTTTTTACTTGCATGATTCTGGGATAAACAAGAAACCATGAATTATTAGAATGTATGAATTTCCCCCTTTTCAGGTGCATTGATTCAAGTTATAATAATTGCACCAAATGCTTGTTTGATTCTTTTTAAACCTAATTAAATATGCTTTATAAAAATATGGTGCCTATTATTCTTCTTGTTCTTCTTTTCTTAATCTAAAACTCTCCAAATGATGAAAAAGTGAAATATGATTTCACTTCATGTAATGATGCTTATGATGCTTTTTAAATAGTTCTATTTCCATGGTAAATTAATATATTTTGGTCTTTAATTCTCTTTTTCATAAAGCTGTAAGATAAGAAACGTTTGCAATTTAAACATTTTGCAAATCATCAATGGTGGCGATATTTTTGCAGCAAAAGACGTTTTGTGAATTGTATGAATTCAATCCATTATTCATTTAACTTGCAGGTAGAAACATGCAAGAATTTCAAATATTGGTGAAATATATGAAGGTTGTTTTCAAAAGAAAATAAGTACTACAATATCAAAGAATTGCATACTGATACCTTTCATCCTGCTCTCATGAGATTAAAATACGAAAATGAAGAAAAAAACTAAAGAAATCAAACAATCTAATAATTTTTTGTTTCAATTTCTTTGCATTCTTATTGATTTTGTAATCCTGGTCACAGGATGAATGATCTGCAGCTTTTTTTTAGGGTGGAGCTTAGCACCCAGTTCTGAGAAAATTATTTAAAAAAATATTTTAAAATTTATGAAATATATTTAGACGTTTGAATAACAAAATATGAGGTGTATGCAGCCCTGCACATCAACAGGAATCAATTTATACATCTATGTCAACCGACTTTTATAGATGAAAGGAGCTTACCTTCCAATCATGGGCGATCTTTGCGATGCTATTTGTGAGTTGTTGTCTGAAGCTTCTCCTTACTACCTCCACGCGCTAGAGAGAGAGAGAAATAAAACACATGAAAATTACTAAATCTTGGTCAAGAGATGAATGAATCTCCTTATTACCATACCAAGCTAGTCAGATGAAAAACTGAAAAGCCTGAACATCTATCCTGATCAAAACATATCAAAATTATTGTTTGAGGCATCTGTACCTCTTATAGGTTTGCCTCAAAATGTTTCCTGCTGCAAGCTTTCAAGGTGTTATATCCCAAGTCTAACCAACAATCTGATTGATGCCTGAACAAAACTTCTTGAAAAGTATTTGAGTACGGCTCCTTCTTCATTTTTGGATACCCTTCTATTGTTCGATGATACTAAGCTTCACAACATTACAAACTGATTTTGAAACTGAAAAAGAATAGTCTCTGGAATTGTCCAGGTAGTTATTGTCCTAAGGGTAATTGTCTAGATGTCAGTTTAATGAGGGTGGGGAGGGGTGTCCAAGAATTCTCTCCTACTTTTTCTCATCATATTATTGTAGAATTCTATAGATTTCTGTAGATTTTTGTACATTTCTTTCCCATTCTATGAACACTCTTTTCACTTTGATTTTTCATTTGCCGGATCAATTTATTTCACCAGGTGCTTTAGTTGGCCGTCTAACAAAAAATAGGTTTTATTGTGTTTATTATTATCGTTATTACAATTATTATCATTATTATTATTATTATGGAGGGGGTAGTAGTCCCAGTATCAGAGTTTCTATATACTTCACTCACCTCTCGATGGGCCTTTTCCAGGGCTTCCACATGTTCGTTGATTCTGCAGTACATGTCAAGAGCTTTTTCTTGGAGTTTGTTCTCATAGTCTGCTCTCATCACCTGCTTAGCCACTGCAAGTTCTCGTTTCAGCTCCTTTGATTCCTACAAAAATTACAAAAACAAAAAATCACACATAGGTAAGTTACAAAAAACTGTGAAGATAAGAAAAAATGTAAATTTCAATGTAAGGGAATTTTCTGTCAAAGACTTACAATCAGGTACATTCTATGATCAATTTTACTCACAAGAAATTAATTCAGACCTGAAATTTGGATTGGAAATGATACAGGAAAAGAAATCTCCCGCTCCATCCGAAGCTAACAAACCTGCTTTAGTGACCACCTGTCTACAAAGACCACATTTGTTGTTTCCCTTGAAAATGGTTTCTCATTGTATCAAGTACGAAATGAACCTGTCTACAAAAGCCAATTTTTGTGTTTCCCTTGGGCAGTCGCTGCTGACAGGTTTGACTGTATAACTAATCAATACATCTACATGTAATTTGTTTTTTTCCTGAAGAGAAAAGTAATCTATCTTGAAATTTTCTCCTCTACATAAACAAAACAAATTTTTCTGTCTCCATCATTTGGGAGTGCCATGATACAAAAGCCTTCAGAATGTTTGTGGGTACTGTAAAGAATAGGGAAATACGACACAACATGTACAGTACATGTTGGTCTAGAGGGATAAACGAAAAACTCATAAAGTGAAACCTGCATACGAAGACCACTCCAGTGAGAAAACAAAATGACTTTACAGGCAGTGAGGTGACATTTGCTTTGGTATCGACTGCTCCAGATTTACACTTTATCAAATATATAGCATAAGGTTAAAGGCTGCAAATAGGTGAAAGGCTAGGTATTTGGCCTAGGGATGAAGACTTCAACATTAAAACGGTAACTGACCACCATACCATGTGTTATAAAATCTCATGGGTTTTATAAATGCTATATCTCACAATGTATAGGTTTCAATGAGGGCAATTTTCAACGGAACGTACCCCCCCCCCCCCCCCCCCACTCCAGCAAAGCATAGAGTCAATGCTAATGCGACTTGACCTCTAGCACTGCATACTTGCTGAGAGGCAGGTATAACACACAAATACACACACTATTGCATAGATCGACCGCACACAATATAACCGATGTGGCCGATCAGAAAATTTGACACTAGACTTACAATTTGAATTATTAATTTTTTTTCTTCTTTTTTTCAGTAAGTTGAAAAAATTGTATTTCACTGCTATTTAGGTGTCATCAATTGTCACTAAAGTACCGATTTTGAGTGAAATCAGTTGAGTTTTGTACAGCGATGATTGAAATGTTGATAATCAATAAAACAGCTTTTAATACACAGCCAGGATAGTAATGCAGCTATGTGTGCCCCTTCCCCAAAAAGCAGTCTTTAATGACAGGGGGTCTTCCTTTACGTATGGCCACTAAATTTGGTTTGACTGGACTTACCCTGAGCAAGGTCTGAAGAACGAAGGTCATCTGCTTGAGTTCCAGGATCTCAGACTCCAGGGTCTGGGATGCCCGGTCCTGACGGAAGAACCCAACCTTCTGCTGGTCCGAGATGGAAGGCCTGGGTAGAATAGGAACAATTAGATTAGAACCCAAACGAGAGGAACCTAATCATACCACTCCAGCAAAGCATAGAGAGTCAATGCTATTAAATGCGTATTGACCTCTAGCACTGCATACTTGCTGAGAGGCAGGTATTATACACAGATACACACACCACACACTATTGCATAGACTCCACACAATAGCACCAATGTGGCTGATCGGCAAATTTGACACTGGACTTACAATTTTAATTTTTAAATTATTCTTTTTAACATCAGCAGACTAAGTTAAAAAAATTGTATTCTACTGCTATTGAGGGGTTATCAATTGTCGCTTAAGTACCGATTTTGAGTTTTGTACAGTGGTGTTTTGAAATGTTGAGAATCAATAGCACAGCTTTTAATACACAGCCAGGATAGTAATGCATCTATGTGTGAATCATACCACTGCACATAGAGTTTAAAAGTTATAAAGGCAAAGATTACAATTTAAAAAAAAGTTTCAGGTCGCGCGTGCGAGTAGTTAGCGACCGTAATAATGATCATCATCCTCATAATGAGGATCTGAGATTACAGTCGCTAACTTCACGCACTCGTGCGCACCCCTTTGTCTGTACACTATACAATTGTATTGTAATTGTACAGCAGTTTGCTGTGAAACCTGTGAGAAAGTAAATTTTAAGTGACTATAAAATCCTGTTAGAGGAATAATTATCTTTTCTTTGAGGTTGGACAAGGGTGGACCAGTGTACAATAATTCGGTAGCATTTGGAAGGGATTCGCCTCCCCCGGAAACGGGGTTTAATGGTGTTTCCTCTGATGCTACAACTAGTGTGAACCCACATCCCGTTTTGGGTTTGGACAAGGGTGTACCAGTGGACAATAATTCAGTAGCATTTGGAAGGGATTCGCCTCCCCCGGAAACGGGGATTCATGGTGTTTCCTCTGATGCTACGATTAATGATAACATCCACGAATCTAAGCAGATTTGTGGCGGCCAGGACAGCATCGGTAAAGTGGCGGGGGAAGTTCCCAACCCAATCTCTAGTAAGAAAGAGCTTCCTTCTCACTCCCCTTCCGCGGGTGCGACCCATGGGGCCAGGCCTCCAACGGAGCCAAGCCCATGGCTGACACCCCCCTGGCCACCGCCTACCGGTCAGAATCCCGACAACCCAAAACTGGACATGGACAGATGTATGCCGCAGTAAGTCACCATCCTCGTCGCCAACTGGAATGATTGTGGGACCGGTTGATTTGATTTTGGGTGGCAGCAAATTCAGTGAACATGTTTGTGTTGCCCCAATCGATGATGACATGTTGTTAGAGGCAGACCTCCTGCGGAAACATCGTGCATACATCAATATACCGGATTCCTTATTAACCTTTCAGGGCGAGTGTATAGAAATGACCTGTGGCGAAGATGTGAATAAAAAGTATTCTTTGCGAAGTCAGTAACCATCCCCCCGATGGCGGTCAAACGGGTGCGATGCAATCTCGATTCATCGCGTACGAGTGACCAATTCATTGTGGAGCTGGATGTAGCCTTGACCGGGTTTGTCCCACATACTCTACATGGTGGGAAGGGTTCAATACAGTTGTATGCTCTTTAAAATGGAATAAGGGGAAACTCATTAGTGAAGTTTTCAGAGCCTCTGTTTTAGAACCCGCCTAGAAGATCCGTCAAGTAGATTTGATGGGGGATGCACAAATCCCTTCCCATCTGCAGGGTTTTTGGGAACGGTCTTCCGAGTCTTTAATCTCAGAAGAACAGGGAATATTGAAGGGTTTGTTGCTAGAATTCGAATGTGTCTTCGATCGCCAGAGACGATTTCCCATGGAACGAGGGAGGAACGAGCATGCCTGAATAAAATGCTGTCACCTGAAGTCATCCAACCTTCAATGTCACCATGGGCATCAGATCCTGTACTAATTAGGAAGCGAGATGGAAGCGTCCGATGGTGTACAGACTATCATAAATTAAACAATGTTACTAAGTAGGACGTCTACCCCCTTCCTTGCATTGAAGAGTGTTTGGATACTCTAGCCGAAGATACATGGTTTTCGAAACTGGATGCAAACTGATTATTGGCAAATTAATCTCCGAAAGAAAGACCTGGAGAAGACAGCATTCATCACCAAATATGGGCTATATGTGTTGTTCGTATGGGTTTGGGCCTATGCAACGCTCCACCTACATTATCCGGAGCAATGACCCTCATGCTTTAAGGGGACTGACTTGGGACATTGCCTTAGCCTTTTTTGGAGGATGTAGTAGTGCTCGGCACCTCGTTCTCGTTCAAGGTGTTGGAGCGTTTTTAGGGACTTTATAGCTTAAGTTAAAGCCCAAGAAAATGTTCCCTTTTCCAACGCCAGGTAGAGTTTCTGGGCGGCGAGGTGGATGGAAGTGGTTTACACCTTAAGGAAGAACACATACAAGCTGTGGTGGGCTGGCCAACACCTTAATGTACTAGAGAGGTGGAACAGCCCCTCGGTCTTGTGAATTTCCATCGAGTCTTCCTTAAAGACTATGCCCAAATAGTAGGACCATTATATGGTCTCACGGGCAAGAACCAATTCGATCAAGTCCAAATATTAATGACCACGTACCGCCCCTGCTACCCAACTCTGTGGATCCATTCATTATGGATACCGATGCGTCAGGCACTGCCATTGGTGCTGTACTTTCTCAAGTTCAGGAGGGACAAGAGCGAACTATTGCTTACGGCAGTTTTTTCCTTATCCCCCGAACATTGACGCTATGGCTGGAAAGCAAGCTCCGAGCTGGGACGAGGGAATCACCCCAGCCAGCTTCAGCTGCTGGAGAAGTTTCCCTTGCCCCAGCTGGGGAGTAGGGGAGAGTCGTGGTGCTCTTCTTCTGAAGAGCCCTCCCGCTCCGGGAGGTATGGGGAGGGGGCTTGGTGCTCTTCAGAGCCCACCCCTTCCGGATGGGTAGATTGCCAAATAAAAGAGGTAAGAATTCAAAATATTAGCGATTTCCCCTTAATTTTAAGTGACCGAATATTACTGGGCATTCTACCCTACTGCCGTAATGATCGTTTATTTCTGTACCAATAACAGGAAATCCGTACTACTAGGCAGCTCTGTTTGCCATGTTGAATCAACAATATTACAACATCATCACATGGGTAGGGTCCCTAATGACCGCATGAGGGCGATATTGCAAAATCACCCTCTGGCTGCATTGGACTCTTTGTCACCAGCGAACATGCTTTTGTGCAGTGTGTGCCAATACGAGGGGCGGATGAATTTCACTTTCTTTATTTGTGATTCACCTCTCATGAATATTTATAAGCACTTACCTTATTTGGAAAACTTTACAAAGCTTCTGACATCAGAATCACCGTCAACCCGATCTGTCTTTGTCTTCAAAATCACCTTTGAGCTCAGTAGTAAGAGCAATTTTGACCGTGTATGAGCGATTATTTGTGCTGTTTTTACGAAATGAACTATGAGACCGGTAGGGACCACCTTAAAGTGTGGTATTATCGGAAAGCTTATGTAATTTGTGATTGAATGTTGACAACTCCAGAGGCCCACAAGCTTTCAGCGATAGAACATACCAGTGCTAATGATACCCTTCCCGCCCCGGCCGGGTTCAATTTTGAGAGATTTCGCGTACGGAAGTGGGCAATTAGTGGCAGTGCCATTTTTGGCAAAAAAAAAATCTCTTTATTGATTAAATTTGTGATTTAGGGTAAGTTCTCAGTGAATTTGCTTTGCATATATGATGTATAAGATAAATCAGTATACATCTATCGCCATTACGGGAATTTTAATTGGAATTTTATTTTTTCATAATTATGACCATGGGATAAATTGGGTCAGGATGAGGAATCACCCTTTTGGCTTTTCCCCATCAAAGTCAAACTCAAAGACTTCTTCAAATTATAATTTCAAGTGGTTGTCCGGCCAGACGAGCCAAACAACACTGTACGTCAAAATTGTAATTACTACTTCTTTACATTTCGAATTTTTTTTCCCCCAACCCGCTGTTTGAATCGTTTTCCTGTGCAGGCTCTGGAGCTCCGACGCCTTCGACGGCGGAGCTCCCTGGAGTTAGAGCCCGCCAGGCGTTGGGCGGCGGCATGGGCCAGGCTGGGCTGGATTCCAGATCAAAGAATGCCATGAACAACTACTCATTTTCCACTTGTTAGAACTCACTACATACTTTTAATGGTTTTCATAATTAACGTAAGAACTTACTGGATATCATCCATATCGTAGGGTACAACAGCTCCATCATTTGCAGTAATATTAGCCAGTTTTTTAGTCGTTGCCTTCGACTTCGGTGGATTGTTGTCACCATCCATTTTGTTGTCAAGAAAAACTACACAGCCGAGAAAATGGTGACACGCCATCTACGGTCGGTCGACGCAGAATTCGAAAGTGATCGTGGAGAAGGCCGGATCGTTGAACCTCGGGAGGAGGGGAGCGGGGGGCGTCATTTTTTTCTGCGGCACAGATTGGGGTTTTTTTTTTTTTTTTTTTTTAAAGAGGTCTTGATTTAACCCTAATCATAACCCTAACCCTTAATTTTCCCATAGGCTCAACACGCACCTAACCCCAATCTGTGCCGCAGAAAAAAATAACGCGAGCGGGGGGTGGGGGGGGGGGGGGGGGGCACACATCAAAGGCCAATCAATCTGGGCACCCGTAACACAAATCTTAGCAATGGATTAAAATGATTATTACCACTGACTGCACATAGTGACCAGTGTAATAAATAGCAAACATCAATCGTATCTTCGATTGCTAAGCTCTTTGTTACTTGACCCACTGGAAATGCCAATTCAACAACATTCCAAAAATGCTATCTTTAATTTGTTTACATATTTTTCTTTTACTTTTGAAATTCTTCTTTTTTCCATTTTAATACTGAACAAAAAAAAAACATTAACAAAATGCGAGAACCCTTTTTCAAGACTTGCCACATTTTAAAGTGGTAACCTAAATGGATAAGCCTATGATTCGGCGAAAGTATTGATTGGGTAAAATCTTTTAGACATAATTAGGAATATGTCTGAGTGTTAGATAATTTGTGATGTAACTAAAACCGAGATAACGTGAGAGATTATGTCAGTCGTTATTCAGGAACTTATTGTTCGTTAGAGAACGGAATAATTTGTCTGACCCGTGCCATGATCCATTCATTTAATTTGCCTTATCTATATCTATTTCATTTCTCTTGAGATCTTTCTCTCGATGTCAACCTCTCCATCTCTCTCTCTCTCTCTCTCTCTCTCTCTCTCTCTCCCTCCCTCCCTCCCTCCCCCCCTCTCTCTCTCTCTCTCTCTCTCACACTCACGACCTCTGATTATCCTCCTTTACGTTCACATAATGATATATCACTGTCTAGACGTTCTTTTCTCTCCCGCATTCCGTTTGGTCTGAATCTGTCATCATTACATCTCACTTTCGATTTTATGTTTGTAACCCCCTCCGGCGTCTTTTTTTTCAACCTTTGACTCACCCTTTGGCCTTTTGTATCATCCTCAATCGTGCTCACGATTTTAGACTTGGAAAGGGGGTACGGAGAGAGAGAGAGAGAGAGAGAGAGAGAGAGAGAGAGAGAGAGAGAGAAAGGGGAAGGGGTTCTTACTGTTGATAAAATGTGAGAGGACAAGGTCATCAAGGGGGCGGGTTGGAATGGAGGGGCCTAAATATCATTTTCTTTCACGTTACTTTTCCCCTCTTTCGTCAATGTTCTTTTTTCCTTTCATTCTATCTGTCTATATTTCTGTTCTTCCTTTCTTTCATTCTTTCCTTCTTTCTTTCTTTTCCCCCTTTTCTTTGTCCTTCTCCTTTTCCGTGATTCTTCCCCCTTTTTCTGCATAATTATGAGTCATTAATTTTGGCGTGGAAGGAGGCCGTTGCGCGCAGGCGCCTACCCGGGGGGGGGGGGGGGTTGTGTGTGTTTTGGAGGAACCCCCCTTCCAAAAAAAAAAAAAAAAAAAAAAAAATTGTGGTAATGGGTGACCCCAAAAAGCTGACCTTACCCCCCCCCCCCAACTAAACAAAATATCGATTGGTCAAATTTTCGAATTGTGGGACACACACACAAACAAAAATGTGCTCTTACCCCCCCCCCCCCCCCCCCGTTTATTCAGCGGCTGGCTGAGTTGTTGCGAAATTTTCGGCCCGATTTGAAAATGTTAAACCCCCCTCCCCCCTCCCCCCTTGAAAAAATCGTACGTCACTGGTGGGGCGTATCCTATTATTGGACATAATTATCACGGTAACAACACCTCCCTGTCGTAACATAATTAAGAACAGACACCGTTTATAGGACTTGAAATCTCTGAAAAATCAAGAATAAACAACGAACACCTGTTAATTATCTTTGATCGATCTTTATTTGCTTGGGATAAAAACATGACAATTTTGTAAAGAAACCTTTTAAAAATTAGTAATGCGATTGAATACTTTTTTTTCCTGAAAATAAGTAAGAAGAAAGACTTGATAGAAGAGACTATTTTGGAAAAAACATGCAATACCAATTAATATGTTTCCCATAACATAAATCTAATATAGTTTGAATTGGCGTTATTGGAATGTAGATTTTTCATTATGCACAAAACAGCATGAACGAGTGGAGAACCGGGTGAAAGGGCGCCCTTAATGTCATGAAAAACATTTAAATGACTGATTTGCCAAAACGAAATAACCATATTTAATGATGCATTTTACACTACATTACCCTTATCTTCAATATCCTCGAACTATTTTAACACAAGTAATATTGCTAGTTTCTCTATTTTGTTCTTCCATCTACAGGAATTTGGCTTCAAGTCTAAACTTGTCATAAAGCTTTCTTTATAGCCCTTTGGAGATTATCAAAAGAAGAGAAAAATTCTTTGTTCAAAGATGCATATTAGTGGGCTCTCATTAGGGAATTTGACACCATTCGGGTGTTTACCCAATAACGGTGTCGTCTTTTACCACAAGTATTAGTATTCAGTTTTATGACCAACAGGCCTTATGTAATGCTTTGCATTTCCCACCAATCGCCTCATATGGAAAAGTTCCTTTCTTACATTTCGCAGAACCGAAGACTCTCCAAAGGAACTAGGTGGTATGGAACTACGGAGTTGCTGTGTGCGAGACTCGAACACCCATTATGGTATCTCTTTCCAAGTCTGGTGTCAGCGAATTATGACCTACTGCACTTGAAAACTGACGATCTTCCCTTTTAATATAATTATGCTCGGTTCCAAACAACAGTATGCGTAATTAAAGATTGGCCTGCAACTCATTTTCTTGAATTAATTCAATTTAATTTATTGAAATTTTCCCCAGATACTAAGCATGCTTCGAACTAATAAAGACCCGCGTTAGCCTGAAAAAAAAAGGTTATGCAGGTCCGAAATCCATCTCGAGTCCTGAGCCAGCCATTTCCTTGTTGTAAAACTCGTCAAATCGTTTGTTTTGATCGTCTGTGAAATAATTCTTCCAATCTCCGACTATACCTATAGTGATAAAACGCAAAACAAACACTCGCAAATTATTATTCAATAAAATCTGAGAATGTATACTGTTATTTAGATCTATTAGGAATAAATCATTGTCAAAACCATTCCGTAAATTGCAGTAAAAATAATAATTATTCCACCTTTATGACCAACAGAGTAGAAGAAGAAAAGAAAATGATAGAAAGGGGAAATAGAATATGGGTAAATAAGTTGAAAATGTACCGCGGCTGCAACAATGATAGCTAGTGAACAAGTACTCTTATGATGTTACTGGAAACAGAATCAAGTAAAAAGTAAAAGATTAAAGAGAAGGTTGAGTTCTGGGGAGAGGTAAAAAATAATTTTGAAAGTGTTATCATTGTTATTATGCAAGTGTGGAAGAACATCAGAGAGAAAAAAATTCACGACATTGTTTTCCTTCTTAGTTCTTATTTTTTCCGATTAGAGAGGAATATTTTTTTTCTTTCTCATGAATGACTTATTTTCCTCAGGCACTCTTAAAATCTGGATTCGAGATAATAGTTTCCTTTCTGACATTCCTCTGGAGGGGAAAAGGGGGAGGGGTCATCTTGCCCCTGTATCAGTTTAAAATAGCTTACCTTTCCTCATGAAGGATCTACTTCCCTCAGCCGCTTCACCCTTAATTAAAAAATCAGGATTCGCTGACGGACTCTTTTTCATCGCTTTGAATGTCGACGCGTCCGATATCTTCTGTATGACGTCAGCGGTGAAAGACTTGCCCATAAATTCGACGATTTGCTTGACGGCTGCGGGAAGATCCTACCAATGAGAAAAGCGAATAAAAGGGGCATTGAACTTTTGATAGCCTCATTAACTTGCTCTCTTAGATGATTGCAAATCCACTGGAAGTTTGTGGTCTGAATTACTCTCTTGAGCATGGATCCCGCTATTTTCAACGCGGATTTCGACCTCAAAACGAAGTAATCGCTGCTACTACGGCTCCTGAAATAGTGGATTTCCACTCCTGTAAAATTTGTTATTACTAATAAGTTACAATAAGTGTTATAAGATGCTGAAATCGTGGCATTTGATTGGCTGAGAGCAAATTTTGTTGTATAATTTTTTTTTTTAAACAGAGCCCTTTACTTTTAGGTAGTGCATGATTTAAGGAGTTGATATGAAAAACTATGAATATAGATTATATATGCTTTGGCAATAGTTCTCACCTCACCTAACGTTGCAGAAAATTTCACATGAAAATAGGCATTAAAAACTATAGTAAAAAAATTACAATAGCGAAATCATTGCCTTTCCATAAAATAATTTGGTAATATGGTGACACATACAGGATCAATGTTATTTCATTAAAATAAAGTGATTTTTACAACATCTTTCCAATGTATGTCAATTCCCGATACACGATTATATCAGTTGGAACTGGACAGCAATATAAGATAAGAATATATACTCGAAACATGAAGAACGTATGGATTAAGTCATCCATAACAACGCCCTATTGTACACATCGTTCAATTGATCATAACGCGAAAAACAACAAACTTTATCAAACAAATAAACAAACTAACTAACTAATTAACTAACTATGAAGCTGACACTAACTAACTAATTTGATTATTAACTAACGATTTACTAACTTTTAACTTACTAACTAACACATTAACTAACTGTTAACCAACTAACTAACCATAAACTTACCTTCTTCATATCCTCGTACTTGAGAAAGAGAACATTTGGATGATCCCTTCTCTTCCACCATGGCAACACGTTTTCAAACCACGATCCTTGAGGAACTATTGTATGAAAAGAAACGGGTGTGGTATAAATTATTATGAAAACCCAAACGACACGTATTAAATACCCAAGTGATGGAGTTATCAAAAGTTTGCCGTCGATCGATCCGACACATTAATTATTTTTCACCGTAATTAGGATTTATTCCACAATGGGAGGCTAATGAATATTTTATTACCATTGCCTCAGAGAAGAAATGCAGTTTGGTCGGATTCCATCTAATTAGTTTGATATAACTGCTTAAAGGTAAAAGCATAAAACTAATCAATATTACAGTTACCATTATAGCACAATGCAGTGGCGAATCAAGGAGACGGGCGGGGGGGGGGGGGAGGGGCGTAGAGCACATCAGGGGCACGTATCCCTCGATGAAACACAATTTGGCATACCTTGACTGCAAAACTATAAGTCAGAATTCATACATAATCTTGGATCCGCTCCAACATATTAATGGGAGTGAAATATTGCGTCGAAATACCTCTCAAGTGGTATAAGGGGGCGAATACGTACCCCTGCCGGCGAGAAACTCTTCAAAGAAGACATCCCAAGATTCGTATGAGGGTAATGCGTCTATGAAGTGACAGAAATGGTAGTAGGATACCGCGGCATCTTTAGGATTACGAGCAACGTAGAGCACCTTGACATTTGGAGGACAAAAGGAAAAGTTGGACAGACTGATTATGAGAAATCCTGCACGGGAGGCGTACCTTATGACTACAACCATAGACGTAATACATTACGTCTATGCTACAACATAGTAAATAGGTCATTATTCAGGACCCCGTTTCATTGCGAGTTGCGATTGATCCGGATAAATCGTAAGTCCTCTTTTCAATCGCAAGTTTGCAGTCCCCTATATCTTTTATGTGCATAGTTGATATTGATATCAATCACAAATCAGTTGCGATTAATCGCAAATGTTCATAAGACGGGGCTTAGGTCTCGATTAAGTATCATTTGAACGTCTGAGATTGAACGAATCCCTACAGAACACAGGAATGACATGAGTGACAAGGAGTTTACTTCGTCATGAAATAGATTAAGATATTTTGTAAAACAAGATTGTCTATTCAATTATGTTGTGGGTATTAAATAGTGATTTGGTGTACTGCATGACATAGTTTTGCAATAAAGCAGGATAAAATTTAGAATAACGTTAAGATAAATTCAGAGTAGTATAGTGGTAGTAGCTGTTGTTGTTGTCGCCGCCGCCGCCGCCGCCGTCGTCGTCATTGTCGTATAGTAGTAAAGTAATATCGATAATCTACAAAAGTGACTGTAACTCTTGTAAAATATTAATCCTTTAACAAAATACCAACCTTTCCTTTAGGGTCATCAGTGCTGACATCGAGAGGGAGGAATTTAGGTAGACAATGAGTCCTCATGAACCGTGGGGATGGCATCTTTTCCGCCTCGTCGATCTTCAATGGAGCCGTCTGAAAATGTTTCACAAATTTGATTATGATAATCATGATAATCTTTGTGATACCGTTTTCTTTTAAAAAACATGTCTTTATCAAATGTCGCTCATGGCTGCAATAGATTTGTCAACATAAAATATCAGAAAGAATAAACTTTTATAAAACAGGAGGATGTGACGAAACGGAACCCTTTCGCTGCAAAACAATGTTTTTCCATCAATTATCAAATGATATATAAACTTGTTGTTTTTAACATGTAATTACATTTGATCGCAATAATCTTTTCATTAGCAAAAACATTCGCGGGCACAGCTACAGGCTCATCTACAGGTACAATTATGGTCCACATTAAGGTTCACCGGGGGGGGGGGGGGCGTCCAGTGTCCCCCTGCCCCTGAATACGCTATACTAATTATGTAACAGGGAGAAAATGACATACCTCTGGGTTTTTACTGTCCATACAAAGCTCGATAAACGGAATCATCTTCATGATATGAGAGCCCTCTAGTTTCGAAGTGTCTCCATCATGTTTGATCAGTAGGGATATTTGTTCAGCCCATGTTGTCCCTTCAGAAAGAAAAAAAATCGAGAGATTAAAAATAGCTCTTTAAGATTGGTAGTTTCACATATATCACATGGGAAATCCTCGAGCTGTGAGAACCAAGATATATAGACTACCAGGAAATCGACCCAGGGTAGTCGTAATAGCCCTGTTCATCACATATTATGATGTAACTTCAAACCTGCTTTAGTGACCACCTGTCTACAAAGACCACCTGTCTACATCAAGCACATTTTGTGTTGCCCTTTAAAATTGTTTCTCATTTAAAAACATGTACTAAAGGAACCTGTCTACAAAGATCCCTTTTTGTGTTTCCCTTGGGCGGTCGCTGTAGACAGGTTTGACTGTATACATATTACAGAGAAGTATAACGTAATCTGAACATGATTTGTAAAGACAGTACAATTTTTTTAAATTCTTACAATCGTGTTTTCAAGAAGTATATATATATCATACATAATATTTCTATCAGAGACATGGACTTCAGCCCTAAAAATATCTACCGCTGTACATACTCAAACAACAAAATATCACACGAAAAAGTTTACATTGTTTCTACTACTCAGTAATTTGTCAGTAAATGATACAAAAACTAATCATCACTTTTTAACAGAATGCGTTGGTATATACGTGTATGCCTATTCATTGAAATTGTGACGTCGCGACGCGTCGTCGGTTTAACTAATTATACAGAAGAGTTTAGCGGTTCGATATTTACATTAAGTTGTGTAAATAAAGCGATCAATGGAAGAAAAGATTAGACTGTTGAGCGTTTCTTTAAAATGACATTTCATTTGGATTCAGCATTGTCACCGTGTGCTTCGATTATCCTGGGACAAAGGGGGAGGGGCGGTGAGGTACCTTTTGTTTAAAAGGTAATGGGGTATTTATTTAGGTGTGAAGTCGATTTCTTTTTCTCCCCTTCCTCCGTTACCCATCTCCCACTTTCTCAATCCCTTTGAACGCATTGGTCATTGGTCTGCAGTAGCGTAGATAAGTGTGTGTGTGTGTGTGGGGGGGGGGGGGGGGGGCACGCGCCCTCAACGATACAACAAGTCGATGGACCAAAATTGTTACTTTTTATGAAGAAAAAAACGGTGACAAATACTAATTGGATGAAGACAGTGGCCGTTTGGCAACGTGTACAGTAGACAAACAGGGTATTACCAAATGCTAATGTAACAGAATGGATCAGTAAAGTGGCAAGGGACATGAATGGTATTGGTCTAAAATATCTAAATGGCAATAAACTGGTGTTCTATCCTGTACCTGATTTTGGATATGTAACGATGAAAAAATCATCAGACTTGACTTTGAACTGTCGTACTCGATCAAGCGCCCTCTTTGGCATGAGATGTGCCATGATCACGCCTTCGTGCTCGTAGCACTTCTCGACCACGCAGTCGGGAACCAGCGAAGAAAACCCATTTCCCGTCGAACCTGACATTGATGGAAAAGAAATCCAAGATGTACACTTTAATGTATTATCGTTATATATCGTACGCTTTGCATCTTATGCACAATGAAAAGGCGCTTTTAAAATCGAATCTTAATACCTTAATCACAGATGACAAGTAATAATAATAACAATAATATTACTAATAATTGGTATTTCTATAGCGCCTTTTATCTTTATACCTAGACATTCTATTTCGAGGCGCACTAATTATTACCCCGGCTTTAGCTTAGCTGCCATTACAGCGCTCCATGCAGCATTTCAAGGAATTAATTCCTGCCAGGTACCCACTTACATCACGTGTGGCAAATGAAGTATCTCATTATTAACACAAAACTAAACAAGGGAGAAGTAAAGCTCGGCTTTCATGAGGATGATGAAGAGCAAAATTATCTTTGTCAGTTATTTTTTGCTAGTCTTTATTACTTTTAAACAAAATAATTCTGTGCGGAAATCTGTAGGTTTGTATTGAATTAAAATTGTCATTCTATAGGGGTCATATGCAGGGAAAGGATGCAGGATTCTTCTCTTAAAATGATAATTTAGATTTTAAAAAATATCCCCTTCCCTCTTCAAGATGATACGCTTGGGCAACACAATATATTAGCAAATGTTCGCGTTCTCAATCCGTCTGAAAGAATTTTTCGTCATAGTTTATAAAAAAAAAAACCCATATATTTGAAGTGCTAAACAGCCAAAGTGACATTTTGATAAAAGAAACCCCTGTAAAATTGATGCGAAAGTGCCGTTCACATAATAATCAATATCATAATTCAGAGAGTGCATGCACCTACCTTTCGACATGGTTAACCTGAAATTCAGACGCAGATAATAACAGAAGTGAAGTCCAATTAAGTGATGGTCTTTTTCCAAGGGCTTATTATCTTTTATACGACAGTCTGTTGAGTACAACTGTCACATACATTGAATGCATGTGAATAGAAATATCAACAATGATTAAGCAATTTTGCTATTTGCCCAGACCACCGTCAGTAGGATCCACTAATAGTACTAGCAAATACGGAGAGGCTAACACAGTTTATTCAGTGTCACGTAATGGTGTGGCCACAGGTGTTTAGAACGGGTGGGAGGGGGGGGGGGGGCATTGTTCGAGCAACAACAAAAAGACAAGTCGGCGTATACTATAAGTTATTTTCAACGTAGTTCACACACAAACACACATAATATACTAGTCATATTACTAAAAATACACCGATGTATTTAATTTCAATAATGAAAATGATAATAATCAATTAAAGACAGGTCACCACTTGTAAATGGGGGTTTAATTTATTTTTTAATTGAAGATGATTTCCAGCAAGTTTTTGTGAGTTTGTCTTTTATTTTACTGGTTCAAACAATAATTCTACTGAAGGATTAACAATCCAGAATGAATCACGTAGCCATGTTTCCTCGTCTCTAAAGTGTAGCTTTAATAATGAAACACGTTGGGAACTTAACATAATTAACACAGCACAGCACAACAAAACACAAAACAAGACAGCACAGAAACCAGATACCACAAAACATCCGTATCCGGACACAACCCCCCTGGACCGTTCACCCCGGATAACGGGTGGTTATCCGGGGGTGGATGTCCAGGGGGTAGGTGTCAACACCAACACAACACAATACAGTGCGCCCCAGAAAAAAAGAAACCGAGAACTATCGACGTTTTATCATACCTTAATCACAATTATAATTGATAATTGATAATTGATTCATGCAACTCATATGATGCATATTTTACGCATGAGTGATTAAAAACAACTTGAAGAGAGGATACCAAAAAGTCATTTGGCGGGCAGTATCTGAATTTTAAAGAGAAAATCACATTTCTAGAAAGTTTATTTTCTGCACTTTCATATGTCACCTCAATCAAGAAAAATGAAACAGGATTAACATAGTTTTGTTTGTTCAAAGTAATGCTTGCATTTCCATAATTTGATTAAACGAATTCGTTTTCACTGGCTGCCTGTCGTAGCAACAAACAGAGTTGACAAAAGACTTAACTCCATTTCGTCGACGATCAGCCATACATGAAGTCTTTCGTCTTCTTTGTGACTGCAGGATAAACAATCCAGAATATAGCTATGTTCTTAAGCTAAGCTTTAATAACGAAACACGTTTGGAACTTAATACAACACAGCACAGCACAGCACATCAGACCACAAAACTACACAATAACACAGCACAGCACGTACTGTGTCACACAGCCCAACGCAACACATCGCAGCATAACACAACACCTACAACACAACACAAAACAACACAGCACAACACAACTCACAAAAACACGTGCTCAACCCAAATACAACGTAACACAACAAAACACAACAAAACACAACAAAACACAACGTAGAATTACAGCACAACACATAATTGCAACACAACGAAGCACAACACATCACAAAACATCAGTATACATTACAGCACAACAACATTTCGCAACAATCAAACAACACAATCGTCTAATTTCCAAATCTACTAATCGATATGATGGCAATCAATTTGGCAACATCTCAGCAACACGTGCAGTCTCAAACAAGTCAAGTGTTCCATAATATACGACTAAAAATACATCAGTTAAATTTCCATAGTAGATTTTATTCAAATTAAGCTCAATCATAACTATCATTGCTCATTAAGCCCGTCATATTGCTAGTAAGATGTATTCTAAGGCTATAAGAAAAAACGTCAACAATTGATTTACTTGTGTGTGTTTGTGTATGTGCGCATTTGTGTGTGTGTGAGTGGGTGGGAATGAAGGGGGGGGGGGAGTCATGAAAGAACATGTCCCAGGAATCGGGAGTTAAACCTAATGTTGTTGTATCTTAAATTTAAGTGGAAAGACACTCACATCTAACACCATTTTAGTGAGAATGTTAACGAATGTAGTTTGAATAATTTACCATTTTTTTCATCAGAATAGTCCGATATTGCTTTACAATCTAAACAATACCTGATCGGAAAAAAGTCTTTTCAACTGTTTATAAAAGCGCAACCGTTGGCAATTTATAGGTAATTATAACCTTTAAATAATAAATTGATGAATACAAATAAATAAATAAGTACATGAATAAAAGGCCTACATGTAGACAAATACATAGATAAATAGACGCTTAATAAATATCTTAATAAATAAATAATAAATAAATCGAAAAATTCATGAAATAAATAATTCATAAAACTACTTGTGCTACCTTGTAGTAGAAATTGTCATCATCATTTTAAGAATCATTGGATATGTATTTATTCGTAGATTACAGGAGATCAGTTGATCCTCCACGTAGACAAGCACTGGAGATCTGCCACAGTACCATTACGGTGTACCTAAATAATAAGAAGGAAGGCGGAAAATAAGTTCATCGTCTTTAAAGATCCCTAAAAACATGGAAATTGCAGCCCTACAGGTACGATCAACATTCGTAAAAATGCATTCACGACGCCTAGAAATGAATGACAAGTATTTCACGAAAAACTAAGTAAAAATCCAATTGGGATATTAATATAGGTGATTATCCCATTGTCTCTTGAGATAGACGGATGCCAGTATACATGCATAATCACGATGATTGTAAACCAGAAAACATACAGGAAATCCAACTGGAAATTATACTAATAAACACCAACACTAATTTGTACGTGTGGTGTATGTTATTTCCCTAATTGACCCTAGCGATTTTCTTTGTTACGTTTTTCATTATTCGGCAAACTGCAAAACCCTACCTTATAGATAAGAATTGTACAATATGGAATGCCTTTAGAGAATATTTTAAATGCATATTTTGGTCTTGGCTTATCAAATTATTTGAAAATGCGCCTGTTACCTTTGATCTCCTCAGTCTACATGTGCAAGTATGGTTTACTCATGAATCTCTGGATAAGTGAAGAAAATTGGATTAAAGAAAAATAATAATTTACGATTTCATGAGTTAATGGAAGGATATTATCACATAATAGAAAACAAATTCATTGAATACGAAGTGGTTCGAAGTTTCTAACCGAGAACATGACCAACCGAAAATAATTTACATTTTTTAGTAACTGTTAAAATCAATTAAAGCGATACTGAACTGATGAATTTTCTTCCTTAGCGCACTGTTGATTGCACAGAGCCATCTCACATGTCTCATGGTCAACTTCCATTACCACTTCGCAGACATGGTACTCGAGAACGTACAACGCAGCGAATTACAGCACGCTATCTGTCGCTGTTGCTCTTAGATGGCGCCAGAGGGGATTTTGTGCTAGTGTTACTTCTCTAGTATGACTTTAAAGGCATATTGCCCCAGTTTTACCTTACCGATAACGACAAATAACTATACGCGTGAGTAAACTTTACTCATGCCTTTAAGGCTTTTTAATCACAATGACACGATGGCAAAGTTTCACAAAGCCTCTTTTCAATGACAAATGACAAAAAGCAGTGACAAATCTGCTTATACCCAATCAGAGTCAAGGATTTCAGTAGCTTGTAACAAAAATTGTCATTTGTCACTGATGACAAGTTTTGTGAAACGCCCCCCCCCCCCTCCCAGGCTGACAATCTTACCTACTCCACAGTCTGTTCCAACATATCCAGCTGCACAGGTGCAACGGAAGGACTCGCTAAAGATGCCCTGGAAATATTCGCACAATCCACCATTGGCACAAGTGTCAGCAGCACAACCTAAATGAAAAACAAACAAAATCAAACGGAAACAAATAAAATCAAGCAAAGAAAAGAAAAGAAATGAAAAACAAAACTAAAAACAAACAAACACGCCGAGAACTACATGGTCGTCTCGGGAACATGCTATAAGTTCACAATTCCGAAAGAAAAAATCAAATATTCAATACCCAGTGTTATATTTTCATTCATATTACATATGTACTAGCCTATGAAAAGTGTTGATTTTAATTGTATTTGGAGTAGAGCTTCGAGCGAAAAATATAATTCCAGATAAATACAGTTCTTATATGCAGGAATGAATGAACACAAACAACTCTTCCAGCAATTTTGATTATAATTGAGCTAAAACTGAGGGAAAAAAATTACCTTGGAATGCGAAGGCATCATCGACGAAGCTACATGCCTCTCCGATTGACTGGAGATCGAAAACCATTTGGACGTAGAATTGGATGATGTCGAAGTCGATGTATGGGCTGAGATTAACGATGACATTGGCAACATCATTGCCGAAGTCAGTACATTGGTCGTTGATGATGAGCGTATGTACCATGTTGTGTATGATATCGACAGCGAGTGACCAAACCCTTGAATCACGGAGGTACCCCTGATGGGTCTGTAGAGGGTCTGTAGCTTCAACAAGTGCGTCGCAGAGGGATTCGCGATTGTCAAAGCCGCTAAACTCGGCTATAAGTTGCGACACATCAACCATGAGTGTTTGGAAGAAGTCAGGCACGCCCTCACCTGGTTGTTCATCAGTCCGGCGGAGAACATCGTAGATAGCGTCCCAGTGTTGACAGATTTGTGAACCCTGAGCAATGGCTTCTTCCAGGAAGATCTCGCCGGTGGCTTGGATTAACCGTTGAGTGGAGAAATCAGAGTTGACGAACTCATCGAAAGCGGTACAGATGGATTCCTTGTCGTAACTGTGGAGGTTGAAGATGCGGCGATTGATGTCATGGCCCACTTTCTCGAAATTGAAGTTCCTCACGACGCCTATGCCCATCAGGGACTTGCCGGGCGTCATTCTCCGTCTACGGCGTGCGGACATCGGGTCACCGAGGGTAGAGTACACAGCGTCGCAGATGGCAAACCCATCTATACGGGTGTTGGTGTTCAGAGAGTCAAAGATTGGATCGCATATACTGCTGATGAATTGTTGTCCCACAGGTACAACCAGACTGGGTGCAATGTCTCGGCAGAAGATCCCGAGAACCTCCTTCATTTCCGTCGCGTGCCAAGTCTTCCCGACGGTGCTGATGGCATCCTGAACAGTCAAGCCAGGAAAGATTACACCAGGTTGCTCGAAAGGATAGGAGTAGTCGGCGTATTGTTGTATGTGGTTCTGCCATTCAGCATCCCAGTCAACATGGTAATCGCCTGTTAGCATAGAGATGGAGAGAGAGAGGGAGAGAGAGAGAGAGTGAGAGAGGGAGGGGGCGGACAGGGGAGGGCGGGCGAGGAAGGTGCGAGAGAGAATGCGAGGAGAGAAAGAATCAACGAAGGAGAAAGGTAAAAACAAGAAAAGAATGGAGATCGAGAAATAAAGAAAAAATAATCAGAGAAAGATTTAAAAAAGATAAAATAAAAAATTAAAGGCCATATATACTACGGGAGTAAACGAAATTACATATATAGGCAATAGGCCTATTAACCGAAGTGTTGAAGTATAAAGACATGAATAACATTTAGGAACCTAATATAGTGTTTAAGAAAGGTTATTTTGGGTGTTGAGAGCCCCCCAAAGAAGTGGATTTAAGTATAAAGACAGATACTGGTCCATTAACAGAAGTGTTGACGTATAAAGACATGAATAACATTAGGAAACCATAGCGTTTAAGAAAGGTTGTTTTGGCTGTTGAGAGCACCCAAAAGAAGTGGATTTATCACCTGAAATGCGATCGGCAACTGAATCACCCACGATGAATAGCGCAAATGCTAGAATCAGACACGACGCCATATTGAGTTCTTCCAAAGGTAAAGGCTGGTTGATCGAATGGAGTTGAAAATGAGGAAAGTGGTCGTCGTTTCCAGTTGATATAGCCACCACTTTTCAGAAAGTATCAACATCAAACTCCACTAATTGTTTTATCGATTTGATGTCGTTGTATTAGAGTTAATCTTTAATTCAGATCACACAACCTATTCAGGTCCATCTGTTCCCCACGTGTTAAAGGAAAACTTAATCACCTAAGAATTAATGAAGTTAATATTTTGCTTGTATGATATAAAATATTTGAAAAACGTTTAATAAAATTATTTTTCCTATTACACCACCTGTGTTTTTCTCCCGTGTATCTACTTTCTTGTTCTTAATTGTTCACATATATCCCTCTTTCTAGTATAGACTAGGGGATGTCGTGTTAAAAAGTTATTTGTTATGGATCTGCACGATGTGCATTAAAGGGATCGTTTAACAATGTTAAATCTGAGATACACGACCCTACGTGTTATCAGTGTCTGTGATATGGTGAAATATTGAAGCCCTACAAAAATTGCGCTTCAAAATGATCAAGAAGTGCCTCAAAAAAGTAAAAATCTTTGAGTGACCGGTTTTACCATACTCGTTTTCCCCAATAGACTGTAGTGTTATCAAAATTTGTAATTCCAACCATAAATATCTTGATAATCAGACAGGAAATCGGCTTGTAAAAGTCATGGGGTTCCTGACTGACCTAAAGGTTTATAATTATCATTGCATCATGAGCTAAATCCAGAATTTTGTTTCAGAATCTGAGACAAAGTTACAGGATCCCTTTAACATTAAAACACGTCATTATGTTTGTACGAGCTAGCGACAATGAGTGTACGCAATAAATTTTTCCTGTGAATTTGTCGTGGTTGTTTTGGTTGGAGATAAAATATGAAACTGAAGTACTTGTGCTTTATTAAATCGCATTTATGTTAACAGTCAACATCTGTGTAGAACTTACAGCAAGGCTCGACTTTTAAAGCAAATGTAAAGTTGCTTGAAAGTTTGTGAAAGCCATCATTTCCATCTTGTTAAGTTTTGTTTACAGAGAAAACATGCAATATGAGATCCATGAATTCATGAAGTTAAGTTTCATGTAGCAGCCATCATGTGTTTCGAATTACATACTAGCATATCAAGGTCAGAATAGGGTTAAGTTGCCTTGTAAACTTGTTATGACGGCGAAATTTTATTCGCACAATGCGTCCATATCGTTGAGTTTACTTTTACAGTTGAAGAGAATAATGAAATAGACCTATAAGATAATTAAGTGAATTTGGCGTCCTGTATAATCATTGTATCGGGAATTACACTTTTGGACTATTTAAGCAAAAGAGTTTAGTTGCTTTGCAGAATAAATGTGTTATGATTGTTTCATAAAGTTTCTTGACATTGTCAATGATTCTACAGTCTGTGTATCTTGTTGTTTTTTTGGAAAAATTTGAGAAATATGAAATATGAGATATACGGTCATCATGAGATGTTTCGAGTTACATAGCGCTATGGTACTTATTGTTTTTAGCGCTCCTAAATATTCGATATTATTATTATTATTTTTAAACTATTTAATAAATTCTTATACCTCAGTTATTTCGGTCCAAATTAATTCCACACCGACTCCACTTCTTGGCTATTCGGGGTAATTTTTTGTCCGGTCTGGTGTCGGTCTGGTGTCGGTCTCATGTTGCCTTGCGAACTTTTCCCGTGACCGCGAACTTTTTATTGAAGCCATAAATCTATCGTGTGAACACCTTGAAGCGTTAACTGTCCATACAGAAATCGTATCTCTCCTCAAAGAAAAGGAATCAATTGATACCACAAAATACCACAGCTGATATCGCAAATTTATCGATAAGATTGGTCTATCGTGTGGAAATTTCCAAGTAATTTCTGTTCATACAGAAATCGTACCTCTCTCCTCAAAGAAAGAAAAAAAATCAATAACAAAATATCACAGGTGTATTGACTCACAAGGGTTTTCAAGTTGTTACTCGTCTAATATTTTTCTTCCTGTCGTGACAAGTGTAGGAAAATCATTAAAAACAATTTAGGAACATTGTGCAACTACTTGAGAAGAATAGTTTGCGATAGGTTTAGAGGGAAACCATGTTTTTAAAGGAAAATTATTAATGTTTGGTTGATTTGATTTGATTGATTTATTTCTGTATGATTTTCTTTTTCTTTTGCATTTTTACAAATATATAATGAACAGAACATTGCAAATTTACACATGACAAATAATATATGTAGAATAAAGTAAGGCTGGCTGTAACTAATTGACAACATCAAATAGGAGGGTTAACAAAGTAAGCAAAGCTTGATAGCATGACTACCCTCTATGGATACATTATAATACAAATATGGAGGAAAAAATATTGGTAAAGGGGGGAAAAGACAGAAAAAGAAGGACACAAAGAAAGAGGGGGTGTACATCAAGATTCACAGATGTATGTGGTAGTTGGATTTCAATTTGATATATGATATATTTGGTAGTGTGACCATTAACATTTCGCGGATGACAAATATGTGACAAATTTGTTAAGCGTATTACACTTACGTCATCATAAAAAAGAGCGTCCTTATTAAAAGAGAGACAAAAATAGAGAGAGAGAGAGAGAGAGAGATAGAATTACAAATAATTCTTAGGCAGTAGGGACTCTCAGAATATTTAAAATATCTATTGTAACCAATAGTGCCAAGGAAATGCAAGGGCACCGACACCAGTCCTGTCCAGTGCCCTGTTTGATAAAACTTGTTATCAATAAGGCCATTACAAAAGTATACATGTTTAGCGTCCCCGCCCGCTTCCTTTTTGGGGGCCACCTCCTATTTTTTTTTCTTCACTGAATTAAAACATGAAAAACATACAGCTAAAATGATCTAATTCTGATTGAAAATAAATAAATAGTGGCGGCCATCTTGAAAAATAGCCCGACTGTAAGGAAAAATGTACCGAGCGGCCATTTTGAGCGGCCATTTAAAAAAAAGGGGGCCTCCTCCTTTCTATTTTTCAAAAAAGCAGGACGCTAAACATGTTTTTTGTTTTTTTATTTGGCCTAACAAGTTACAATAACTGTTAAAAGCTACTGTAATCGTTTGCATTTGATTGGCTAAGAGCAAAATTTTTATAAAAATGTGATATTTGTTATTGTTATTGATAACAAGTTTTATGAAACGGGGCTCGGGTTAATAAACCTTCCTCTTGCAGACAGCGTCATCAAATTTGTTGGTAGGCGATCCAACTTCACAGGTTTTCACAACCTTCATGGAAAGCCCCGCATATAACCTTTGTAAACATAGTTAAAATTTACTGTTACTTTGTATATTTTGATTTTCATATTGCGAAATAAAATTGAATTGAATTGAATTGAATTGAATTACATGTACATATAGAAAGCTAGAAACTTTGGTTTGTATTTTTTTTTACATTATCATCTGTTAGCTCTCGTGTTCAAATGTTGGACTGTGGACGTTACTTTGACTTTTCTTTATAGCCGTTTCTTAAGCGCCTTACCAGTTACAACGTTACCGACCAAAGCGCTTAAAATAGTATTACCACCGTCACTGGATTCCATTACGATTCTGGACTTTGGAGTGCACATTCTCCGCTCCTCTATAAAGGGAGCAGTTCAGCATCACATCTTACTGAGTATCCGGGAGCGATGGAGATAAAATGCCTTGTTCAAGGACATAAGTACTGTGATGGAGGTCAAACCCATGACCTTTACGTTAAATCTAATGACTAAACCACTTGACTTCAATGCCTATACCAATTGTATCTTCTGGACACTCTTAAGAAGAAAAAACGACGATTAGAAAATGGCACTTGACCTTAATCTTCTAAAATAAGAACCATACTCTTCCTAAAAAGCCTTTATAGGTTCTGCAAGTTTCAGTAACAGTTTCCTAAACAACTAGGTTTCTCAGTCAGGCAAGGAATCTCCTAAAAACCCAGACACTTTTTTAAAATGCTCATTTTTTAACCGATTACGTAAAAAAAAGTGAAATTGATAAACATGGGCAAATAGTTGAGGGTCAGACAATTTTGTTTCTACATGCTTTAGTCTGGGATAAAATCTATTTATTTTTCTGTGCTTCATTTTTGTTCTTACTCTGTTATAAAAGATACGAATATGACTTTAAAAATCATTTGATCTTTCTGTGTTGCGCATTGATACTGAGGAAAACCGGTGGTGAAATTTCCTACGATTCATAATAAAAAGGTTCCACTAATCCTCTCGATGTAGGCCTACTGAATACGTGACAAGGTTCGGAACCATTAAACAAAACTTAAAATGCAATTTGCCCTGAACTTGGGTTCGAAATCCAAAGTTCAATTACACGCAAAAAACTGAGGTGCTAAATGTTGGGTGCTGAGTGAGATTCTGCACTTGAAGTGCCAAAATCAGCACTTGACGGGTTAACTTTAACAAGGAAACCGAAACGTGCTGAATATTTGAGTGCAGAAAACGAGTGCTATAACAATATGCAGCACTTAACATCGAGTGCTGACTGCATAACCTGATCTGATTGGTCGGTTAGTATAATAGCTGTTACCTTGTGAATATTTGTTTTTGAATCAAATTCAGCTAAGAGATTCTTACATTCTTCATTCTCCAGGTCAATACCCAAGGCCTCAAAAGTCTGAATAACTTTGCTCCTTAAACTGTCAACAACATCAGTATTCAAAGCTGTTGCAGCAGATAACACTCTGTTTGTCATAGCATGGGTCATGTTGGTGTTTGATAAAAGAGAACCAATGAAAAATGCAGCTGGTCTCACTATGAACATGACAGACAATGAAAGCGGACAAAATATACAGTTCCTCAGGTAGACAAAGGAACATCCCTTGACTGCTATTATGTAAAATGTGTAGAACAGGTGAATATGCATGTGACACCTGTTCTACACATTTTTACATAATAGCAGTGAAGGGATGTTCCTTTGTCTACCTAAGGAACTGTATATTTTGTCCGCTTTCATTGTCTGTCATATTCATAGTGTCTTGTACTGTCATTATGCATTGCTCCATCTTGTTCTTGTAGTAGGCC